TTGGAAATTTCACAGAAGGTGGCTTTGGCTATGCCATCTCCCTTTTCAAGGATGGAAATCGAGTGCAATTGGTGCAATGGGTTCCGGAAGTGTAACTGTCTACGAGATGGTGAATGAGGCTTGGGCTCTTATGGATGTGATTCTCGTTGATACACTGAATAGTGTTGAACATACAGTATCGCTTTCCAAAGATGGATCGAGGGTCGCCATTGGAGATCGATGGTCCAATGATAGTAACCATGGTAAGGGCCGAGTCTTCGAATGGGATGGTTCGTCTTTTCGAAAATTGGGAGACGATATTTATGGAGAATCACGTTTGCAAACAACAGCCAGCGGTATTGCACTTTCGGACGATGGGTTAGTTGTTGCACTTTCTATCGCTACGTTTGTACGAGTTTTTGAGTGGAGTGCAGGAAGTTGGACAAAACGCCGCCTCAATCTAGATGGTCGTTCTGGGGGTAGAATTTCCTGGGATTCGGTGGCTCTCTCTGGCGATGGGAGCATTGTCGCCCTTGGATTATGTGAAAGAGTACAAGTGTTTGAGTGGAAGGATACTAAGTGGATCCAAGTTGGCCAAACCTTAAAAGCCGCATCTGGAGAAGGTCGACTTGGATTTTCGGTTTCCCTATCATGTTCTGGTTCCATGCTTGCCGTTGGTTCGTCGGGATCCGACAGGGCCGTTTCAAAGGTGTACACGTTGGCTGATGAGACTTGGGTAGAGCTAGGTGGTCTGATTGGAGGCGATTATAGCACTAGAGCTTCACTATCTAGTGATGGGTCTACTTTTGTGGTTGGATTATATTCGGGACGATCAGGATTTTTCGTTTCCGTTTACAACTTGAATGTAAGTACAATCTTTTCGAGCTTGCTGGCACTGGTGTTGCGATATAAAGACTCACCAAGATGAGTATTTTAGGAACCATCGGACACTCCCACGAGTAGACCAATCCCCTTAGCAATCTCTGGACCACCTTCTGTACCACCTTCTGGACCAAGGCCAACAGACGGACAAACCTCAGGGTGTGTCGGAAATTCTCATTGGGAGGTCTTTCTTTCATTGTTCATCCTCTTACCTTGCCTGTTTCTCTCTGTCTGACTCTAACGTCTTTCTTCTAGTACTTTGAGACCAAGATGAAGAGACTTGTGTGAAGAAATGGCAACGGAGGGAATAGCTCAAGTCTTGTCCGAGTCTACAAATTGGTTCATGGTTCATTCATCAACACATAATTTGGTGTACAATAATAATTGACTATTCAAGATAACAGCAACTTGAACGCTATTGTTAGTATCATGCAATTCATAGTATAGTACCGACACGCTGAGTGTATTGCAAACGCGACAATTGAATATCTTGCTCTGCGTCTAAATATCAACAGAGTTCCAAATTAATGCCATCCGCTCGGTATAGTCTGATTTGGGCCGACTCTAGTGTCCCCGTTAATTGGATACTACTCGAACCGGTTTTCTGCCATTACTATCATTACAACTATTAAAATACTGATTGTTGCTTTGCGCCAATGCCAAATCAAAATTGTAATGGGTATATCCACAAGCTCATATGTCAATGGAAAAGTATGGATGGATCATCAAGGACTGCAGATCCGACGAAAAGCAGTGCGTCGAGTCCATACCTTCGCATTGGGATGCCGAGTGAGGTACCAGTCATCAGTGTGTGATGCGTCAACAAAACAAGATTGGCCTGTCATGGTTGTCCTTGTTGTTGTTGTGCTTGAATCTTGTTTTGGTCATGAATGGTCTGCAATTCGGCTTTGAGCCAATTCAAATGTCATCGATCCCATTGTCGGGTTCCCGCGGCTCGAAGACGCATGATTGTAGCTTAATCGGTAGTGAGAAAGTAGTTGTCGGGAATGTACGACAACAACGCAGTGGCCAAGACCACGACACTTCCATTCAACATGGGAATGGCGGTCTTTTCCAAATACTTCAAATTGGGTCGTTCCGATGCCATTTGTTGCGCAACCGGGCATTTTGTTCCGTCACACACTATACATGTCGCGAGTGCCATGGTTATAGTATTCGTGTTTTCCAGCTAGGAACCAAACCTCTTCAAACCGATCACACTGCGACAAGAGAAATTTCCGAAGCTGCAGAGTACAAACATAGCCTACATCTCTCAGTAAAGCCACAATGGGAGCCTTGGGCTCAACGAGGAAGTTCAAGTCTTCGACTTCACCAAAGAACTCAATGTGTAAATCGGGAGCAATGGTTCGTGTCGTTACAGACTTCAACTATTCGTGCATCAAACGATACAACAATAAAACGAAAGGCAACGACCAACCTTACCTCTTGCTTCAACGGGACAAGACAAAGAGTATAGAGAGAATCCTTCATCCGTTATGCTCATCTTCTACAAAAATGAGGACAAATTGAAGCAAATTGAGGTTTTCGGGGTCGAAAATATTTTGGGGGGAAATAAGAGATGACCAAGATTTTCAACACTGATGCTTCTGGTTATGACTTATGATGGATTGTACCAACAACTCCGTGGTATTGCTTCTCAGAAATCCCTTCAGTTTCCGCATTAGTAGCTCCACAGTTAAATGGTTGCATCTTCAGTTCCAACGCGGGTCTACTATATAGCCAATTCGAAAAAAGGCATAAGAAAAGATTCCAGCAAGAAACGTCATGAAACCGACGATTCAACCACGAACCCAACATGCGCGTCACAGGTCGACCAAAACAAGCGATGTTTTGTTATGGATATGGTGCCCCAAGAGGCAGAGGACTTGGAAGTTGGCACGGTGGATATCATTTCCGAACTAGTGCAAACATACCTGACAGAGATGCTGTGTTCGCTAGGGAATGACAATTTCCAATTCCCGGGAGAAATTGTGATTGACATCCAGTTGCAGCACAACGAATATATGGATTGTGCTTTCCTCGTGTCGGGGTATGAAGTGACATCAATGTACGGAGACGTGCTATTCGGTAGTATCGAAATCTATGCTCTTTCCGGGAATCCCCAAGACATTCTTCAGGTCCTGCTGCAGATGGAAATGCCTTCTTTCAATCTCAAGTTCGTCGACCAGAAATACATCGCTGAAGTGAAAGACTTTTTGTCCACCAATCCTCATCTTCGCAAACTACGCATCGGTGATCACTACTTGGAGAACGATCAACACTTGGTCCTTGATGTAGTGAAATCTTCGAGATCACTGTCCACCCTCCAGTTCGGAGGTGTTTCTTTTCCACCCAAGGAGATAGGAATGAATCAAACTTTCAACGACTACATGCGGCAAATATGCGAAAGCAAATCTATGAAAAAGCTCGACTTCGTCGAAATCGCAGATCTCTCTCAAGACCACATCGACTGTCTAACAGAATGTCTCCTGGAGAAATCACCATCCAACCTTAACGCTATTGATTTATCGGCAGGATATGGAAGTAAACATTTGACAGTCAATATTGCGAAACTAGCAGGAGTCTTGAGACACATTGATACCTTCGAGGAATTGATCATTTGTCATAGAATATTGTCTGGCTATGATTCCATCTTTGAGTGCGCAAACCTTCTGAAGCGAAGCTCGTGTCTGAAAAAGCTTGATTTGTCTGCAAGCGGAGGCAAGCGCCTAATCGACCCTGATGCATGGACTTGTATCGGCGAAGCCTTGCCTGAAACATGCTCGCTGCAGTATCTCGACGTATCGTTCCATCGAATAAGTGAATCATCATGGAGGGCTTTGGGCGAAGGGCTGAAAGTAAATACTAGCTTGTTGACATTGAAAGCAGGGAAATCTTACGATCGAGGAGGAAACAAGGAAATCAATATTCTCTTGCCAGTGTTTGAAGCCTTGCACGAGAATATAACATTGCAGTCACTTCATCTAAATGGATACGATCTGAGCGATTCTATCTCAGCCCTGGAGGTGCTGGAGTCGGCTTTGATACAAAACACAGCCTTGAAGTCGCTGCAGCTAAAAGATTCATCGATGTCTGATGAGGGTGTCGCGATCTTGAGCCGCAGTCTTCCCAAGATGAAGAGCATCAGGAAGTTGGATCTGCAATATCACGGATTTTCGTTGGATGGCGCTCAAGCACTTGTGCTGGGTATCAAATACAATTACAGTCTACTGTCCGTTGCGGCTGGCACGAAAGCGCGCTTGGGATATAGTTGTGGATATGTACCTCCAATCGCAGCGGAAGGCTTTGCGAAAGAATATCACGAGATTCAGTACTACGCTCGAATGAATCGAAAGGGACGGCGATGCATTTGGGGCGAGACTCCCATCCAACCTTCATTATGGCCATCGGTTCTTGCCAATGCCATGAATAAGGAGGATCCACCTGGGGGTCCTTTAGTCAATGGTGATGTACGAAATAAGGATTTGTTTGCCGGCAACCATGATACGTCGATCGACGTCGTTTTCTTTTTGCTTCGAAATGTGATGAGATTTGAGGCGCACCAATAATCCTGTACCTACTGTAAATGCTTCTATGTCTGGATCATCAGGTACAGGCTTTTGGTAGATAAAAAAGCAAACAACGGATAACAGAGAAAAGAATGAAAGCAAATGCAACAACCAGTCTTAGCCCACATCTGTTGCAAAGGAGACAAAGAGTGCATAGAAAGAAAAAAAACTGGTTGCTCATCTTACAGTAATTATCGTCAAGAGAAAAGAAAGGCGCTATTTCCATTAGAATTGAAAACAGATGGAATCGTTTGATGGTAAAAGCTGAAACAATTGATGAAGTTAAAAGCAGTACACATGAGTTTTAAAAAGTAGGACTAGTATCGAATGAATATGTTTTATGATTTTAATAGATCGTGTTCATTACATGATACTGTGGAAATGCAAAAGGAAGAGTTACACAAACAATCATCGAACAAATGCAACAGCAAATCGTACCTCACATCTGCTGCGAAGTGACATGATAAGTCAAGATGAAAGAAAGGCCAAACAACACAAAACAGTACAAGATAACAACAAGAAATGCCATGTGATGGGTTCGGACTTTGTGTGAAAGGGTGGAATCAATAGATTCCTGTTTGTTTTTTTCATTTTCATTCAGTTCATGTTTCAGATAGGTTTATATCCAAGCAATTTAAGAACGTTCTCCGCGGATACGGCGAGCCAATTGGATATCCTTAGGCATGATAGTCACACGCTTGGCGTGGATGGCACACAAGTTGGTATCCTCGAAAAGACCCACAAGGTAGGCCTCAGCGGCTTCTTGGAGGGCAAGAACGGCAGATCCTTGGAAGCGAAGATCAGACTTGAAATCTTGGGCGATCTCACGGACCAAACGTTGGAAGGGCAACTTGCGGATCAACAAGTCGGTGGACTTTTGGTAACGACGGATCTCACGAAGAGCGACGGTACCTGGGCGGTAACGGTGGGGCTTCTTGACTCCTCCGGTGGCGGGGGCAGACTTACGAGCAGCCTTGGTGGCAAGTTGCTTACGGGGAGCCTTTCCTCCAGTGGATTTACGTGCGGTTTGCTTGGTTCGTGCCATTTTGTTTCTGTCAAAAGTTATTTTGTGAGCCGATTTTGATGGGATGAAAGAATTTATCGAGCCAAAAAGTGTTGGTGGTCGGACTGTGTACAAAATGTACCGCGTCTACGGCATTCGAAACGTACGATTCATTCCCAAATGTACCAGACTCTACGCTTCCTACAGACCCCTTTCAAATCCGGCGCATTCTCCTCGCGCCGCGATTTTGGACGTAGCGTTGCACGGTATTTGGTAGTTTCTAGCACATTTGGTGTGCGCCATCGTCAATCTGAAATCGAATTGAGAGTTTCGAAAATAATCCCATCGATCTCACAATCTTGCAATTTGCATTTTATTCCCAAACAAAAAACACATTAATCATGTCTGGAAGAGGAAAAGGAGGAAAAGGACTCGGAAAGGGAGGCGCCAAGCGTCACCGCAAGGTCCTTCGTGATAACATCCAAGGTATCACCAAGCCCGCTATTCGCCGTCTCGCCCGTCGTGGTGGTGTCAAGCGTATCTCTGGATTGATCTACGAAGAGACTCGTAAGTAACTGCTTGATGTGTGGAAGTGTATTGACTGCACATGGAATGATACATTGATACATTGAACTGACAATACTCCTTTCCTTCTATATCACTCCAATCAAATCAAATCGATTTTATTCCATTCCATCACGAACCATTATTCATTAATGAACTTTAGGTGGAGTCTTGAAGGTTTTCCTTGAGAACGTCATTCGTGATTCTGTCACCTACACTGAGCACGCCCGCAGAAAGACCGTCACTGCGATGGATGTTGTTTACGCCTTGAAGCGTCAAGGAAAGACCTTGTACGGATTCGGAGGTTAAGCATGTAATGCATCTCCTTCTTCTGTTGTAGCAACAATGAAAAAAGAAAACACAAAAACAGGAAACTTTAGTTTCCACCCATTGGACAAAGAACCTTCCCAATACATTTTCTCTTTCCTTTCTTCGTTTATTTGTTTAGGGTTTCTCTTTTGGATGCTGGTAAGAAGCACGTTTCAACTTATTTTTCTTGAGTGAGAATTGTCATGGTGGGATGATATACTTGTAACATAAAACTACTAGACATGAACTCTATTATTAATACGACTTCATCTCAGTGTGGATTGCTTGGTTCTCATTGCCCATTATTGAAAGTCTTCATCGAATTTTAAAAGCTTTGGTCAAGAACATCGACCTTTTCACGATGAGTTTTTACTTTCCGCTTCTTTTCTCAGGATACAATAAGATTGATTATTGATACTAATATATATTTATATATAAACCATTGATTGGTGTGTCGATTTCTCATTCGAAGAAATCTCACCTGTATTCATTTGTCGGTAAGCTTCTTGTCAACCAATCAGTCCCCTCGTACCCCAATTCTTTCTTACACACGACCTTCTCTATGTATAAGATTCATTCATTTCACGAATCGCAATGACAAACGCCAAACAAAAGGCAATATCAGCACCAGGAGCGACCGTCAAGTAGAAATCCTGGGTCCCAGAACCACTCGCCGACTTGAAACCAAAAAAGTTTTGCATTTCCACTGGGCTCATGAATTTGGCAATGGGAGTCCCTCTACTTTTGTAATCCCCATCGCGCCACATGGCACACTTTTGTTCGAAAAAGGTACATTTTCCAACAATATCGACCATTTCGTCCATTTCGCCCTTGACACCACTATTCTTGACTGTGGTCGTTTGCTTGGTATTTCCCAAGTTGGAGGCAACGCTAAACATAAACTTGGTCTTGTCCTTTTTGACATTTCTTGCCTCCTTGAGATCTTCCATTCCACGGCAATCAAAGACTGCCTGGGCATCGTCCAAAATATTCCACCATGTCTTGTCGGCAATCACAAAGAGTGGCTTGTTGTCCTTGCCATAGACCACTTTGGTATCGCTCAGTGACCAGGCGTCTCCCCTGACCGAAAACCAAGTTTCCCCGAGCTGATCCTTGACCGACATGGTGTCCCCGCTCCAGCTCCACTTGGTTTTGAGATGGAGTGCCATTGGCTGGTCGGAAGTATAGTCGTCGCCAAACACAATGAGTCTTTTGTCTTCTGCGAGTGGCTGTAGGTCCACATCGTACTTGTGAGCGTCTTCTTCTTCTTTGGTCATGGTAGCTGCTAGTTGTAATTGTAGTTGCAAATGTTTGTTCTTGGTGCTCAATGCGATGTATTTTTGTGAGGATGAATACCTGGTACCGGTACTGATGCTGGTGAATGAAAAGGGTCGTTCGGAACCTCATTCAGTCAGTTGTCGCGACTGAGAACAACCTTACATCCGTAGGTAGTCTGGAGTAATCGTTTTTTGAGCCGGGCAACTGTATCCGCTAATTCTGGTGGCAAGACTATCGAATCGAATGAAATGCCAAAATCAGGTCAACCGGAGACTCTCAAAAACTTCGTGTCGATAAACTACATGCCAAAAAAGTTGCGTCTTCATCAGATGGTGACAAGCACTCAACAACAAGTATGTCAAGAAGTTTCTATCGATTGATTGAATCATCAATCATCTCGCGTAGGAACTTGAAAAATAACACAGCACTGTAGCGGTACCGGTAGATTCATTCATTCATTCATTGCCCGCCATTTCGTCCTTCCAACCATATTACGTGTTCATGTGGTTGGAACTTGGAACCATCGGAACGTTCTAGGTTTTCTCGGTCCCTTGACATCCACTTCCGATCATACCGGTATGGTATTTTCAAGTCCTTGTGCCTGCGATTTCCCATTTATCGTTGCCGGTTGGCTCGCGTGATTTTTCTTATTCGGAATCTGTGATTGGATTCCGAATGCGACACTCGCTACAATTAGTTAGGCCAACGGGCACGGATGGCTCGCTTCTGCACCACCAGGCAGAGCATGCTGTAGCTGCGAAAACTTTCGCAACAGCCTGATACACACACACTGTGAACACGTTTGCTTCGCGGAGTTCTTCCAATCAAACCAACAATACCGTATATTACAACCTCGTCAGTCTTACTTGAATGAATGAAATTCGCAAAGGATTAAATAGGTGCAACAACAACAACAACAAGAATAATAATAATAGCAAGACAACAGCCTTCTATATCAGTAATCCCACCTCAAACCGGACATCGAACAGCTTCTTTCCAATACCCCATCAGTATAGACAGACAGGGCAAACATGGGAAACTGTCAGGCAGCCAAGATGGGAAACTGTTTAGTCGTCAGCAACAACCACAACAACAACAACAAGAAGAGACGGAAGCATGTCGACCACGAACATGGCAAACAATTACCATTGACGCACGCAATGGACCACAACAAACAGATGGACGGCATTACGGACGATGAAACCCCCAACGCAGCTCCCTCTTCCGATATCAGCGATACGGAACAAGAAATAGCCTCCAGCAATATTGAAATGATATCGAATGCCGATGGCAATTCCAAGGACCCACTGGATGTGACGGATTCCCGTGATAGACCCAGTAGTACTCGTGCGCTTCACAAGCAAGGAAAGTTGAGTGAAGCCTTACGGGTGGCAACCTTGCTGCACAAGGATGGATATCTGGAAGAAGCGGTGGAAATGTACGAAAAGTCGCTGGATATTTACAGTAAAACCATTGGGGAGGATCACTTGCCCATGGCCACAATATACAACAATATTGGTTTGGCGCTAGCGGGACAAGAAAAGAAGAATGAGGCACTTGCCATGTATGAAAAATCCATAGATATTTACAAGAGAACCGTGGGGGAGGATTGTGTTTCTGTAGCAAATACTTACAACAACATTGCCAATATCCTTGGCGATCAAGGAAAACTGGACAAGGCGTTAGAGGTCTACGAAAAGGCAATTGATATCAAAAAGAAGACTGTCGGTGAGAATAGTCCATCTTTAGCGGATACTTACAACAACACTGGCTTTGTACTGGAAGACAAGGGTGAACCAGAAAGGGCTATGGTGCTTTACAAAAAGGCACTAGAGATATACACGTCCAACTATGGTGATTCGCATCCATCCATTGCTGGCAGCTACAACAATATCGCGTCGCTACTCAATACGCAAGGTGACCTCGACGAGGCCATGGAAGCTTATCAAAAATCGCTGGAGGTCAGCAAAAAGGTTTACGGTGACGATCACCAAAGTGTTGGAGAAATCTACAGCAATATTGCCAGTGTACTGATTCGTGAAGATCAATTGGAGGCTGCTGTCGAAAAGTATGAAGAAGCGCTCAAGATATTCACCAAACACTATGGAGAGGATCACACATCGCTCGCCTTTGTCTACAATAACATGGCATCCATACTTCGAGCGCTTGGGAACTTGGAACGAGCCATGGAGGTATCCAGAAAGTCGTTGGAAATTGAAAAGAAAATCAAGGGTGAATACCATCCATCGGTTGGACATACCTACAACAACATGGCTGGAATTTGCTTGCGAGAAGGCAAATTGAAAATTGCACTGGAAATGTATCAGCAGTCACTGGTAATCAATGAAAATAATTATGGAAAAGAGAGTACCTTTGTGGCAGAGACCTACAATAACATTGGGATCGTCCTCCAACATCAAGGAAAGCACGAAGAGAGTTTGCAAATGTACATGAAGTCATTGGAGATTAAAATTCATGTGGTCGGTGAGGAACATGTCTCGATCGCCGATACTTGTTACAATATGGGTTTATTATTAAAGGCTAGTGGCAAACCAAGAGATGGCCTACGAATGCTACGAAAGGCCATTATTATTTATCGAAAACGATTGGGCTCGGAAGATCTCAAACTGAAACGAGTTCAACAGGTCTATGAAACGGAAAAGCGACGACTGCAACAAATAGAACAAGAATCACAACAACGGCAAGAAGAAGAATAAAACTGTATCTATAATATTCATAATCTTATGTACTATTATTATGTTCCGAACACAACACTAATAATGCTAGCAGGCTTGCATTGGACTTGCAACAGTACAGTAATAGTTGACAGCAGTAGTAGTTGTTGTCCTAGTATCGGATTTATTCACAATGATGTTTACTGTACAGTCCTACCAATAGTCCTACTGTATGTTTTTCGTGAAACTATGCCATATTACCTTATAGGCCGTTTGCATAGGCTGCTGCTGCTGTTTTGTTCTTTCAATCCTCGATTGATGGCATCGGAGTTAGGCCAATATGGTTGCAACTTGCAACTTTCGGTGATATTTGAGTCCCACGCTTCCAATCGTGTGGGGCCTTCTGCAGAGATGACGTCGGCAGGTGGATGTGGAAAGATCGTTTTCAGTTCGCATCGGCGAAACAAGTGTAGTTTTCCCCTTCCACGTCCACAATATTGATACCGTACTATCAGAAGATTATGAAATACCTTGCAACACTGTTCCTAGCAAAAAGTGCGATTGCCTTTCAAACGGTCGTGCCTCATCCACATCAACGACATGCTGCCGTATCGCCCTTCTTCTTGCCCCAAAATCCACTGCTGCTGTTGCAAATGACAATGGACGGCGGGGATGCTCCATCCGATATGGACGATTCCGCTTACGACTCGCGGCAAGATGTATTGGATGTCGCTAGAAGTCTCAAGGACAAGTTTGGACCACTGATAATAGACAGCAAGGCGCAAGAGAAGCTCAAGAGCGTAGTGAAAGAGTTGGAGAAGAACTCCGAGCCACCCATTGACACCAAAGGAATGATTGGAGATTGGACACTCCTGTGTTCGACCGCGTCTACAAACAAGCTCATGGGAATTGATACCAGCAATTTGCCATTCTTCAATGCGGGCATTGTCAAGGATATTCGCAACACGCTCAACAAGTCCTTGGTGGTCCAACAAAAGATCAAGGGGTCTCCCTCCTTCTCTGGAAGAGGAATTACAAGAGTGGATCATGTCATTCAATACATGCCACCCAATGAACTGTCAGAATTTAGTTCGATGCTTCCCGATGCCTTGCAATCTTTGAACATTAATCCTCTCGAAGTCACCAACCAGCAGGTAGTTCTGGTCCACAAGGCAGAGGTGGAATCTACCATTCCATTCATCAAGACCAAGTTGGCGCTCGAAAGCATTGTTTTGAATATTGCAGGCAAGTCCCAATATTTGGAACCAGATGGTGCCGATTTGCTGGGAGTCAACGTTCCCTTTGGTGAATTCCTCAATGCGGGATCTTTTGAGACCACTTATTTGGATGACGAACTTCGCATCAGTCGAAGCAAGGTGGGTGTTGTCGATCAACTCAGAGTATTTATCAAGGTACCATCCACAGAAGAGGTCGTCAAGGAGATTGAAGAAGCTGTGGAAACTGCCTCCATGGAGCAGGCGAGCGATGCGGCTGTGGAACAGCTCGCTGCAATGGACGCCCCATCCGATGTGGAAGAGGAAAACGACGACAAAGACTACGATAACGACTTCGACAAGAACGACGACGACACCGATGATAACGAACCTGACGACAAAGACTACGATAACGACTTTGACAACGACGGCGATGACGACGATAGTTCTCCATCTGATGTTGAATCAAGTGATTAAGCATTTTCAAATGTTCCAAAGATAGAAACTTCTTTTTCCCCCTTACGATATATGAAGCCAGATGATTCAAGCGGGTTTTGGGTAGTCCTCTAGCATTGCAATAGTTGCGCTAGAATGCATACTTATTCTTCACTCGCGCAGTTGCAGAATATACTATGCACTCCCCTGACTCGTCGAAAGATATGCCTTCATGTACGTCTTCTTACCTCCCCATATGGGTTGCTTCCGGACTTCTTTCAACATTTGCGCATACCCTGGTCCGGTGGGTTTGTACTGAAATTGGCAAGTCGAACTCTCGTCGCGTATCAACAAGGGCGCATTGTCAGACTCGCAATGGACGGCCACAATAAACTTTTCCCTCACCTTGACATTCTCTGGAAGCTGGTAGCTGTGCCAAAAACAGTCTTCATTCGTAAAGGCTCTACTGGACTGTATTAGTTCAGGCTCAAGGTCGTCAGAGGATAGTTTGATACCGGCGGAGGAAGCAGTAATCTCACCGCACTCTTGCTTATGGTCTCCTTTCTTCCAACGGTCGACTTGGCACTCGCGGCTGCAATAAAAGGTCACGGAGCACCTTGAGCACTTCATTCCTCCTTCTCCCAACGGTTTGTGACAGCTGGCACAGACATTTCCAGCCTTTTCCTTGGAAGACTCGTGGGGTTCTTCTTGGCTTGCGCTCGGGCGAGTGCGGCAACCATGCGAACGACTAGCAAGAGGCCAAAGGCTGCTTGGTGGCGGCTCAAATCAACGAGAGATACATCCGTTCGATCCTTAATGTGGATGTCTGCATTGTGTTTCTACAATAGAAATGCAGCCATGTCTTCTCTTTAGCTGCTGGAAACTTCAAAGAGAGCAGCGTTGCCAAAGCGATCGGCAACATCGACCAGATTGAGCTTTTTCTCCATTTTTTCTCCATTTGCTAGCGTGATGTTCTGAGGCTTAATCCAAACTTCCTTACTCACCTCGGGAACATAAACTGATCTGCGGTCGGTATCTGGATCGTACCCGCCTACAACTCCCTTTTGGCCATTCATGTCAGCACTTTTCAATCCTTCCAAAACGACATCCTTGCCATACAAGAATGACGTTTTGGACGCACGAATGCACATATCCGCCAATTCCATAGATAGTTGCGTCCCCTTGAATCCAGCGCCTAAATGAACGGCTGTATTACCAATAACATCTTTGCTATCTGGAGAGGCTCCTGCGCGCAGAAAAAATTTCACAACTGTGGGAAGCTTCGAGTCTGCTTAAGTGTCGACAGCAATAGATATCACCACCTTAACCACCTCGCTGCATGTCGTCTTTCTATCGTCTCGCCGAGAGCACGGTGGCGGAGACTTTTTCTGAACGGATACTATGGATTTTCGAACCATCGCAACGTTCGCAGTACTGCAATACATGGCAAATGGGGGATACCATCCGGCAACATCCAAGCCGCCTCGAAGGTCCCAAAACACGTCATGTAGTTCATTGGTTATATGTTTGTATCCCATATCAATCAGGGATTGATCGCCGTCTTCAAGTTGGATTGGCGGTATTTAGTTCCCAATCATGGCCAACTTCCTTTCAGCATCTTCAGCCAAATTCGCCCATTTATCGAATGCCTTGTTTACCTGATGCTTTTGCCATGCTTGTATCGATTCCATTTTGGAGGGGAAACCGTGATAATAGATGATTGACCATTGCTATTGTCATTCGATAAAAGATAAATTGAAAATGACACCGTCTCTGTGCTCCAGCTCTCTGTTCCTCCGATTATGTTACATATGTAGCGCCCAGTCTGGACGCTGATGCGATTCTTCTCTGACAATGCGAAGCCGAACGACAACACTTCAGTTTTGCATTCGGTTTGGAACGAAAGTTGACAGCAGAGCAGTTCCTTTCCATATCATATGTACGGTACTTGTATCATACAATAAAACCAATACACCGTTTCAATACACCAACCAAACAAACGATACAATAGATAAGTGTCATATACAGCATGAGCATGAGCCTCGTAAAACTAGTATCTGCCTCCAAGACATCGGGCGTTCGTTTGCTGAAAAGCAAAACGACAAGAAAGATTTTTGACATTCGAACCCTTTCCACCTACACTCCACCGGAAAATGTTCAGGAATGGGAGAATCTGGCTAACAAGGAGTTGTCCAGAGCCAAAAAGAGCGTCGACTACCTCCGATCCGAGAGAGTGACACCCGAAGGTATCCAAATTCAACCTGTCTATTGGGATTTGAACGATCCCGAACCCGAAATGCCTGGCGTCTACCCCTTCTCGCGAGGTCCCTATGCCAGTATGTATACCAATAGACCATGGACAATTCGACAGTATGCTGGATTCTCTACTGCCGAAGAATCCAATGCTTTTTACAAGCGCAATCTTGCCGCTGGCCAGCAGGGTCTGAGTGTCGCCTTTGATTTGCCAACCCACCGAGGATATGACAGTGACCATGAACGAGTCGTCGGTGACGTCGGCATGGCGGGAGTCTCCATTGATACTCTCAAGGACATGGAAATCCTATTCGATCAAATCGATCTAACCGAAGTATCTGTCAGCATGACCATGAATGGTGCAGTTCTTCCGATCATGGCCTTTTACATTCAAGCTGCCATTGAACAGAACCCTGACAAGGAACCTGCTGAAGTTATGAAGCAACTCAAGGGTACAATCCAGAACGACATTCTCAAGGAATTCATGGTCAGGAACACCTACATCTACCCACCCACTCCATCTGTGAACCGAGTGATTGCTGATATCATGGGTTTCACCAGTAAGTGGACGCCCAAGTTTAATTCCATCTCCATTTCCGGATACCACATGCAAGAAGCTGGCGCCGATGCCGCTCTCGAAATGGCCTTTACCATCGCAGATGGTCTAGAGTACATTCGCACCGCCGTTGAAGTGGCCGAACTCGATGTCGATTCCGTGGCTCCTCGACTTTCCTTTTTCTGGGGAATTGGCATGAACTTTTACACCGAGATTGCCAAGATGCGAGCTGCCCGCAAGCTGTGGGCCGAACTCGTCAAGGAAAAGTTTGCACCATCCAATCCAAAGTCACTGTTGCTAAGAACCCATTGTCAGACTTCTGGATATTCCTTGACCGAAGCCCAGCCAATGAATAATATCATTCGAACCACCATTGAAGCCATGGCTGCTGTCCAAGGTGGAACACAGAGCTTGCATACTAACTCGTACGACGAAGCTGTCGGTAAGTCAACAAACCATGATGCTTCGAACCATTTCTATAATTGTTGGCAAACGGACACAATTTCTAACAACCCAATTTCTCTTTACCTATCGTTCTTATTAGGTCTTCCAACGGACCAGTCGGCTCGTGTTGCCCGAACCACCCAACTCATCCTCCAAGAAGAGACTGGAATCTGCGACGTTGCCGATCCATGGGGTGGAAGTTATATGATGGAATCTCTAACAGATGAAATCTACGACAAGGCCAAGGGCATTATTGACGATGTCGAATCCCACGGAGGAATGACCGCCTACATTAATAGCGGTGAAGCCAAGCTGAAGATTGAGGAGAGCGCCACCAAGAAGCAAGGCCGAGTGGACTCTGGCAAGGATGTTGTTGTCGGAGTCAACAAGTACCGCTTGAACAAAGAAGACGAAAAGGCCGAAATGATTGATGTTCTCCAGATTGACAATAGCGATGTCCGAACCAAACAAATTGCTCGCATGAATGAGGTCAAGGCAAACCGTGATGAAATTGCGGCCCAAGAAGCCTTGTTGAGACTTGAAGAGAGTGCCCGAAAGACTACCTCGACCAGTAACCCAGATCATCCAGACAATCTCATGACTCTGTGCATTGAATGTGCTCGTACTCGGTAAGCCAAATCATCGTATCGTCTTGATTATTGACACACACACACACACACACACACTTGCAATCATTCCATTTTCTCACAATACATATTGCTTCATTATTCTTTAGATGCACACTCGGAGAAATGTCGGATGCCCTTGAAAATGCTTGGGGTCGTCACGTCCCGGCAACTGGAATGGTCCAAGGTGCCTACACTGCCGCCTTTAATGGTGGTGACGACAAGGTATTTAGTGAATATGAAAACATTCTCAAGAGTGTGGAAGGCTTTGAACAAACGGAAGGCCGTCGTCCCCGTATTTTGGTTGCCAAAATGGGCCAAGACGGACACGACCGAGGTGCCAAGGTGATTGCCAGTGGATTTGCCGACTTGGGATTTGATGTGGACGTTGGTCCACTGTTTCAAACACCCCGGGAAGTTGCCTTGCAAGCCATTGATTCGGACGTCCATGTCATTGGAGTTTCCAGTCAAGCGGCAGGACACAAGACATTGTTGCCAGCGTTGAAGAAAGAATTGGAAGATTTGGGAGTCCATCACATGGTCGTGGTGGCGGGAGGTGTCATTCCACCACAAGATTATGACTTTTTGCTCAAGGAATCTAAATCTTGTGGTGCCGTCTTTGGTCCAGGAACCCGCATTACCGATGCTGCCAATACAGTCTTGGACCTGATTCCCCGTGGTGGTGGTGGTGGAGAAGAACCCGCCAACAAGACTGCCTAAGAAAACAAGACCATGCCCCAAGAACTCCCATTAGAATTCAAATGTACATCAATAAACAAATCAATAAATCAATAAATCATAATATCTATACTAGCACTTGTTTACAATACTTAACCCAAGCTAGCAGTAGATTAGAGGAGTGCAGAGCGTTTGTTGTTGAGTACCGGTACTAGTAGAATGAATGAAATGTGCGGAGGGTTGATTTGCAATAATTTTGGATTGAGTAGCATCACCACCCGTATTGGATCCAGTCGACCACCAAGCTAGACCCGCGCCATACCCAAACAGATCCCGTTCAGCCCGCGCCGCAATTTTTCGAATAAGTTTTGGCCAGTACATTATTCTACGCAACCAGACGTGCGCTTGACTCAATTTGGGGGGAATGATTTTTGGACAAGAAGCTCGACCTCATCGCTTTTTTCCATTTTCATTCGAAAAACAGGCAAGTGTGCAACAAGGGAATGATTGTTGATTAATACCGTTTGATGTACTTGATTGGAGTACTATGGCATTGACTACTGTCTAGTTGTCGTGTGTATATCATATTGCATTGTGTTCTATTGCATTGTGTTGCATTGCCCCTTGTTGATTCCAGATGTGTTTGCCAACCGCATTGTGCTCATTTCGTTTCCTTCCCTTTGCTACTTTCTTCGCCTTTTTCCAACACCCAACAACACTTCCTATACAATCCAACTATAGTATTCAGTCAATCAATCAATCAATCAATTAACTATTCAGTCATGTCATACAAGGAAGGAATCATTCTCGCCATCACCGAGCTCAAGGACCGCAACGGTTCATCCATGATTGCCATCAAGAAGCATTTGCAAGGCAACTTGCCCAAGGACAAGAAGTGGATCAACGGAACCTTCTTGAAGGTCCTCAAGACTGGCGTCGCCAATGGAGAGTTTGTCCAAATCAAGAACTCCTACAAGCTTTCTCCTGAATTCAAGAAGAAGGTTACCAAGAAGCCAGCTGCTGTCGCCAAGAAGACCACCACCAAGAAGGCTCCTGCCAAGAAGGCCGCTCCCAAGAAGAAGGCTACTGCCAAGGCCGTAAGTATTGCATTGTGTTGCATTGTATTGTGTTGATTGCTGTACTGTATTCGTGTTGGTATAGTTACTGGTACATTTAACTAATCTTTCATTCTCTCCCTTTTTGAACAACCACACAGACCACCAAGAAGGCCAAGTCTGCTCCCAAGAAGAAGGCCACTGCCACTAAGAAGGCTCCTGCCAAGAAGGCCGCTCCAAAGAAGAAGACTGCCGCCAAGAAGACTGCTACTAAGAAGAAGTCTGCTACCAAGAAATCTGCCAAGAAGGAGTAAACATTCTACTTTTTTGGATCGTTTTGAATCCATGGTATTCAACACAAATTTCACGATAACAACAAAAACAACCAACACGAGCTCTTTTAGAGCTCACCCAATGCACAAAGAACCAAGCCAAAAGCATCCATCTTTAACCCACTTGTATTGCATTGTCATTGTCTCCATTGTAATTTTAAGTAACACAGCAATATATGATAGTATTATTTTAACAAGTATCGAAGCCAATACAATATACGAAAGGCATGGACTGCCAACGAAGAAAAATGAGCAATGACTGGCTCAGGTTATATTCCCAACGCAAAGTCAACCGTGGACAGCGTAATACCTTGATTTGAAACAAAGAAGGATGGCGTTGTCTTGGGCAAAGTAATGCAATAAAAAATATGATAAAGAATGAATGAATGATGATAGCGGTACCTACGTGTCAATGGTGGCACATAACAGAGGCATCGATTGCCGAAGAAGAAAAGGAGGAAGCCAATGACATGGCTCATATTCAACGTACAGTGAAAGCATACCAGTACTTCACCTTAAGAAAGAAATGGTGTAGAACCCGTTGATACTGTAGAGTTGTCTTGCAATAGTAATGTGTGTAGATGGTGCTTTGTATTTTAAAAATATTATTAGTGTTTGTTATAATCTATGGATATTGACATTACATGTACGACAAGCAAATGCAAATGGGTTAGTGTGGTTCAAGCAAAATGGTACAACACAAGTCGAGTTGGGATGATCTTTGGTAAAAGGGTGGAAATAATAATTTCCTGTTTTTGTGTTTTGATTCAAGCATGAATCATTGTTTGTTGTTTTTCGTTTGCTGTTCAAGTAAATGTTTACTTGGTGCTCTTCTTTGGAAGAAGAACAGCGTGAATGTTTGGAAGAACACCTCCAGAAGCAATCGTGACTCCTCCAAGAAGCTTGTTCAATTCCTCATCGTTCTTGACGGCAAGGGTGATGTGACGGGGCACGATACGAGACTTCTTGTTGTCACGTGCAGCGTTTCCAGCAAGTTCTAGAATCTCGGCGCAAAGGTACTCCAAGACGGCAGCAAGGTAGACGGGGGCTCCGGCTCCCATACGAGTGGCGTACTTTCCTTGACGAAGGTAACGTCCGATACGACCAACGGGGAACTGAAGTCCTGCCTTGGCAGACGAAGTGGTGGACTTCTTTTCTCCACGGCCTCCTTTTCCTTTTCCTGTTGTATTGAATGAAGAGGGGAAGCATTAGCACGATGCAATGCATGGCGATACAATATTGTTCATTCAATATCATACCCCATCCGATACGTACCAGACATGTTGATTTCTTTTTTTTTGTTTTCTAAAAAATTGGTCTCGATTGAGATTTGTGAGCAAGTCTGAAGTCACACGAGAAAGATGAGAAAGACATCGCACATCACACGTGAATCGCAACATACGCGATATTTGTGTAGAATTCGTACGCAGGTATCCGCGCCAGAGAAAACGAAATCTGTGACGAGTGGGTGAGCAGACGGTGCCACTTTTGATTTTGTAGCATTCCTACCAAAGAGGTCTGTCGTGCACCGTTCGACCAAAATGGCGCAGCTCTGTATCAAAATGTACCGAGCCCACTTTGACACGTAGAAATTCACGTTCTGCACGTTTTGGCCCGAACAAGGAAATCTCCATCAGAAAAAGGCACGATGAAGCTCACAATTCCGAATTCACTTCGTTTGTAAACCAAATTTCACCAAACAACTAACAAGGTACGAATCATCTTGCTTCGACAAATCAAACTTGAGATCATTGCAACAATAGTGTCTCACTCAATTCCTTCCTCTTCTTGCTATTCATTCATTCATTGGTTGAATCAATCAATCAATCAATTAATCAATCAATCGACACGACGACATCAATTCATCTCATTGTAATTCTTTAGATGGCCAAGACTCCCTCCAAGAAATCTGTCAAGAAGGCAGCACCCGCCAAGAAGTCCGGTGGATCCAAGAAGAAGCGTGTCGAAACCTATTCTTCTTACATCTACAAGGTCCTCAAGCAAGTCCACCCTGATACTGGAATCTCCAAGAAGGGTATGTCCATCATGAACTCTTTCATTAACGATATCTTCGAGCGCATTGCCACTGAGGCCGGAAAGCTTGCCACTTACAACAAGAAGGCAACCCTTTCTTCGCGTGAGATTCAAACTGCCGTCCGTTTGATGCTTCCAGGAGAACTTGCCAAGCACGCTGTCTCGGAAGGAACCAAGGCTGTCACCAAGTTCTCCAGTTCTTAAATTATTTTATTTACTGGATAATACAACTTGGATTGATTGCTTGATTGCACCAAAACAAAAAAACACAACATAAGTCGATCATTGCATCGCAACACAAAAAAACAGGAAACTTTTGTTTCCACCCTTTTGACAAAGACACAAACAATCTATTGACTGGCAATACTCACATTTCCAACTTTTCTCTATTTTCCTTCGTTTATTTAATCAGCATAGCATAGCATTTACAATAATTTGATAATAACATTATATTATTCTCATCGCAATACAATACTTTCCATTATATGCATACATTTTTCGCATACATTATCTTATTGAATTCCCAACGAAATAATTCTGCATCGAAGTATCGTACCGGCATTGGAATGAATCCATTTGGTCTCATTGATCTCCTACATTGTTGTTGTGATCCCTTTCCATAGAGTATTTGACTCCTATCATTTCGCAACAATACTCCATACTGTTTCCGTCGAACTGAAAACTTGGTGAATACCAGCTGCAGTACGAGATTTTTGAAAATACGAGTACTCGAGAGTATGCCCACGTCTGCTTTGCATAAAATTATTGGAGTCTATTAATCATAATCTATTCCTCCTGTTGCTTTTGCGCTGCCTTTTTAGCCTTTTGCTTGGCTCTCTTTTTGGCATTCTTTTGTCGTCGCTTTTCAATTTCTTCCGGAGTTAATTCTGCCTTGTCTTCATTATCAGCATTATCAGCATTATCATCATTATTGCCATTGTCATTATCATCATTCTCTTTCTTTTCGGAACCATTCCTTCTGGAGGATCGACTCGTTCTCGTCCGCCTCGTGACTCTACTACCTTCCGTCTTGACGCTATTTGCTTCGGCTTCTATTCTTGCCTTGTCGGCTATGACAAACGCCGCTTCCATGTCACCACCAAACAAATTGGGAAACATTTTGGCATTGTACGCAGCCGACAAGGAAGCATACTTTTTGTGTTCCGATGGTGGATTCTTCAAACCACCCGTCGTTAGCTCATCCGACGCCATGAAGGATTGTACGCCTTGAATGATGCTCGAGACGGACCACATGGGATTCCAAGATTCCGGATGAAAGTCGCTCATGCTCATGCAGAGTTTGGTATTGATTTCAAATCGACCGCTGGGAGTCATCATGTAAATGGAGGGAGGTTTCATTGGATATTGGGGTGGAAAGACGAGTTTGCCAATGTAGATTCCTCCTTCAAAGGCAGTGCCCGAGGCTCCTCGAATCCCATAAAACCATTTGAGAATGTTGGATTCGTCAGGTTCGGCAAGAACGTCGGGTGGGGGTGCCTTTTTCAGGTTCATTAATTCTTTGCGCAGTCGCGCTGTTGCCATTGCTGGAGCCATGGTTGCTGTGTGATATTATTGTAGTAGAAATTGAGATGGTAGGCTGTTTGATGGAATGATATATATATATTAAGATGAGCCTCATTATGAGCTAACTAACTTCACGGAAAATTCGTTGGTGGACGAAGAAGAGTTAAGTGAGTCGGAAGAGTCGAAAAATAGCACTTCATGGCATGGCATGGCGATGGCAGTATTGCTAATAATACCTACACTTGCTTGGATATATTTCACAATACGTTTTCTATTCATACAGCTATTATATTACATCATATTATGCTCCATTCATCATCATGCTCCATATTATACTGACGCTCGCCCTGACTGAACAATATCGCTCCTATTGTTGTGTCGTTGTTGCGATACGAGTTGGGCGCCCTCCTTTCCCCAGAAATTGGTCCCATCTTGAATGGATGCACAGTACACATTAAGACCAAACCACTTGTTATCGGCCAACCAGACATCCAAAGGACCTTGCACTGGCAAATTTTCTAAAAGGACTGAAGCAGCTTTTTGGGTCAATGCGTAGGCATGGGTGTGAAAACCATAGGTTGGTCGAAACAAAGTCACCGGCAGGATGGTCATTCCTGTTGCTCCAACATCGTCATTTGGAATGTACTTGCGCTCTCCTCGATCCGACAATCCCAAGTACAAAATGTCCCAGTCCTTTGGTACAATTTTCTCCACATCCAACAGAGCTTGAATGAAACCACCGCCGCCATTCATCGACGACGACGACGATTCATTTTCTGGCACGCTTTCAAAGGATGCATCGAGACACCTCGCACTATTTCTCCAATTTGGAACAGAGAAGGAATCGCTATACCGTCCCCCATGCCCATTCTTGTAATGATGATGATGATGGTGGTGATGATGATTTCCAGGTTGCGGCTGTCGTATTTTTCCTTTCGAACCATGACGACGACTCGAAGCATGATCTTCATAGAGTATGGCATCGTCCTCCAAAATCAGCATGCTACTATTTTGCATTTCTTTCAACTCGTTCCACAATTGAATGTGCGACAAAGCACAACCCACTTCTCCCGGTGTCATTTGCTTGGTCATGGGTGGTTGAATGTGCCTGTCATATTGGGCATTCTGTGTGGCATCCCATTCCAATAATGGCAAAGTCAATACTAATGATTCACTACCACTTTTCTGTTCGTCATCATTCTTGTCGTCGTCGTCGTCGTCATATAAATGCATGATAGCTTGGCCATCTACGGCTGCAAATCGTTCCACCTTTTTCAAAAAGGGATGATTTCCCCAATCTTGTTTGGCACAGTGTTGATTGAGAGAATTTCGCATTCGTTTTTGAAAGGTCGTCCATCGATCTTGTCGTTTGATCAAATTGATGCAGACGATTCGTGTAAATAAAGATTGAGCCTGCATGGCTTGGGAATGGAGAGGATCATGATCATCGTGATGCATCGATTGCATCGTTTCCGTAATGATTTTGGTTTTCAATGCCGCTGGGGTCCAAACGGGCGAAGCCGCAGACAAACCAGAGGATGAGAAACCACCAACATGATTGCGAGGAGGAGTTGAAAATGATGCTGATGATGATGGCCATGTATTCAGCGAAGAAGAGTTGTCCCTTGGTCGGACCCTTTTATTAGGAGTCCGATAAGATTGAGGCGTCGTCTGCCTCCAGCTGTTATGAAAGCGATGAGGTGTTGTCGTCGTCGTTTGCGGGTGACGAGTGCTAATCGTTGCTGGGGATGAATGGTGTCCGTTTGGTGGCTGTCGTCGATGAGGCGGAACATAGCGACTGGATTCAGCACTGGAAGACATAGCAATTTTCCTAACACTCTTTTATTCGATCGGGGTTTGAGGGAGGTACTTTTCGTTTTCTCTCTTTGTCCCTCGCTCGTTATTATATATTGTTGTTGTTTTTGTGGTGGTTGCAGAGGTTTCTTTTTTCCCGCGCCGTGTTGATGTCCACGATTGGCCCGTTATTTGCGACCCCTCCGAATCATTCCATACCGTCAGTCAGGCGTACGTGCTGGAAGGATCTATTGCCCATCGCGCTTTACGCAACGCATCATCTTTACATGTTATATGGCCGACAGTTTTGCAGGTCTGTTGTGTATGTGTTAACAACTCCTATCATCGTTGCAGCTAGAGCCATTATTTTCTTGGCAATATGAGTGGCGATCGAGTCACGCGTAGATCACCAAGCAGAGAGAAACGAAAAGTCGCGGTTGCCTTTGACAAAGCACTACAAGAATACACACCAATAATCAAGAAAAAGGCATCAACATCAATTTCATCGAATGCATCCCATGGATCCTCCAATAGCTCTTCCCGATTGTCAGAAGCACCTGGAATTTCGCTACGACAAACAAGAACACAAAACAGCTCTGATTCCAATAGAGACAATAATAGTCTCGTGTTTGTTCTGGAAACAGCGCCGAACGACACCCCAACCGCGCTCGCAACAATGGCTTTTGGAACATCATCCAAAAACAACAAAGACCCAAATACTACCAAAACGACGACTTCTACATTGAAATCCAACTCGATTTGCACAAATGCCAATTCCAGACGAAGTAGTCCAACAACTACGATTGCCGTCAATACTCGTAACGATACAGTGGTTGCTGGTAGTAGTACCCCTGCTACTGTGCGCAAATCGTTGGCAAGACGGAGCAGTCGAAATTGCAGCCCCAACATTGCTGACAACAGCAACAACCACAACAACAACACCAATCGGAACAAGAACAGCACCAGTCCAAATACTGCTACTACTACTACTACTACTACCACCACTACTACTACAAGTAATACCAGTGACGCTCGTCCCCGCTCATCGCGAGCCCGACGAAGTACCACCTCATTTCGTCCCATGACGGTTGCCCCAACCGCTCCCAAAGCTGCCATGTCGGCCTATGATTTCTACCTCCAAGAGGAACTCTTGAGAATGCAACAACAACAACAACAACAACAACAACAACAGAATTCCAGACTATCCAAGGATCAATTGGACAAGAAATTGAAACACCAATGGAAAACGAATTTTCATCGAACTGTCTACAACGACATGGAACGAGACGACCAATTGCGATACGAAATGGAACTTCATCAATACAATAGCATTGTGACTGCGGCTGCAGAAGTCACTTCTGTATCAAACAACGATACCGCCAAGTCAGGATTCACTGCTGGATTGGCTCGGCCTGCTGCTACTGCTACTACTGCTACTGCTAGTACCACACCAGTTGCTAGTTTGAGTAAACCAAAAGTCCAAACGCGAGGAACTCAAACCATTGTGGTGGTTGAGGGTGATGACGACGACAAAGAGAAAGAAGAAACAGAACGATTGTCCAAGAAGACAGCAGCATCCATCGAACATTGCTACAAATCATCATCCTTCCGATTGAAACACAAAAAGAGAAATGAATTATTGGAACAACATCGCAAGCTTCGACGGCAAAAGATGAAGGCGCGGCGCAAGGGGGTTGTATTTGTAGCAAGCAACGAATACGACGACGATGACGAATCATCATCGGATGACGAAGAAGAATATACGACGGCACATTCCCAACCCTGGCAAGTAGAGAAAATTATTGGACAGCGAGATTGTTTTCATGACTGTGAATTCTTGATTCGATGGCAGGGAAAAGATCCAAGTTGGGATTCCTGGGAGACAATTGCTAGTGTCAAGGAATTGGTAATTCTCGGGCAAGATGGTAATGATGATAGTGGTAGTAGTGCTACTCTACATGCCTTTTGGGATCAACTGAGAATATTTGCCAAGGCTGAAGCAGAACGGCGGAAACTCATGGAAGAAGGTGCCAAGGAAATGGGATTGGATCAGTGGGGCGAGGCATTTTCCAAGGTGGAAGATTTGGTGGAGATTCCTTTGGACCAGCAACAACAACAACGACAACGACAAAAGAAGCCAATTGATAAAGGAAATCTACCAGCAACAATATCAGCAGCAGCAGCAGCAGCAACCATGGTACCAAAAGAACTTGAATGCACGACGGCAGAACCTACCAAAGTCCATCAAGGAAAGGAAGCCGACGATGTCACTATGGAAATGGGCGCGAACCCGAAAGCAGCCGACATTGTCAATATGGATATGGACGCAAAACCAGAAGCAGAAACAGAGTCTCCATCCAAGTCTACAGGAAAGGCGATTGTCCAAGAAGAAGCCAAAGAAAGCAAAGATGTCACCATGGAGATGGACACGAAGCCAGAAGCAGAATCAACGACTGTTTCTTCAATGGCTCGAGTCCAAATGGAGTTGGATACGCAGGAGCAACCAGAACCAAGAGTCAATGCAATAGAAACAACGACTGTTTCCACAATGACACTTGCCAATGGGAGAATCGCAAATAGAGCAATAGCAGAGTCACCAACTGCGATGGAAACGGATGAACAGAATCCAACGGCTGCATCTGCTCCTGGCGGGGGTAGCTCGGAAACTGGTACAGCGCCTGAAACGGACACCGAAACCGAAGGGGCCACTGAGCCTACTACACCAGATAGTGCTGTGGGGGGTACTACATCACCAAATCAAATGGAATCAAGCAGCACTGCAACAATTTCGACGACGCCATTGCGAACGCTCACAATCGCTTCCTTTGGACACAAAGAATCCGAGTGGTCAGAACCCGGAACAGCTGCGATGGAGTCACCTGTACCTCCCAACAACTCCACTACTGCCACGACATCAACTACTCCAGCAGCGGCTGCAAGTAATCTAGGTTCTACTGAAAAGGCTGCCGTGCCAGAGACAATTGAAGCGAGAGCGAAAGCAAAACCGCCGGCAGAAGATGTCGAAGCTATTGTGATTGATGACTCTGACGATGATGACGTTGAGAAAGAAACGGAGAGGGATGAGGACACTGTAGTAGCAGAAGTAATAACGAGGGATTCAAGCCATGGTGCCGTTGAGACAGCAGCAAATACTAATTCTTTCTCCGCAAATGGTGGTGTCAAGGCAATACAAGAAATGAAGGAGAAGAATACACCAAGCGAGGCTGGCAACTTCAAGTCACAAAATGGTGGAAGTATTCTCAGGAACGAAGAGCAACATGGTGCCACAAAGGAATGCGCGGAATTCCGAGTCTCGAAACCGAAGCAACAAATACAGGGGAGAATGACTGACAACGTAGACATTGCGGTTTTGGGACTTCGTCAATACTCATACACTTCAGATTTGTCTGGAAAGAGACCAGCTATGAACGGCATACATGCAAAATTTCGAAAGAGAAGAAGAAATCTGGAGAAAAGAAGTCAGCATGGCAACGGCAGAACCGCTTTCTTCCAAGTCCCGTCCACACATGACATGAGAATGCAAGAGGTTCGCAGGATAAACGTTTTTGATATCGACGCAAAGGAGATTGTCACCGAATCCCGCCGCCATGGACATCCCATCGTATTGACGAATTTGCTCGGTCATCCTCAATTTGCGACTCGATGGCTAAGACGTTGGAATGGTCAGAACCGAGACGATGACGAAGACTTTGAGGATGGCGATTCCCACCACCACCAACACGAGGAGTTATTGGATCTATCACAGCCACACGAGCTAGACATTGTACGAATGATTGAAGATATTGGGGTAGAGTCGGTTCCAATCCTCAAGAAGAACTATTCCGAGACGAAGCCAATTGTGAAGGAAACTTATGCTGAAAACTTTCTTCGGAAATGTTGGCCTCGCAATGGCCGGCAGCCAGCAATCAAGGGTCTCTACTTGCATCAGTGGCAATTTCCAAGATCTGAAACAGCTGCATCCAAACTCTGCGGTCATGGGAACTGCGCCACACTTCCAAACAGAATCGTTGGAGAAGATTTGCTTCAATTCTGGCTCGATGGAAAGGATAATCCGTATCAGTACATCTTTATGGGAGGAGCAGATACTTTCAGCAAACTCCACAAAGATAGCGGGGGTCTGGATATTACGATTGCTCCCATTGTGGGAGACAAGGAATGTATCATGGTTCATCGACATGATGAATCGTATCTTTATGGCATGAAATCGAAACTTGACAACCCAGACCTGGACAAATATCCCATGACGGCGAATGCCAGAGCTTGGAAAACTGTTGTGAAGCCTGGGGAACTTCTATGGATGCCTGCAGGAACATTTCATCAATGCCGCAATGTCACACCTTGCCTTTCGTATCATAGGTAAGTCTCGAGGATTTCTGAAGTGTGTTCGTTGAATGACCCACTCATGTTTCTTTTGCTCTTTGTGCGAACCAAAAGATTTCACTTGGATACTATCAACCTCAAACATTTTTTTGAGTCACTCTTCATGGGTGATGCAACGGAGATCGAGCATGATGAAGTCATTTGGAATTGTACGATTGAATTGATAGAACGCATTGAAAAATTTCTAGAATGTTATCGCCAACAGCCAACAGAGAACGTGCCAGAGCATATCACCGAGACAGCAGCTACACTTTGCCATCTCCGTCCTCTGTGCCGTGAAATTGCAATCGCGTTTGATCCGTCCTGCAAACAGATTCATTTCCGACCCCAAAATAAGCTCTTTCGCTCCAAGCAGACTGTCAATTCTCGATGCTGGCCTCAAATTGTGGACGACATTGACCTTACCTTGCATAATTTCAATCACAGAAATTGCTCGGAAGTACCAGAATACCTAACCCAAGCTGAGAAGCCAGATCCCAAACCGCCAAAGACAGAAGATCCTGAGGCAATCCAACGTGGACTTGATCACCTTCAGGATTCGAGTTCCGTACCCAAAGAGGGCAGTGCAACTGGGACGAGTGCATTGCAACGGCTCTATGAGAATCTTTCAGCTATACAACCATTTCAAGAAGGTGTTGTCATTCCAGATTCCACACAGCTCAAAAGCAATGACAAGGTCATTTTCCGTATTGGCGAAAAGCAATGCTCTGGACGAATCGTCAAGATTGAAGATCAATTGAGGAGCGTCTACTTGACATACTCCAGACTCCCTTCTTATTTTCACGAGTATCGGCCAATGGACAGCGTCAATTCTGAGCATGCATCGAAAGGTTCGCAACTACGAACGAAGCAAATTGTTTACTCCGCAATTGGTGGCAAGGGCAAGGTAAATAAATTCGTTTGTATTGCATGATGACATCTGTTAGAAAGTTTGATTCGTCTAACACCGCAACCGAATTGGACTTGCTCCTCTCTCTTTTTTCGCAATGTATTAGCCTGTCATGGCCACGGTCCAGTCCGTCAAAGTTGCAACATTTTACCTAGTGCGATTCAGCATGGACGCAAAGTCTGCCAAGCTTGAACGATGGCTTTGCCGAGACGCAATTATTAGCAAAGAAAACTAATTTCTTTCATTGCATCTCATAGCAACGTATTGGAACAGAAGGTATAAAGGTGGTAGGTTTGGAGTTTCGTAATTGCATTCTGGTTACTACAGTAAAGTAAAGCTCTATGCCATTCTCAGTTGGTAGTCACCATGGGCAGTAATGTATCGCACCCACGGCAAAGCTTGGTACCCACTCTTTTCAATAATCTTGAGATATCGTACTTGTATTCCACTGACTGTGAAATATGGAATTTCGAACTTGACACGAATGGGAGCCTTCCATGAATTTTCTCCCTTCTTCTTGCCATCGTCGGCATCATCTCTTCGGCTAATAGAGGGCAATCCAAAGTGTGCCCGCATGAGGTATTCTCTTCCGCCATGAAATTGTTTGATATTCCAAACGATTGCGTCCTTGTCTGGTAAGTATGTAACACTACCAACACTGGATTTGAAGGATGGGCTGTCGACATCTGGTGGCACTGGAATGATAATCTCCACATTGTTGGCAACACTTCGCGACTTGAAATTTGACCGCGTCTTGATCATGTATTCAATTCTGGATCCCTTGTGTGGCTCCACAACAGCTTCGACCCAGATCAAAGGCTTGACTTGTGTATTCAGTCGATACGTCATTAGATCGAATTCACCATCCGGGGGAATAAAGGAAATTGTTCTGTCATTTTCAAATCGGGCAAGTCTGACGCACTGGTGGAACTTGATATCCTCCAATTCAACTGATTTTCCTTTAGCTTGGTTTGACCTTCCTGTGGCCTCAAACATTAGCTTATCGTTCAATCCAAGTTTCAATTCAGGCATTCCAGACAAGAATGACCTCATCTTGACAGCTCCGTTGATTTCCGAATGCAAAACTGAGCCGTTTGCGGCCACCAAAAGATTAAGCTTTTCCACAACATCCAAGAAAATTTCATTCTTCTTATGTTTGATACCCTCCGCTCTCCAGGATACAGCATTGGTCAAAGCAACAGGAGGTTTGCTGTTGGAATTCTCAGCCATGCGGTTGGCATCTTGAGTAATGAATGTTCGCAAAATATTACTATCCAACGATTGAGGCATTCCGTGGTCCATAGTCTCATCTAGCAATTCATAAATGACGACAAAGTTATCCCTTATCGATTCCTCTTCCAATGATCCAAAGTAATCCTTGAACACTTGCGCGAGACGGAATAGAAACGTCAGAATCAATGCAACATTGGAGTTCTTTGTTGTCACCGCACACAAATAGACATTTTGATGCTGTTTATGAGAAAGTATGCAGGCATTGAAGCAAGGCAACAAGAGAAAAAAGTAACAGTAACAACAACAACACCATGTTAGACATCTGAATCCTGTTGTCAACCATGATCTCCCCCAATATCGAGCCTTGAAATGAGGGATAAAGGCGTAGTACTAGTACTCACAGCAACGTAGACAAAATGTTCACCCCCAACTCCATTGGCACCAACTTCCTCGCCGACTGAGATTTCCCCATTGCTGTCGATGTGAAAGACAGGCTTCTTTGCCTCTTCATCTACATTAGCCAAGTAATTTTGGAACTGGTCTATTGCTCTGGCGAGAGGAACATCGCCTCTGTAATCTCGGCTGATGATTGCTTTACCTTGCAAATCGGTGACGAAAACCGCCGAGGCCACCATGGTTGATTTTAGGGGGATTTAATTTTTGAAAAATGACCGTGGCTGAATTCAAATGAAGTGCACAGGACGGACGTCGAAACTAAAACTATTTTAGTCCTCAAGTTAGCGATGGTGTCGTATCCAGATTCCTCGTCCCAGTGATTACTGTAGTCCTCACTATGCAACGACAGCCGCAGGTTGTGTTCTGTAACCAAGTCTCGTTCCTTTTGAATCTTTGTTGTTCTCATTCAATCTAGAGTTTTCCATACCACCCAACTTTTCGAGAGTGATAAATGCTGCATCATGGCTTTCCACATCGATCGACCAAGAATCTCGGAACCTTCCCAGAGAAGAGTGATTCCAAATATCTCGAACCAAGAAATCACAGTGGCTACCATGTTCATCATGTGAGCAATCCGCATATGGGATATTTGTAAAGTTGGCTGTCAAAGTACGAGTCTCGTTTGCACTGTTCATCAACAGCACTGCTACTTTGTTTTTCGCGATGGGCTTGGAAAGATACTGATACTCAGGGAGAGATATAGCAGAGGCGCCCTCCGACTCCAGCAAGACGGTCTGATTGGCTTGGTCGTAAACTCCACCGGATTCCCCAAAATAGGCTTGGTTGACTGCCAAGATTTCATCATTGGCAATAATGTCCCATATCCGATCCATCACGTCATCATCATTCACATCATGACTCAAGATTAAAGGAGACGAGACGATGGCCCACCCTGCAAAGTGACTTCGAGTCTCTTGAATATTCAACCCTTGGCGGACCCCAATTTGCAACATATCGGCATAGGCCCAGCACCCAGGGTAGCTGGAATTGGTGGCCCGATAAGGCTCAACTGTGCCTAAACATAAAGAGATGGATAATAATTAGCACCACGACCGTCAAAATTCGATTGCCAACCATCGGTTTGTTCGTACCTAAATTGTGCATGATGGATGGATAGTTGTTTCGAATGTCCACGCTGGTTCGATAAAAGTGATAGGTGGGACATCCTTGTCCCAGCAATGGGTCGTTCTTATCGCAGTGCTCCACAAGGATTGGATTCTTGGGAGAAAATTCAGTAAGATACTTGTCCCAAAGTGTCAAATTCTTCTCGTTTCCACATCCGTCAATTTTTAGACCAGAATATCCATAGTCCACAAGTGCCTTGGAATCTTGCCGAATTTGCATTTCGCATTCGCCAGTGGTAAAGTTACAATGATCATTACAAGCGCAATTGTTGGAATACCAGCCAGCAGTCAAGCCAAGACTTTTGGCATGGTCGGTCATATTCTTCATGGAGGGAAAGCGATCGTAATTGATCAGTGGGTTCCCCTCAGCATCATGGTAGTGCATTCCAGGTGCGGCCTGTGGACTCTTACAAGCTTGCCAAGTATCGTCTAGACCAACATCGCAATACCCCAAATCGCAGAGTGAAACCGGATACCCTTTCCAATTCTTCCTCGTTCGATTCACCAATCCATTCATAATAGCAACCAATTCGTATTGATGGACATTTCCAACGTAAAGATTCCATGAGCGCCAGCCAAGGGGAGGCTTCAGTGCCAATCCATCATCTTTGGCATTGGCCGCAGACTGTTTCAACAGTAGAAGGGCGGTGACGAGTATGAATGACATAGTCATTGCTAAATCAGTATTATGTCATCTTGTCGTCGATATCTGAAATCGCAAGATACAAAATAATTGCGCGACGAAGAGAGCGCAGGTACCTGGTACGAGTAACCTGCAAAACACAGAAGCTACTGGTGCCCTACAGTATCATCAATATATAAAATGATATCTTATTAATATTTAAAATATATAAAAAGGTTGATATTTCCAGATTCCTAGGCATCATCCGAGGCTGCGCTAGAATCAGCTGTCTTCTCTCCGCTAGCATCCTCAGTGGCCTCGGCACTAAGTTCTCCGTTCGCCTTCTCGTCAACAATCTCGACTTCCACAACTTCCAATGGAGGGGCTTCAACAGTGGCAACCGCAGGGCCGGCCTCTTCTTCCTTTTTCTCTGAGGCTTGTCCAATGACTGCGGCTACAAAAGGGCTCTTTGCTGATACTTCCGACAATCGCCCAGCAATAGCATCCTTCATATCTGCTTCGTCTTTCTCCTCCTCGGAAATAACTTTTTCCAACACTTGCTCGTCGCCTGGTAGGGATGGCTTCTTCACTAGCACGGGTTGCTTCTTCGCCCGCTCAATTCCCAATTGAACCAAAGCCATGTCATCCTCCGACATCCTACCGCTCATAACTTCCTTTCGCTTTGTTTCCAGGATGGCATTAACTTCTTCTGGGGATCCTCCCAACGCTTTCAGAACGGCTCCTCCAAATGGCAGAGTCAGTAATACGTTGTCCTCTGGAAGGATTGGCACCATTGCAGCTACGTCGAGAGTCGATTGCAACCGGTAGGCGTGGTCCTTATCCCGGGCTCGGGCAAAGATCTTTACATCAGGGTACCATCGGCGCAAGGCAATGACAGCACGGGTACATTCCGCTTGGTCCGAAATACAAACAATGACTGCCTTTGCCTTGCCGACATTGAAGGCATCGGCAACTTCTTGGCGACCGATATCTCCATAAAACACTGGAAGACCAGCGTTTCTGGCGGCAATGGCCTTGTTCGGGTCTACTTCAATAGCGACGTACTTGGAAAGTTTGCGATCAAGCAAGTCACAGACAACCTTTCCGACGGCACCATATCCAATGACCACGGCAAAGTCGTCACTTTCTTTGATTTCATTGGCATCGCGATCTTCTCCAAGGTAATGGGTGAAGTCACTGTTTTCTTCAAGCTTCTTGGCAACAGCAGCACCAATGGAACTCATGGCAGGGGTTAAGGCCATGGTCAAACTGACGCATGTCAACATGAGTTTCGTGGTGGGTTTGTCAAGGATACCAAGCGATCTGGCAAGACCAAAGGCGACAAAGGCAAATTCTCCACCTTGACTGAGAATAAGACCAGTCTGTTGCGAGACAGAGAGACTCAATCCAAAGGCCAAACTGAGCAGAGTTGTAACGATGGCCTTGATACCCAAAATACCAGCAACGACGCAAGAAACGAGAGGCAAGTTGGAAAGAATCAAGTTGACATCAATTTCAAAACCAACGGTGACAAAGAAAAGTCCAAGTAGGACACCGCGGAAGGGGGCAATGTCAGCCTCGACTTGGTAGCGGTACTTGGTTTCAGACAACAACACACCAGCAAGGAAGGCTCCCAAAGTGTTCGACAAACCCAGACCTTCAGTCATAAAAGACATTCCAAGGACTGTCAAGAGGATTAATCCAAGGAAAGCTTCTTGAGACTTGGCCGAAGCCACAGTCTTAAACATAGGGTTCAGCAAGTAGCGTCCTGCCAACGTGATAGTACCCAATGCAATACCAGCCTTCAAAACAGCACTTCCCAAAGCTTGGGCGAGACCTCCACCGCCTCCAGCCAAGATGGGGGTGACGACCAACAATGGAACAACAGCCAAATCTTGGAACAAAAGAATTCCAAAGGCTGCCTTTCCAAAACGAGTGGCCAATTGATTCTTGTCCTTGAGCAATTGCAAGACAAAGGCGGAACTGGAAAGCGCAATACCTCCGCCAAGAACCACCAAGGCAGGGCCAGGAAGACCAACCATCTTTCCAACACCAGCGACAGCAAGGGCTGTACACAAGAATTGACTCAAGCCAAGTCCAAAGACATCACGCTTCATACTCAACAAACGGTCAACACTCAATTCGATTCCCATTTCAAAAAGGAAAAAGACAATACCGAGTTCAGCCAGAGTCTCAGTGGTATGAACACCGCTGATAAGTCCCCATCCATTGGGTCCCAACAACATTCCAGATGCCAAAAATCCAAGAATGGGCGACATGCCAGCCTTTTGACAGATTGGGGTAATCAAAGCAGTGGCCAACAAGAGCAACATGGTATCTGACTTGGGGCCAGACATGTAGTTGCCAAGTTCCACCATGGCTTCCATGAATGTCTTGGAGGTAGACTCGGCGGCAGTGGATACCGCTTTCTCCACTTTGCTCTTTTGTCCCATCTTGATGGGAAGAACGGGTTTGGAGGCTTCTCCTCCGCGAATTTCGATATCAGGAGTGGGAGAATTTCGGACCACGTTGATTTCCTGAGCATTGTTGTTCATGTGAGCAGTAGGATTATGGTACGACTCTCCAACTTGGTGATTGGAAGAGACAAGAAGCGACAAGGCGACAGCTGCAGCTGCCAACATGCTCCTGCCTCGCTTTGTCTTCCAAAATAGCACCTTGGACATCCATGTCTTGGTCTTGGAGGCAAAGCGACGGCAGGATTGGACCTTTCGCTTTGCCCAGCTGGGTTCGTTGGGATCATCATCTCGGGCAGTCTACGTAGCAAGAGTAGTAGAGGGTCACGTGTGAGATTGGGAGTTGTTGTGGTCAATGCTTGGCTTCAAAAATCAGAAAGCAACCTACCACATCGACGCAAACATCATGTCGAGCTTTCAAAGTAGAAAATGATGTTCTTGGAGAATTATTCATGTATTTAAATGACGACTCTCTGGAGATGGAAGTTAGTGAAATTCCAGGAGATAGACCCGGTCTGTTGGTATTGAAAGCATTGGATTGCGTTGACAAAAGTGCCAACAAACATAGCAACAAAACTCGCATCGAACCTCCAAATATTATCGTCTTTCTAACTGAACTATTCATTGTGTTGGCCTTCATTCCAGTAGAGTCGGAGAGGGACCCTTTCTGGTGAAGTAGATACGTTTAACAACAAGTCAAAAACAGCAACAAGAGCAAGAGTACTGAAGAGCTCCGATGATGAGACCTTTGACCGATTGGATTCATCGTCCACCATCACCACATGCGTGTGCGTTCTCCAACTGAAAAAAATAGTGACGGAAGCGATCCCCAAATATTGTGACGTCAGTCTACTGTCTGATGCGACATATGCATGAGAGTGGCAAAACACAAGACAAAAAAGGAATACTGTGATATTCATGCACGAAAAAACATTGAAGATGATGCTGTTGGTTTCCTAATATTTGTTGACCACAGCCCAGACTAATGAAGCTAGGAGGCAATGTTGTGCGAACAATACTGGCTAGCATTACGCTTTTGGCATTCTTGACGGTGATTGGTCAATTTCGGTCGCTGCATCGGCTGATGAACAACAACGACTCGAAACCCATGAATACACTCACCCCGGACTATGTATTTACTTGGACGCGTCCTTCCATTTCATCGTCCTACAATCCAAGCAACCAGTCTTCAACAGTAGTATCAACAACCCATTCGAATTTTACTGTGGAATTTCCGCTGTGTCTAGTTCACGTGGGCAAGGCAGGCGGTTCCTCCATATCCTGTGGATTGGGATTGATGTATGCGGATTGCGAAGGCATGCCTCGGGACGCTTTGCCAGACACCCATTACTTTCACATCAAGCGCAACACTTGCCCTTTCGACACCACACGAACTTACTTGGTGACACTCCGAAACCCAATCACCCGGCTACAAAGTTGGTTCAACTTTGAAAAGACTATCATTCCGTATCGAAAGAACAAACAACAAGAAGCCAAGGCCATAAAACAGAGGGGGAGACTCTTCACCGAATGCTATAGCGATTTTGAGTCATTTGCTTCTACTGGACTACAGCCCCTCAAGGAACCAATTCAAGCCGTGAGAGTGGTAGATATGAGTTGTCCTGAACGTGCTTGGGCTGCTGCGGTTGGTGCTCGGGCCTTTTCGTATCACGAGTATTATAACTACGAGCACTATTACAATGGTTTCCATATGCACAAGGGAGATGATGGAAGCCATGTGTCTATTCAAGCCCTCCGATCGGAGCACTTGCAAGACGACTGGGCGACCGTCTCCAGTGAAGAATTATTTCGTCAAGTGAACAAGGGATCAAAGAATCACACCAACGCCTCTCCTTCCTTGCCCACCAATGCAATGGCAAATCTCTGCCATGCATTGTGTTCTGAGATCCAATACTACAAACACTTTCTCTCCTTGGCAGAGAACCTCAGCCCAAGCGATGTAAAAACTTCACTTCAAGAGCTGACCGCAATGTGTCCTGATGAGACCGAAACGGTCCGCGAATGCCAAGGCCTTCCTACATTTCCAAAACTAAGAGTACCTGAAGGAAAGTACGACCAAGAAACCAAAAAAAGATTTTACGAAGTGAACACCGAAGCGTAGAGACTAGTTTATCATCACGACAGAGGTTGAAACACTCTTTCAACTCTTGACAGTAACTCGGAAAGTACGAATGTCCATCGGTTGCAGCTCCACTGCAGTATCTTTCAGATCAATGCTAGTACCATTGGAGGACAGTGATGCACTGGCAGTCCATACCAGTCTTGACTTTTCCCAGTCTTCAATCTTCTGGTTTCCAGACAAAGTCAGCTCGACAACCTCGGTAATTTCATATTCAGGCAGACAGTCAACAAGATCGACTGCCGCAGGATTTGACAGCTCGTCATCTTCTCCCAGTCCATACTGATGTCCAAGTCGTATCAAAAACTGCTTCTCCGATTTGGAAGAGGTGGCGTCTGTCCACCGGCGGCGAGTTATCAACATCACATTTGCAGGCAAGTCTTTCCCGATGCCTGTAATGCTGGACGCTTGCACAGAAAGGCCCTGCATTCCCTTGGAGGATCCCACAAAGACTAACGGATCTGCAAAAGAAGAGTCCATCATCGAGCGGGCTAGTGTAGCGCCACCCTTTCCGCCAACCATTATTCTGTGCTTTCCTCGGACAACAAGACCTCTGCCATACCTCGTGGCATTTCCAAATGGTGGGTATGGTGTCACCCCACCATCGGTCTCATTGATCGGTTCACCTACGCCACGAGAATCGTCCGCAAGAGTTCGTCGGTGAACCATCAGCTCAATCGACCCATCATGCAGCGAAGCGCCTCCTTGACTTCTGTCAACAGCAATGGCGAAACCAGATGTCTTGGATTCATCTTCGACATAGATTGCAGCATTCACTGGATAGTAGTTTCCTGCCACCGGCTCATATACATCGAGATCCCATGAAGGGCGGTAGTTCTTTCGACGTTCCATGAATTCTCGACCATTGGAGTCGGTGTAAAAGGTGCCAGAACTTTTAATTGGACTCCAGAATCTTGAAACTACTTCTTTTCCGACTCCATCGGCAACTGGAATGGGACCAACGGTGTACTCTACCTCCAGATGAGGTTGTCCAGGCAAGATGCGATACGTGGATTGGATCCACGGTTCGTCATACTCGATGTGAACCTCCATGAAGCCAGCCGTTTGTTGGAAGTTGGCAGACTTTGGTTTCACCGTGATGAGTTTTTGATCGGGTGAACTCGGGCGAAAGATGTAAGCCCCCGAGTTTTGCTTATCGCTTTCATACTTTCCATCGATGTTGTAGTCCCATGATGTATAGTATCCCCACTCGTGAGAGGCTTCCAATGTGAAATTGGATGCAGTAATACTCTTTAGCTCTCCGGTGGTTCTGTGATAAGACAAGCAGAGGCGATGAGTTATTGACGACATGAAACAAACATCTGTAGGCGAAGGCAAAATGAAACTTACCCGTCAAAAACAGCCGTCACCAGACCATTCGAGTACTCGACATCTTCCTTCCTGCTATCGGACTCAGAAGCCAGAATCCTTTGCTCAGTAGTGACAGAATCGAGGAAGGGTTCGTCATCGTCGATCGACTGTGAGTCAGAGCCACCAATGAATGCCACTTGATACATCTTGGCACCCAACGCAGGAAGGACGCCTGTATCCAGCGGCAGCACAAACGATGCTGCTCCGGTAGCTGTACTTTTGAGTGACGGGAGTGATGAAATGATCGTTGCAGTACTGTTCGGATCGCCACCTGACCGAACACTGTACAAACCAGCAGAAGAGACTGGCAACAGAATTGGGGTCCATCGAGGTTGGCCTAAAGCATTGTACACAATCACGCTGACAGTGGTGCTGTTTGGTTCGTGTGTTCCAGCCTAGTGCAACATCAAAAGGGTCAATAATAATCACCAATTGCACCTAGGGACACACAGTTCAAACTACTTACCTGTGAAACGTCACAAACCGTTTCATTCAGCTTTTGACAAAGAGTCAAGTTATCAATTGTCGCATTCAATCCAAATACAAGTCTACCGAGTTTTGCAGAGGTAACTGAAACAGCAGCATCAATTCCTTTCTGTAGTCTCTTGGAATAATCGTTTGCGACATGTTGCTTGGCAGTTCCCGACACTCCGTCATGATGCTGTATTACCCCAAGTGCATCCTCAAGCTCGTATATTGCAGCATCCATTTCATCACAATCGCAAGGGGCACCATCGACGTCCGCCATTGTTTCAATTTGACGAGCGGCAAGCAAAAAGGAAGACCCAACACGTTCGTGTCGTTTGAGACTTGCCCTTGACGTAAAGTATCCCGTCCAAAAGCCGTGTTCCCGGTCAGCATAGGGAAAGAAGTCATCTTTCTTGATACCATATTCCACTTTCCGAATGCCATTGACCGTCTTGTCTCTTTGTGTTTTGAGTAATTCGTCGTGCTTGCATTTAGTATAGTACTCTGGGGAAGAGAAAAAGATATTGACTTGTTCAAATCGAGGAGAGAAGATTTCAGGAATGTCAATAATGCCTAAGCCCTGGAACATGTTCAGAGAAAGGATCAATTTGTCCAAGTTGGCATAATTGTAACTGGCATGTTGATACTGTCTCCGATCAATAGTGAGAAATATGACTGAAGTGTCGAATACAGAACTGACGGAACTGAACGTACATGAAAATCCGAGCCCATCGTAATCATGATATGATTGCCTTGCGACATGTCAGCTTGGACTCGAATCAGGTCCAAGAAATCTGTCATATGAGACACAAGCGCACTTTTATTCATCGGCAACAACGACGGATCGCCACATCGTACTTCATCAAAACAAAATCCTTGCGGATTGCCATAATTACCAACATAGCTCCCGGTAAGACCCCAGAAGATCGTGGAATCGTCAAGGTTCTCACTCGCATTCCACAAACCTTCACATGACCTTTGAAGCTGACGTAGGCGAAGCTCCTGATAATCCATGCGTCCAAAGAAGAGAGCGTCGAAACCCATCTTATGGGTGAACAGAGAAGCTTGTGAAGCTGAATGGCCAAATGGGTCAAGCTGCCACCCCACCTTTGGAATAACTCCCAGCTCTCTCTTCAGGAACTCGTGTCCCAAAGTGGTTTGATCAATCATTCCCATGAAATGCGTCGCTGCTTCATCTAAGGAGAATAAAATGAGATATCTTAGTATACAGCTTCCGATGAATATTTCATATCGCCACTCTTCCAGTCATGACCTCAACTCACCATGCATGCTCCATCCTCCATTTGAAAAAGACAACTGCTTGTTGGCTACCAAATACCGAACCGAATCCTTCACAGCATCGGTCTGCTGGTTCCACCACATACTGAAGAACTTGGATTCGACATAGGTAAATGTCCGACTCTCATGCTCCAGGAGAGAGGCCACGGCTGTGTCAAGAATATCCTTGACACAAACATGTTGAATTGTATTATTAAGACCATAGTAGTATTGATCGACAGTTTTCAGCCATCCAACATCGTCGTGGGTATGAGGAACGACATGAATATTCAATACTCGGGGATCGTCCATATTGGCCGATAGCTTTTGAGGCGAGAAGTCGGTCTTGAGTTGGCTCTTATTATTTGGTGAAACGCGTCTTTGTTCCTGATTGGATTGCCCTTTCCACGATTTAGCGTATCGATTCTTGTTGGCCATAATTTCAAATAGGCATCCCAAAGCAACAAGTACCGATATCCCTAATTTAATGGTGAATGCCGGAAAAGTATTTCTGTGGGAGATACCATTCTTGAGGGATCGGCGTGTCGATGATGACTCATTTTGTTTCGCGGGAGACAGAGCAACATCCTTTTCTTCATCGTCCTTCTGAACATATTTCATTGTCATGAATCTATACCTCTCCGCCGCTGCACTTCTCTGCCTCGAATGCGACAGAAAAGAAATGGGTAAGGAAGTAGATTGAAGCAACACCTTGACACCGGTACGAATACTCCTTCGGATGCGTATCATCGTATCAGAAAGAAGATCTTCCGACTCATCGGAATGAAACTATTACAACCTACTGTACGCTACCAGTACTATGGGGCCAGATTATGGTCTCCGAGCTATAAAACAAAACTTAACATTATTGAAGGTAGAGACTGCTAGCTCTTGACAGCCACTTGGAAAGTACGAATGTCCATCGGTTGCAGCTCCACTGCAGTATCTTTCAGATCAATGCTAGTACCATTGGAGGACAGTGATGCACTGGCAGTCCATACCAGTCTTGACTTTTCCCAGTCTTCAATCTTCTGGTTTCCAGACAAAGTCAGCTCGACAACCTCGGTAATTTCATATTCAGGCAGACAGTCAACAAGATCGACTGCCGCAGGATTTGACAGCTCGTCATCTTCTCCCAGTCCATACTGATGTCCAAGTCGTATCAAAAACTGCTTCTCCGATTTGGAAGAGGTGGCGTCTGTCCACCGGCGGCGAGTTATCAACATCACATTTGCAGGCAAGTCTTTCCCGATGCCTGTAATGCTGGACGCTTGCACAGAAAGGCCCTGCATTCCCTTGGAGGATCCCACAAAGACTAACGGATCTGCAAAAGAAGAGTCCATCATCGAGCGGGCTAGTGTAGCGCCACCCTTTCCGCCAACCATTATTCTGTGCTTTCCTCGGACAACAAGACCTCTGCCATACCTCGTGGCATTTCCAAATGGTGGGTATGGTGTCACCCCACCATCGGTCTCATTGATCGGTTCACCTACGCCACGAGAATCGTCCGCAAGAGTTCGTCGGTGAACCATCAGCTCAATCGACCCATCATGCAGCGAAGCGCCTCCTTGACTTCTGTCAACAGCAATGGCGAAACCAGATGTCTTGGATTCATCTTCGACATAGATTGCAGCATTCACTGGATAGTAGTTTCCTGCCACCGGCTCATATACATCGAGATCCCATGAAGGGCGGTAGTTCTTTCGACGTTCCATGAATTCTCGACCATTGGAGTCGGTGTAAAAGGTGCCAGAACTTTTAATTGGACTCCAGAATCTTGAAACTACTTCTTTTCCGACTCCATCGGCAACTGGAATGGGACCAACGGTGTACTCTACCTCCAGATGAGGTTGTCCAGGCAAGATGCGATACGTGGATTGGATCCACGGTTCGTCATACTCGATGTGAACCTCCATGAAGCCAGCCGTTTGTTGGAAGTTGGCAGACTTTGGTTTCACCGTGATGAGTTTTTGATCGGGTGAACTCGGGCGAAAGATGTAAGCCCCCGAGTTTTGCTTATCGCTTTCATACTTTCCATCGATGTTGTAGTCCCATGATGTATAGTATCCCCACTCGTGAGAGGCTTCCAATGTGAAATTGGATGCAGTAATACTCTTTAGCTCTCCGGTGGTTCTGTGATAAGACAAGCAGAGGCGATGAGTTATTGACGACATGAAACAAACATCTGTAGGCGAAGGCAAAATGAAACTTACCCGTCAAAAACAGCCGTCACCAGACCATTCGAGTACTCGACATCTTCCTTCCTGCTATCGGACTCAGAAGCCAGAATCCTTTGCTCACTGATAGCAGATTTCTCACCGTCGATCGACTGTGAGTCAGAGCCACCAGTGAATGTGACTTGATACATCTTGGCACCCAGAGCAGGAAGGACACCTGTATCCAGCGGCAGCACAAACGATGCGGCTCCGGTGGCTGTACTTTTGAGGGATTGTAGTGAGGAAATGATCGTTGCAGTACCGTTCGGGTCGTCACCTGACCGAACGCTGTACAAACCAGCGGAAGAGACTGGCAACAGAATCGGGGTCGATCGTGGTTGGCCTAAAGCATTGTACACAATCACGCTGACGGTGGTGCTGTTTGGTTCAAGCGTTCCAGCCTATAGTGCAACGTCAAAAGTGTCAGTTGAAAGTATCTCAACTCAATGGGAGGGACACACTGTACAGACAATCCTTACCTGTGAAACGTCACAAATAGTTTCATTCAGCTTTTGACAAAGAGTCAAGTTATCAATTGTCGCATTCAATCCAAATACAAGTCTACCGAGTTTTGCAGAGGTAACTGAAACAGCAGCATCAATTCCTTTCTGTAGTCTCTTGGAATAATCGTTTGCGACATGTTGCTTGGCAGTTCCCGACACTCCGTCATGATGCTGTATTACCCCAAGTGCATCCTCAAGCTCGTATATTGCAGCATCCATTTCATCACAATCGCAAGGGGCACCATCGACGTCCGCCATTGTTTCAATTTGACGAGCGGCAAGCAAAAAGGAAGACCCAACACGTTCGTGTCGTTTGAGACTTGCCCTTGACGTAAAGTATCCCGTCCAAAAGCCGTGTTCCCGGTCAGCGTAGGGAAAGAAGTCATCTGTCTTGATACCATATTCCACTTTGTAATTGGTGCCACCGATCTTGGGTTCTTGCTGCTTTTGCAGCTCGTCATTTTTACATTTAGTATAGTACTCTGGGGAAGAAAAAAAGATGTTGACATGGTCGAATCGAGGATAAAACAATTCAGGCACATCGATCATGTCCCAAGCTTGGAACCGATTGATAGATTCAATCAGCTTATCCAAGTTGGCAAAGTTGTAACTACCACGTTGGTACTGAGAAGCTAGTAGGTGAGCGAAACAGAGAATTGGCAATACAAAGGAGAGTTGGGAGTAATCCAGCAACTTACTTGAAAGTCTTCGCCCATGGTCAACATGATATGATTGCCTCGAGTCTGGTCAGCTTGAATTCGAATTAGGTCCAAGAAATCTAGAATGTGAGCCTCCAAGGCAGTTTCGTTCATTTGTATCAATAATGGATCGTGGCAGTGACTATCAAAGCAAAACCCCTTTGGAGGTCCGTACATTCCGTTGTTACTTCCGCTCAGTCCCCAAAAGATGGTTGAATCTTCAAGGTTCTCACTCGCATTCCATAGCCCTTCACAGGATTTTTGGAGCTGACGTAGACGAAGGTCTTGATAATCGATGCGGCCAAAGAATAGAGCATCGAAACCTATCTTATGCGTGAACAGGGAGGCTTGTGACGCCGAATGGCCAAATGGGTCGAGCTGCCAGCCAACCTTTGGAATAACTCCCAACTCTCTCTTCAGGAACTCATGCCCCAAAGTAGTTTGATCAATCATTCCCATGAAATGTGTCGCTGCCTCATCTGAGTGGGAAAGACGAGGACATTTTAGTCTCAGTTGTCACGTCGAACCATCATCACAATATTATTAGTATCGCAGCGTGCTTACCATGCATACACCATGCTCCGTTGGTAAAGGACAATTGCTGGTTAGCCACCAAATAGCGTACCGTATCTTTCATTGCATCAGTCTGCTCGTTCCACCACATGCTAAAGAACTTCGTTTCTACATAGGTAAACGTCCGGGTCTCATGTTCCAAAAGAGACTCCACAACAGTATCCAAAATATCCTTGACACAAACACCTTGAATTGTATTATTAAGACCATAATAGTACTGCTCGACAGTTTTGAGCCAACCCACATCGTCATGGGTATGAGGAACGACATGGACATTCAACACGCGTGGATTCTCCATGTCAGCCGACAATTTTTGGGGACCAGAGAAAAGGCGTCGTTCACGTTGTTGTTTTAGATGACGATGATCCCATGCTTTGTTTTCTGTCATGTCACCACCTATAAAACTGACTGCAACTCCAATAGCGATGGTGACACTTGCCACGAATATGATTGCTGGGGCCAGCCGTGACTTGTGTGTCGATGAGGGCGGTCGTGAGACTGACTCGTCTTCGTCCTCCTCTCTGTTATTGACTAGATCTTTCTCTTCATCTGCATCTTTCATCGTTCGATGGACCCTTAGTTGGTCACCTTTGAGCAAAATCGAATGAGAGGAGAGGCACAGTAGGCAAACGAGAAAGAAGGTTGGGTCGTTTTGTGTTATTGTGATGGTTTTGGTTTATATTGTTGTTTTCACGATCTTCGACTGATTCGAATAACTCAGAGAAAAGAAAGAATAAGATTTCGGATGACGATGACACTGTTGCAAGAACATCACCAGTCATGAGAACCTGTCATGTCCTCCTTTCAATATTTCTTTACGTCTCCCATGTATGTAGTGCTCTCAAAGTCATAGTGGACCCGGACAGTCACTCGTATCGCATCGATACGAAGCATGAAACGGTCCTCGTCGGCTCGAACATTGCCGTCTTTGTCGCCGGAAGATGGTGCGTGCAGGGAGCAACGGAGGGCGAAGAGAACATTTGGCCGATGGAATTGCATAACAGCCAGAATATTAGTGGTGTGGATCCAAGCTTGGGATCTTTCGCCGGCATCGCAATTGAATGGAACTGTGTCTTGAAGGACAACGATGTCGTCCCCTTGGTCACATCCTTTCGGAATTTCAACGGAACCGCAGTCGTATTGGATCTAAAGTTTCCAAATGGTGCCACAGGCACAAGTTTTGATGATCCAAAGGCTTCCATGACTAATTTCCCAACATTTTCGCTGCCGACCAAATACTCCTATCTTTCATGGCACGGATCCTTTATTCAGAGCACTAGAGGTTTGTCCGAAGGTCCACAAGGAGGTCCAACTGTCTTCTTCAAGCCATCATCATCATCGTCGTCGGACGACGATGATGGTGATTCTATAGATGCGATTGTCGGGTCACCTTGGATCGACTTCAGAACCATGAAGGCGTTTACGGCAGGAACGAATAAGGATTACAAGGGTCAATCCGCTTGGGCTCCAGGGACCAGCGCTCGGATTCACGAGTTACCGGCCGGATATACCCAGTCGTTCATTTTGTACGAAGGCACTGGGATCACTGCGACCATGTACGAATGGGGACAGGCTATGCAACGCTCATTTGAACCAAAACTAGAGGATGCCACCTTGACCAATATTGGATACCAGACGGACAATGGAGCAGCCTATTGTTTTTGCAAAGAAGCCAACTGTTCCGAGACAGTGAGTGATGCTCTGTGGGAAGTTGGGTTGCTTGTCGTACGTTTATATACATATATCTAACTTCTGTCGTTTTAGCTTATACACGAAATTGCCGACTTGAAGGCGAACGGAGTTCCCATGGGTTATCTTTCCTTTCAAGGAGCTGGAACCTCCAGTGGAAGAGGGCAGGCGGCTCCTTGGTGTGTGGAAACTTGGGGTGTGGACGGTGGTCTCAATGCAGACCACTATCCATTGCCTGTCAAAGACATGCAAGAGGCCATCGACATTCCAGTACAATTGTATTGCCCGTACTTTTGTCCTACCACCAAATACTTTGATGATGATGGGCAGTGGTCGGGTGTGGCTTCGGATCCAACCTTGCCGGGATGCAAGGATTATGAATTTCGAGACGTTGCTCCCCAGCAGTCCAAAGAATTTTACGGATGGTTCATGGATAAGGGCATCAAGGCAGGAATGAAAAGTTTTGAGACTGACTTTATGAATCAGAATTACAATTGCGTTCCTGCCTTTATCGAATCGGCGTCTGCGGGCGACACTTGGTTGAGTGGGATGGCAGATGCCGCATGGGAAAGGAATATCACGATTCAATGGTGTTATGCTACACCCACAGATCTCTTGGCATCTATTCGGATGCCTGCTGTGACCCAATTCCGAGTATCGTTTGACTTTTGCTATGGACGCAGCTGGGATATTGGGGAATCATCATTGTTAGTGTGGGCATTGGGAGGAAAACCGAGTAAGGATACTTTGTGGACCTCTGACAATGGAAAGCTAGAGTAAGTGTGCAGCTGACATGGTGACTGGATGAAAGACTGGCTTGACTCCTGTTTCTCACAAGCACCAATGTTTTGTAGGACTCCGGGTTGTTCGTGGACAGTGGATCACGAGGCTCCCGCTGCCGAGCTCCATCTCGTTCTGGCCTTGATGAGTACAGGTCCCGTTGGAATCTCGGATGCCATTGGTCACACCAACTTTACCATGGCACAACGCGCCATTCGATCGGATGGCGTCTTACTGAAACCCATGAAAGCTATTACGGCAGTCGATGATACCTTTCTCAAAGAACCTGGATCCAATTACCTATACAGCACCTTTGGACTTGGTCCATCGTGGATTTATGTATCGTTCTTATCTGAGGATAGAATGACAATCTCAAAACACGACTTTTGGCCTGCTCTGGAACCTGGTAGTGATTTGGTCTATCGCCACTTTCATTCCAGTAGCGCATGTACTCACAACTCGGACCCTCTTGAAAGCGCTTGCATTGCTGGACTTGTCGTATCCCCTACATTGCTAGTCGGAGAATCAACGAATTTCCAAATTCCAATGGGTCCAAAGCAGCCGCAGCAAAAGGACCGTTCCCCGTATGCTCCGGATATTACCTACGTCTGGCAAAACTGCATTGACAGCAAGTGGTTCTTCCTAGGAGAACTGAGCAAGTATGTCCCACTCTCTCCATCCCGATTCCAGAAAGTGACTTGTACGGCTACTGGATTATCCACCATTGTGATTGGTGCCCCTGGAGAAAGAGTGCAGCTGACGGCACTGGAACCCAATTATAATGGCAAGGATGACTACAAGATTGTGATTGTCCCACTCGTCATACCAAGCGAGGGTAAAATTCAAGTGGATTTTGAAACAGCGGTCACGACTGAAATCTACTAAAACAATACTTCTGTAATACTATCTTGCGGGTTTTATTTGGTTTCATTCTTGCATCGACGTACAGTTAGTAGTGCTAGTATTCATTTATTCATTGCCTCCCTCCTCTTTTTACTGGTTGTAGTAAGCTTCAAAAGTCTTTTGCAAAAATTGACCAAAGGTCATGCCATTTTCCCATCGCCCCTGGAGGGTTGGCACTTTGGAGGATTCCATGGCCATGATGGAGGCGGGAGTGGATCCCTTGGGCAGCGTTAGGGGAGTCGAAGGTGGGACATCGACAAAGCACGCCAGAGACGCTCGGGCGAGATTGGGAGCTCCCTTGACGCAATGTGGGGTTGCCACCACGGCGCCTCCCGTCATGATTTGCGTGCATTCCCCAATTTGAATCGCCATGACATCCGGTGGAATCTCCACCTTTTGGACCGTCCCATGCCTCGTCACCACCTGCAATCCAGCCTCTGAGGACGCTGGTGGTGTAATGATGTTGCCCTCCTTGTCCATGTAAATGTCCCCCGCCAAGGCAGTTAGGAATCCCGAGTCATTGTGCCATCCAATCCAGGAATCTTCGGCAGGTGCCTCTTTGGACTCCTCTTCGGGTAATGGGAAATAGTAGAGCAATCGCCCCTTGACCTTTTCCGTATCAATGAGCGCATCTTTGATGACCCCCGGCGGATACTCGGGATTCTTGGATTGTGCGTATGTATCAATATGCCCGCAAAGCAAGATTGCAACCTCCTTCATCATGGTCCCCAAATGTTTGGCGGCTGGCTCCAAATTGGGAAGGCTCTCTTTGGGCCATCGATTGATCGGATAGGACACGGGATATTCTTCGGTATCCTTGGGATCGGGAACATCAATGATGGGATTGAAGTAAAACGATCCTTTGGCCAAGTCTGGTTTTCCTGCCTTGAGCCTACAATTGATGGATACGACAAGAAGATGACGATTGAATTGAGTTTTTGTTCATGACGCATAATCCTGCGCATTATTGCCATACATAATAAGCTTCTCATCACAATAATACAACAAGAACATAACTCACATTTCCTTGCCGTGACTCCACCCCGCATTGAACATGGAATCAGGATCTTCCAATTTTTGTAGGTCGTTGGGAGGCAAATGTGCCAATGGATGTGCCTGTTGCAAAATGTTAGCCTTGGCCTGGACAAAGCCGGGAACCTTGCGGATTCCCATAATGCCAATCCCGTCGTCGCCAAAGGCTCGATCGCAACAAGCTGCCATTTTGGCGGAAGAAGAAGAAGAAGTCAAATCCTCATAGTCAATAATGACTAGTTCCGTCTTTTTGTCAGTTGTCGTCGCTGTCATGTTGTATTCAAATGATAGTTTGTGATTGTGTAATGTGCATCTATATGATAGTCTTCGCACAAATGACAAGGAGTGTGTGTGTGTTGTTGATGGGATTTGAGAATTTGGGGAGATCGCATTTTGTGGGTTTCATCAACGGTTATTGTATTGCTTTCTTTTTTTGACCCCTTTGACTCCTGCTTTGACTTCTGAAAACGGACGGAATCAGACTGTATATTTCCAAACCGCATGCGCATCATCAAATCAAATCAAATCTACATCATCTTGTGCCGAGGAGAAGAAGGAAGTTGTATAATACCTCATAATAAAATATGACTACCAAACCCAAACTTGCCTTTTCATTAAAGACCAAGAAAAAGTCTGGCAAGAATGCCAATAACAAGTCAAGTGACCAGAAGCAGAATGAAAAGGCGGAACCAGTAGCGCTGGAAGGCTTTGAGGCCATACACGACAAAAAGGAAGAGGAACCATTGGTGCATCCAGATCTACAGGGTCCCTTGGTGATTCCAGCCTTGAAGGATTCAAGAGCAACTTTGCAAGAACAAGCAAGGGCCAGACGGGAACAGGAAGGCGGAGGAGAGGAAGCTGCAGAAAAAAAAGACTCAGCAATAATATCAGGGCCAGACGACGACTCGATAAAACAAGAAGAACCAGGTCTGTCCAAAGAAGATCAAGAGGCCATTCAAGCATTGAAACGTGATGCTGGAGACTCCAATGGTCCATCTTCAAACGCCAACAAACGTGTCATTCAAGCCCAAGAAAATACCTTTCAAAACAGTGGAGAACAACAAAAGCAGCTACAGGAAAGCAGCGACCAGCAACAACTCAAGGAAGATTTAGAAAGACACGCTCCAGATTTGTCCGTCGACTCGGAATCTTATCAAAAGGTTCCAATTGCTGATTTTGGTGCTGCCTTGCTTCGAGGAATGGGGTGGGATGGAAGATCGGACGTGACGGACGACACAGGTAGTGGACTTCCACGGCCGTCGCGGTTGGGACTGGGCGCCACACCCAAGCTATTGGATGCTCCGACCCACCGCAAGGGACGACGGCGACAAGATCAAGTCCAACGAGAACAGCGCCTCAAGGAACAACAAGAAGAATTTGAAAAACAACGGGAACTGCAAATTAAAAAAGACAAACAACAAACCATTCAAGTGGGAAGTATTGTCTTTCACGAACAATCCAAGCGAGCGATTATTCGACAATGGAATGGAGTTCCTGGACTCAATATGATTTTGGTACAATTTGAAGGCTCGAGAGAGCCAACCAAGGTGAAGAAAGGAAGCGTCCAATTGATTGATCGAAAAGAGTTGCAGGAACGACCATTCCAAGAGATGGAATATCATAAAGAGGAAACCCAATTTTTGGGGCAACAACATCAACAACAACAATCCGATGATAACAATAGGATCAAACGAGAAGACAACCATGATCGGAGACGGGACAAGTCCAGATCACGACGACGAGAAGACGACCATGAATATGACTACGATAATCGACAGAGGGGAGAGAAACGTCCATATGACGATGATAGACGGCGAAGCAATGATCGTTCGGAGAGGGACCGTGGTGGTCGGAGAAGTGATGATCGTCGAAGCAGTAGCAGACGAGACGACGACCATAACGATCGACGCAAACGACACAGGAATCATCATGATGACGATGATGGTAATTCACCAAGAAGAGAAGAAAAACGATCTCGCTTCCAATCTTCGTCTTCCGACCGACGGCCACAAACATGGTTAACCCCCAACATTCGAGTCCGAGTCATTACTAGCAAGTTTGGTAGATCTCATGACAAACGAAAGGGGGTCGTAGTGGATGTTGCCAGCACCAAAGGGGCCACGATCAAGATGGAACGTGGGGAAATTTTGCAAGTGCCCGAGCGATATTTGGAGACGGCCTTGCCAAAAGTGGGTGGCAATGCCATTATTCTAACTGGAACCAACAAATTTGCCAAAGGAAGATTGTTGGAACGTGATTCTAGATCCAACAAAGGTGCCGTTCAACTTTTTGAAGATATGAATATCGTGAATACTTCTTTGGATGATATAGCCGAATGGTGTCTCCCACTCGACGACGACTTGATGGACTAAATAGTTCCGTCGAAAGTTCCAGAAGTGCCACCACCATGAAACGGAACTGCGATCGGCAACATCAAGCCTTTCCTCTTGTTGCGCGGAGACTTCTTTTTGCTACCGTATGAAATGAACGAGTGTTAGACAAGTAGTGTGTCAAGCAATGCCTCAAAAAGATGTTAGTTGGCCGAGCCAACGATGCAAAGCTGTGGTTGTGATTCAAAAAATTGTTTACTGTATTTTAGTACTATTATTATAATAGTTGGCAGGCGATAGTCTGCGCCTCGCTTTGTGTGCGTGTGTTTTGTCATTAGCAGTCTCTCTTGCATCTTTTGCATCAACCCTGTCGTTAGCATAGGCACGTGGGTTGGAGATGTAGCTTGGAGATATATATGTATATTATAGAAGTGCGTTCCTGTCTGCGTTAGACGGAACTACTGGCGATCTTGTTCAGTTTTGCTGCGCGAGGGGGTCGAATTTCTTGAGAACTTGGAGGACTTGGAAGGGAACTCAGCAAAGTCATCTTCATGGATTAGATCCACTGCAAAACCTAGCAAATTGGTCAGCAGCTCATGTTGTGAAGAAGATCGATCCACAATCTCTTGAATTTCAGGAGATGTAGTAATGACAGTCGGTGGCATTGGAATAGTGGGACGGTAATTCAGTAATGCTGGTTGTAGGTGTTGTGATGGAGCCTTTGTCATGGTCGTTGGTTTCAAAAAATGAATGAGATGAGATGGAAGGGAAAGATTATGCGATGGAACCTCGATTATGAATGTGTGTTGGTCCTTCTGCAATCCGAAGCACCATGTGCGATTTCAGTTGTTGTGTCTTGACAGCTTGCATTGTATCAAGCCTTCCTACCAACTAGTACTAATTCTACGTAAATAGACTTCCAAGGAGAAGATTGCCTTGACACCTCCATTTAACACGACCTTGATGGGTCGTTGCAGCATGTGCGTCATTTACAATATATTCCATAAATAAATTCATCCTGAAAAAAACGAAAGTGTCAATATGGAACAGTGGGTCTCAAGCAGATGGTCCATCTGTTGTCGTTGGGCTGTTTTTGAAGACTGCTAGTGAACTCAATCTGCGTGACCCCTCCTCATATTCAGATTTCTGTTCCTTAATCCCATTCCATTCATTGAAGTTGAAGATCGAAACGGAGGAGAGGCTCTGTTCGGCACTATCTGATTCGCGGATGGAAAATGCCGGGGAGTTTTAAGGTCTTTCCAAAAATGGTTCTTCCCCAAAATCCGAGATTGGGGGCAGACCATGTCACAACAGACACTGTCGTGACATGAAACGGTTCACGCCAAAGTTGGATCGCCAAAACCCAAATCCCATCGCAACAAAAACCCTTTGCTTGGGTGCCCCATACATCAATATCCATCAAGCAATGCAACGCTATCACTACTGTCCAATATGAGCTTCAATGAATCGCCGTGGATGTCAAGGCCACTCATCCCTTCAATTGGTGTAACTTCCAGTGTAGCGGAGTGTTGCAATGGCTTTATTTCATGGTGGACCGGAACAGAGAGTGCCAATGACGAGCAACAGGAAACGACGGCTAACTTGTTGGAACCTCTTGTTGTGGAACAAGCTACTACTCAAGTGATGGACGAAGAGGAACGACTACAAACAATTGAATCCGATTTGTTCCTTGATGAGGTGGAAAGCAAGGAAGCGTCACCAGAGCATTGCTCGGACATTGAAAATGCTCTAGTGACGAATGACAAGGAAGGCGTACATTCACAACTTGACATATTTGTTGATGACCCTGGCCAGGATGAAATACAACCCAATCCATTGATGGAAATTGGTGGATCGTTAGAACCTTTGGACTTTGATAGTGATAGTGCACTTGTGACTCCTCGTGATATAAGGAAACCTCTTCGCCCTGAAGTTTCACACGACGAGCCTGCTGAGCAGTGCGAAGCACATACCACTGAAACTATTGAACAAAACATATTCAATGATACTCACCAAGTGGGAGAGGCACAGCAAATCAGAGCACCGATTGAAAAGAGCTCGTCCGAGCCTTTGGAAATTGAAAATCATCTTTTGGCCAATATGCAACCACCAGCTACATTTCTGTTTGACGATGACGACAAAGAAGCCGAACTTGCTAATTCGATATTTCGAAGCCGAACACCAAAGCCTTCTACTCCTATAGTGGAGTACGACGAAAGCATACATGCAAAGCGGGAACGATCTGATGGTTCAAAGCATGATGAGGCCACAATGTCCGATCTATCATCCAATCGCACAGTGGTACTACTACCTACAGGAACACCACTTGTCGAAAAGCGAGTCTCGGGTCTTATTGCCATATTCGAATCACGCTCAACCGATGAGGGCGAGAATGTCACTCCCACATCTCTTTGTTCGGCATCTTCCTTTTCAGCACAAGAGATGTCGTGTCCTTGTTGCAAAAAGAAGATTTATCCTACAGATGCGACAATTGCATACCACGACAAGGTCTTCCATGGGGGTTGCTTTAAATGTCATTTGTGCGATCGGAAATTCTCTAGAGGAATGTCGGAAGTTGCCGGCATGATTGCTGCCGACGAGGATGATTCAACGTCTTCCAGCTGTAAGCTGAGCTGTACGAAATGTCGGGACGACGCCGCGGTCAAACACATTCCACTTCGAAAGTCAACACCAGCATGCCAGTCAATTACCATTACGACTCCCGAAAAGGGGAATATCCAACAAGTAAAGGACGAAATCGGTGATGATTTGGAATCTGTCATGGATGGTATGGTTCCTCGTTGTGCCATTTGTGGAACTCACTTTTTGGGTGGCGGTGAATCGAGTGACATGATGATTTTGGGGATGAACAAATATCACAGAAAGTGTCGAATGTATGGTAGACCCATGGTAGAACGCTGTGAACGAAAGGTGCTTCCCATTGTCGCTGCCAATTACGCTCCCGAATCTCTTGTTGTTCGCATCAGCAATACTGCGTCCTCGGAATCTTCAACACAAGAAATCATGACAACATTCTATTTTATTCTTCCCGACAAGGCTATAGACTTGCAGCGAATTCGAAGTGCGGAGCAGCCGAATGAAAATGTCCATTTTGAATACGTCATGGATTCGAGCGCCTATGCCAATCCAAATTATGAGGGAACCAAGAAGAACGCGAAAACGACTTTCCCATGTCATGGTGTTGGAGGTGCCGAGAGTCGTCTCTCTGTTGGCTTTCTAGGAGATCCGTGTGGTTTGCCAATCCAACTGGCTAACGCCAGAATCGAAGACCGGGACGGAGACCAGGTGTTTTGCGCGGAATTGGAATGCTTCAAATTCCAGCTGCGACACAGATTTGATTTGGTGATGAGCACCAAAGAGGAAGTGGTAGATTTGAAAACTGCCACGCTATCCATGCATATCGCGGGCTAAATGCTTCATTGAAGGAGCACTCGAACTCGTTTTGGTTGTTCGACCACTATTGATTACGCCAATAAAGTCCAATGAGAGCATCACAGTCGATCGATACTCGTGAATCGATCGATGGCCCTTGTCGGCTCGGCAATGATTGCTTACTGTAGCGACATAGAACATACTTCACTTTACATACTTCATTTTTTCCCAATCTTTATTTTCGCTTTCCTCGTTTGTATTTGTTGACTGCCGCTTTCTCCTGGTCAATGCCAGCGGCAATGGTTCCCTTAAGATCCGCGTTATCTGGAAATTGGATGAGTCGGACCGTAGATCCTCGAATGTGAATATTATCTAACAGCTCAATTTCATCCTCCGGCGAGTCCTTCTGTGGATTGTCCAGCGTCACAGTCATGTCATTATCGGCTGACAAGAGGGTACCACGTATCCGTTTCCCCGTCTTGAGCTCCACAATCACCTCCATTCCCTCCATGTATTTCAAGAGAGACCCCAATGTCTTTGGGTGATCCCCAGAAGGAGGTTTCTTGCGTTTGGATGCTTCGGAAGATTCCGCGGCTGCAGCAGCTGGTGGAGGACGCTTGGACATCGTTGAGAGTGTTTGTTTTATATATTCTCGGTCATCTCTTATCGTCTCATCGTTTTGTAATTGTGCTGGTTTATGATTGTTCGTGTTAGTCGACTGGCTACTGTAATCAAGATGCTATACATGCAATCAGATGATGATGATTCAACTTGAAATTCTACTACAGTAGGCTAGTCTGATTTAACTAGCTGTCATGGACCCAACCTGGTGAATCCAAGAATAGACGTCAACAGAGCCCTCCCCTTTATTCGAGAAGCAACTAATGCTGTCGCTTGCCAAGCTCGATCCAAAAAATGAAACATCAACAGTACTTCCAAGACCAACTTCGCTACTGGGCCTTGTAACTGCATTGCGTTTAGTGCCCTGCTGAATTTCATCACTAATGTATTTGAACTTCACTTCTGTTGTTGTGGAACGCTTTCCATTGGAGGCTACAACAAGAAGTATCTTTTGACTCTCTGGGGCGACATCATGGGTGTCGCCATTCTTGCCGAATAGTATGATCGTTCCATTCCCAATATTTACGTTCAGCAGCAAACATAGAAAGGAGTTCTTTGAGTTGTTGACCGCAAGAAAGTAAAGGCAACCTCTCTTTTTCGCGCATATCAAGTGAGCATTTGCGGAGACCATATGAGTAGCGTTCAATGGATCCTTCAGCAGGTCGTTGTGTAACCCCTTCAAAATGATTGGGCGATACAAAGCATCGTTGCATTGTGTCTGAATATGAACAGGATGAGAACTGTATACTGTCAATCGGTAGGGGAATCGGGAGGATGCGGCTACTACTGGCATCCCTGCAAACGGAATGACGCAGTACTCCAACGAGGGATCGAGAAAGATCTCCTTGTCCAACCGTCTGGTTACGCCATCAAGAGAGATAGCTTCACAACGCCATCCTTTGGTAGATCCCTTTGACCGCTTCAATAAAAACATTGATAGGTCACTATACCAATAACCTGTGCCTATGTTGGCTCGCTTCTTTGGCTGAATTAGTGAAAAGAAGGCCCATGTTGGTTTCGCGGAAGATAACTGGAATACACTGCTGGATGTGGACAATATCTTTCTCGATGTACTTGCTGACGATATGGCATCGTTGCACAAAACTGCATCAACGGATCGATGCAGCCATCCCTGAAGCGGTATAGGAAAATTACTTGAGGCACAGCAATAAATGAGCATCAATGACACGGGCAAGTCGTACCACTCTTGTTTTGCAGACATCCATGTGATGAAATCGGCTCACAACATCGTGATATGGCATCCAAAATGTCCCATCATTCTCAGACCAAGCCTCTTGACCCAATTCTTTCCGCAAGCGCTTCGTCCAGTTTTCACTGCGACTGCTGAAGGCACCAGTCCACTCTGAATAATAATAGCGTTGTTGTGATTGAAATTAAGACTACTGGCTCGATTGTAGTATTCTATCAAACAAACAAATAACTAGAAACCTACCTTTCTTTCCCCAAGGATTCCGAATCCGCACAAGTCGGACCGATTGCCTTTGGTCGCTTCCAGCTTCATCGCCAGCCGAAGTTTCCGTAAGATCCATCGTCTCTTTGTTTGGTTTGGATGTATCACTGGGTGTCTTAGAGCCCTTACTATTCCCAGAGAAGAAACTTGTCAATTTCGGTTGTGCCCCCACAACTCGGCCATGCAGTTCCAAAACTTTTAGCACGCTATAGGCATGGCAACCAACCAGCCCATCTCCCCCTCGATTTGTAGCAACTCCCATTATAAACCCGGCGTCAGAAAACGACAACATCTTCACCCACAACTCGTCACCAGTTGGGTCCAGTAACTGCTCCATCTCGAAAACGACGGTTTCCGTCGGAGCCCCAGTCAAATCGGCGAGACCTTCTGCGATGAATCCACCAGAAAGATTCGCATACGAACCATGAGCTTTTGCATATGCCTTTTCAATGAGTGCTGGCCATAATATTCCTCTTGGAACAGCACAAAAGGCTGGAAAGGCCATACCAGAATCACTGCTTTTCAAAAGCGCAACGCCTCGAAAATCAATTTTTGCATGACCAGTCGTGTTGGCCTTCTTTTTTCCATCTTGTTCCCTATTGGACGTTTTCACCACAGGAAGGTAGGCATCCACCATGGTCGGAGTCCATTTGCCGTCCAGACACAAATTAACTTGATAGCATCCTTTCTCATTGGTTTCGCTATGAGCGAACACCCTCTGCAGTAAATTCGGCTGTTCCGCAACCACGGCCAGTGCGGATAAGAACCAACAGTTTCCCAAGGCACCCTGCCGTATATGATCCGGTCCCATATCCAATATCCTATGCCTTCTTTCGTTACTCTCTCTGGATGACAAATGTGCCCGTCGGCGGTCAGTGGACGACGCCAGAGTCTTAGCAATGACAAAGCTTGAACCGATAAACGGATGCCATGAGATCTGAGACCACCGATGATTGCTAGAATGATACCCTCCTACACTACCGTCCTTATCCCACTGAAAAAACTTGCATGTTTTATTGGTAGCTTCAGTATTTTCGGCAGCGCTTGCATCGTTATTGTTAGAATTGTGAGGTCTCTTTCGTTGGTTGGATCGTCCACAAGCAAGGTAGAATTTGCCGTAGTTGGGACCGTCAGATTGGACCTTTTTCGAAGCCGCTAGAATACCACAGTAACACTTGACAACCTTACGCTGAGATGGCAGTTTGGAGTCCCCTGAAGCTGAAGCTGTAGGTGCCGTAATCATGCTCCTGCCATCCAGTGATGATCGTGTCGGAGGAAAGTCGGGGTCCACAAACGGAGTGGGGGCATTTTCGTAGCACGAATGCCACTCTTTGGACAGCTCATCACAAGAAGGGTTGTGTAGAACATTTGCCGAGTTTTGTTGAATGTAGTTATCTCTGCATGGAAGTTTCAAATTTGTGGAGGTAGCTGATGTCGTTGTTGCTCCTGTTGTTTGTTTGGTTGACGAACATGACGACGTCCAAGCAATCGCATGGTTTGGTCTTGTGCCATCCAGTATTCTTGCTATGGCTTGCTCGACATTCCAATCTGTCCTCTTCAATACTCCCAATGCAGCATCCCGTGAAAGCCGAATAATTTGAACAAGCAATTGAACTTTCTCTTCTTGTTCATCATTTTGGTTGTGGCAAGGAGCAACCTTCGTTACCTCTGTCACCGCATCGCCCGCATCATTATCATCGCCAACACTATTATGCAAGTCATGTTTGCTATTTTCGTCCTCACTTTCGACGTCAATGACGATGGCAGTCTCTGCTGTTGCCATGGGTATTCGGTATTGAGGAAGGGTGTTAGCAATAATATTTACTTCATAATATCATTCTTTCACGCAATAACACACGGTGGCATAATAAGGGGGCGGGTTATTATTTTAATACTACAACGTTATTTTTTAAAATATGTGTGCGCTCCCCTTTCTAGTGGATGAAGACGCACGAGTGTCAGACGATCCGATGATTACCAGCACATATCCAGAATAAGTTCGAACGCAACAATAGTAGTAGTACTAGTACGTGTACCTACTAGTAGTAGGACTTCCTCCAACTACTAATCATGATAGTACTCTTCTTGGAATATAAATAAATTTTAATATGAATGGTTGTGCCTAACGAGACAAATGAGAAAGACGCTTAGAGCTAGCGATGGTGTAGCCCAGAGCGCGCCCTGCCTACGCGGCAGGAGCTGTTGATCGCTCATTTCCCAAAATGTTTTTCCAAAAGCCCTGGACGTGTTGTCGATAGTTGTTTTCGCCCGAAGAAGTTTCCTCGGTGTAGTAGATCATCATCATGAGCATGGACGTCAAATAGTCAAAGCACGCCTGTGCCTCTTCATAATTGCCAAGACTCTTGTGGATCGCTCCAACGTTGTTAACAACCACCGCCTGGAATATCAAGTTCTGGTCTTGATTGAGTTCATTGTAGGCAAGCGTGTAAAGACTTCGTGCTCTGTTGAGGAATTGTTGAGAAGTGGCATGTTCGTTGCAATGTCTCGCTGCCAAGTGATGAGAGAGGGCGCAGTTGAAGATCAGTACAGGGATGATGAGAGTTCCATCCACTGTGTTCAACGGTAGCATGATGCCATGGCCATAGGTGTATTCCTCGTCCATGGTGTTTCGGCTGTCGGAAATGCAATCACGATTACGAGAAAGTATGCATCGATCAACAAAGTCATTGTCATGCAGATGTACTTGTTCTCCCGTAGGTGTTGTTTGCTTTTGGAATACCTCCATTGCAGCGCATGCAACAGGAATAGCTTCACTGAAGCGTTTGCTTTCCAACAACGAAACAGCTTGGTTGTTCAGTTGAATAGCTTGTCTGATACTCATTTCTAGTTTTTCACTTTCTGATCCTGCAAGAGCTCTTTTTATGAAACAGTTGAATACGAGATAAGAAACAGGCTACAGTACAGTGCCGGTAGTACACGTGTACCTGCTTTGCTTTCTTGTCAGTAGCTTTTGGAAACCGTTCAATTATTTTTTTAAATAAGCACCTAAACCACGTCATTGGACAGCGAACTGAACCATTAAGTGTCTCTTGAAACGCCTCTAGAAATAATATTTCTCCTCATTCTTTGTTGCAAAAAAGCAATTCCAAAAGTCATGTAGTCTAAGTTCGAGTCGAACACGTACATCTTGTGTATCGCTTGCAATGTAGTGCGACTAGGTCCTATTCCTTCCAAACTGTTCTAGGGAGACCTAAACAGATGTTTAAAAAAAACGCGTTCTCGTTGATCGTGTAGCACCAACATGTTCCCTTTGGAGAAGTGCCGCAGTACATATAGTACCCACGGAAATCTCAAGTGATAATGGCCTGGCTGGCCATATTCAAATACTCTTGATTCAAACAAGAATGCAAAGAATATACTAGGCAGAAACTAACATGTAGCATTGTCGATTACAAGATGTCAGCTGGTGCTAGTGAAACCCAAAAGAATGTTTTTTTCCAAACGCGTTCCACACGATGTGCACATAATCGGTTGGAGCTCATTTTCAGAACAACGATCCCGAAAGTCTTCCCACTCCAAATTCGTCACTATGTGCCATTCAGGAGAGTCCAACAAGCACATTTTGCTAATTGGTTGGAGTGGAATAAGTCCTATTATATTTTCTCCCTATTATTCCAGATCTGACCAGATACTGTAGAATAGTACGATTCGAAAGCTAGCCAGATTCAAACAAGACTGGAAGACTAGTAGGAACTGTAATATCTAACAACAATGTCGATATAATATGTCAACTTCCGCCTTACGCAGCGGGGGCTAGTGATCGCTGGTTTTCCAAAATATTCATCCAAAAGAAGCCCTGGACATGTTGTCGATATTTGTTTTCGCCCAAACAAGAATCATCCTCGGTGCAGTAGATCATCATCATGAGCATTGACGTCAAATGTTCAAAGCACGCCTGTGCCTCCTCCTCGTTGCCAAGAATCTTTCGAATTACTCCAATGTTGTCAACAATGACAGCCTGGAATATCATGTTCTGGTCTTGATCTTGTTGATCATAGGCAAGCGTGTAAAGCCTTTGTGCTTTGTTGAGGAAGTGCTGAGAACAAATGGCATGGTCGTTGCAATGTCTCGCTGCCAAGTGATGAGAGAGGGCGCAGTTGAAGATCAGGACAGGGGTGATAACTGTTCCATCCATTGTATTCAACGGTAACACGATCCCATGTTCATAGGTGTACTCCTCGTCCATGGTGTTGCTGTCGCAGTCGCAATCACGATGTCGAGAAAGCATGCATTGGTCAACGAAGTCATTGCCACACAGAGATACCTTTTCTGCAGTAGGCGTTTGTTTTTGGAACACCTCCATTGCAGCGCATGCAACAAGAATAGCTTCATCGAAACGTTTGCTTTCCAATAGGGAAGTAGCTTGATTGTTCAGCTGAATAGCTTCTCTGTAACTCATTTTATTTCCGTCTGAGTGATTGTGTAAAAGTTGGCACACAATGATGCTTCTCGCACGGAACGGAGAATTACAGTATGACCTGGCGAAGCTTGAACATACGAGACCAAAAGCCAAGGCGTCGCAGACAAAAGGCACAGCTGCCTGTTTTCGCAACGAACACCTCACCAGAACTCATGTTAGATAGATTTGGAAAAAAGGGTATCAACACCGAACCGAACCATTATGTGTCTGCTGGACTACTCATTTCAATTTCCGTAGTCAAGTTCAAGCCGACGGCTATAATAAATCTAAACAGATATTTACAAAACGCGTTCTCGTTGGTCCGGAATATTTGGGCGAAACTTTCAAGGATCAGTTCGTGGAACCATTTTCGTGGAACCGGAACCATTTTCGTCATGGAACCATTTTCGTGGAATGGTCACCGCGAACAATGCATTCTTGAGAATGCCCATTCTTGAGAATGACAGATGGCGGGGCAATTGAACCATTTCGTGGAACCATTTCGCCTCTGTTGATGAGAATCAGGGGGATTTTGTTCCTCGTCTCAGTCTATCGTGCTTTACAGGTAGAAAAGCTGACACAAATGTTGTATTTTTCTATTTTCTTCTTTCTATTTTTAGCCTTTATGGCATGTTATGTCTGCTTTTCCCACCATTTGCAGACTCTACCCCGTACATTTTTATATTGTATTATTGCTATCAGATCGTGGGTCATTGCGATGTCGCTCGCGGCTTTTCTGCGCTGCACTGTTGGCATTCTACAAGACATTGTCTTGATACTTCAATCCGTATGTAACACACTTGGTCATTAACGGGTCGATGACAAATATGGAGAACCTCTTTCAGAGCCATTGGAGTAAGATGATCTTAAAGAGTAATAGCTACCGGTATGTAGGCGTCGAAACAAGGTACTAAACTAGGCCGTACATGTCCAATATACTTGTTCTACCTCCAGGTCCTAAACTAGGCCACAATCAGCATTGCGAATTTTGTCAATCAATGAAATCATGGTATACCGGACACGCCATAAAACATATCCAGCACCTATAGCTTCCATCATTTTTATAAAAGCAAAGAAATTCACGATTCTCAGCTATATCAAGATTTACCGCGTGTCCGAGCCGTTAGCTTTTTCGGTACTACAGGCAAGACGTTTCCAATATCTCGTTCTCTTTCTCTTTCTACTCATGTCCGGCAGTATCTTTCCTTGGTCATCGTCGTTAGAACCATTGGCGTCCTATGCCGTGTCCAGAAATGTATCACTTCACATTCTAGCTGGATCGGTAGCTGATTACGCTCCTGGGGCATTTCGTGCCACGAGCCAGGACAATACCCATGGAGAATCAACCAAGAAACAAAGACTTATTGCGCCAATACTTGCAGCTATTGTCAATGCTGCCAACGAGGGATGTTTGGGAGGCGGCGGTGTCGATGGTGCTATAAGTCAAAGGGGCGGCATCAATCTGGCTAAAGATAGACAAGCGTTGCCACTCCTACCAAACCCTTCTGGTGGCCCTGATGTACGATGTCCGACTGGCCGTGCCGTGGCAACCGGGCCTGGCGACTATGGAAGACTGCAAGTTCCATATGTCATTCATGCTGTTGGACCAATATATAATCAGTGGAGAGACTTAGCCGAACCCAATGCTTTACTTCAATCAGCCTACACGACTTCCTTGCAAGTGGCTCAAGCAAACGGGATTTCCGAGGTTGCCTTTGCCTTGTTGAGTGCCGGCGTTTTTAGGGGGCAACAAACATTGGAAGAGGTTCTCTCTATTGCTATTCGAGGAGTTCAAGACTTCGTCCAACAGAATGATGAAGGGGAAACAGTTATAGAGGAAATTTCGCTTGTCGCCTTTTCCTCTCGGGAGCAAAAGGTGTTGCTTGAAGTCGCAACGAAGCTTCTGTCGCCAAGTGAGGAGTCACAAAGTGAGGAGTCACAAACTGAGGATTCAGAGATGGCTAGCACTGCAACAAATTCACCAAGTGAGGCGTCAGAGAAGGCTACATATATCCCTGCAGCAAATTCACCATCTTCGGAGCCAGATGAGGCTAGCACTGGAACAAGTGGGGATTCAGAGAAAGAAAGTGCTATAGAAAACGGAAAAGAGTTGTAACCTAGAACATCCATATTTCTGGATACCTTTTTTTAAACAAATTCCTAGTGTCCCTTGTCCAAAGTATTCCCGCGTAATAATCTACTTCATGGCTTGTTTGCTTTTCGCAGCTTGTACCAAATCTCGGAAGAGTCCACCAGTCTCCAACAACTTCTTTGGTGTATTGAATTCGGCTGCCTTTCCATCCGACATGACCAGAATGTAGTTGCTGTCCATGATGGTATTGATGCGGTGTGCCACAGTAATCACGGTGCTCGCCTTGAATTCTTCTTTCATGACACTTTGGATGGATGCATCAGTTTCAGCATCCACAGCAGCAGTGGCTTCGTCCATGATAACGACCTTGGAGCCATTTAGCAAGGCTCGTGCAATTACAAGTAGCTGCCTTTGGCCTACGCTAAAGTTGCCTCCTCCTTCTGCCACTTCGTCAGCCAGCGAACTGATGCGGGTGGCCGTGCCCCCCAAAGAAGACAAACTCAAGGAAGACGTCTCATCCGTAACTGCCTTCTTAGATCCATTGTACAAGCCGACACGAAGAAGGACCTCGTACAATACATCGTCAGAATACTCTTCAAAAGGATCCAAGTTGGTTCGGACAGTTCCAGAATACAAGACGGGATCTTGTGGGATAACAGCAATATTGGCTCGTAGTTTTGCAAGACCAACTTGTCGAATATCTTGGTCATCAATCTCGATGGATCCCTCGGCAAGCTCGACAATGCGTAGCAATCCAACCATCAAGGTAGATTTTCCAGCTCCTGCAGAATACATCGGGTTAGTCAGTTTTTTATTGACAGACTACCAACGTACACCCAGTACTACTACTTCAAAACAGTACGTACCTGTGCGTCCAACAACTCCAACCTTGCTTCCAGCAGGAATACTGATATCGAGTCCCTTCAACACCAATGGAAGGTCTGGTCTATACCGGAGTTTGGCACCCTTGATCTCAATGGCACCGCTAGAAGGCCATCCCTTGGGAAGGGAAGAGTCCACTGGCGTACGGCGATCGCCCTCGGCCTCTAACTTGGAATACTCTTGAATTCGCTCGACAGCAACCATGTTTGCCTCCATATCCGAAGCCATGCGAACACTCCAGTTCAGGCTCTGGGTGACACTCATGGAATACGAAACTGCAAGGCCAGCAAGACCAGCAAATACTGGATCAGCCCCGGAAATCACCTGCTCCGCGACTGCACTCAAACATGTAAAGGTAATAATCAAAGTTCCAACCAGTTCCAAGCGAACAGCCAACCATGACTGGGCAGCGCAAACCAAAAAGTAGGCATGCTGCTGCCGGTCCAGCATATTTGTCAATCGTTTCTTCAAGGTTTCCTCGGCCGAAAAGGAACGGATGACAGCGACACCATCAACGGATTCACCAAGCAAGGCATAAATAGGACTGCGACTAGTGGAATCAAGTCTCTTTAGTTCACGATACGAAATCTGTTTGAATTAGAAAGAAGTAGATGAGTAGGACATCCATGGCCACGGCGGCTTCGGAAGACAAACAGCACACTGTACACACCGTGAAAAAAGCCTGCTCATGCATGTAGAACATAATCATGGGAATCATAAAGAGCACGAATACGGGGGTCACTCCCGAAATAACAGCAATGGTGGAAATGACACTAAAGATGGTTCTCAGATACATTCCACCAGTTTCTACGAGTTTTTCATCGACCGTGTAGATATCCCTGCGTGGCACAAGAGAAAAGATGTGAGCTTTCAATCCAGGAAAGTGCCTTCTCATTCCAACCCAGAACCAGTTTCACTCACTTGCTGAACCGATTGACAAGTCTGCCAACAGGAGTAGTATCAAAGAAGGACATCGGTGCAGTCATGACCGAAGCAAGCATGTCTCGGAACATGGACTTGGATGCTGTCAAAGCAATGAATGCAAGGAAGAGACTTCGTATCAAATTGACGATAGCCACACCGAGATTGATCAAGGCATACATGCCCAAGAAATAGAATTGACTTCTACCAGAGCCATTATCGGACCAGTAAGTCAGCCACCAGTTGGACACCACGCCCATACCTGCATCTGCTGTGAAAACAAAAAAGATTACAATCGGAATGTAGATTCCTCCAGCAGCCAGAAACCAAGCCTTGTAAACATCCCATCCGACATGACCAGCGGCTCGTGCTTCTTCGGTCATTAGCTTTTGTGGCTTGAGCACCTCTGGCTCCTTGACAGATGATCTTCGAGCCGATGATCGTTTCCTTTGCATGGGAGTACCAGACCCAGATTCAATCATCTCACCCATGTCCTCGTCGGAGACACCAGTACCTTCCACAACTGCCAAGTAACGTGAAAAGACCGAGCCGGAATCGGCAGCAAGCTCCTTATAGGTTCCCTGTTCGACGATTTCACCTTCTTGTAGGACAACAACCTTGTTCACTCTGGCATGATTCAAATGCTGGATCGCATTGGTTACCAATATGACACTGCGCTGCGACCCAGTTGCGGATTTGGACATGAGCTCATTGACAATTGCCTTTTCAAAGAGATGCTCGGCGACATGAGCATCGACGGCCGAAAGCGCATCATCCACCAAAGTAATATCGGCCTGATGATAAACGGCTCGAGCCAAGGCAATTCGTGCCTTTTGACCACCCGAAAGGGTAATTCCCTTTTCGCCAATTTCCGTGGCATCCCCAAAGGGCAAGAGCTCCAAATCATGACGCAAGGCACAAACGTCCAACGAACGTAGATAGAGTTCTTCGTCCACTGGTTCGTCGACATGCGCAAACAGAATGTTGTCTCGAACGGAGGCATTCAAGATGAATGGCGATTGCGCAAAGTAAGCCAGTTTCCCGGAAACGGATGTCTTGCCAGAAACTTCTTGGACTTCTCCCAAGAGGGCATTGATGAAACTGGACTTTCCACAGCCAACACCACCCACCACAGCAATCAGCTCCCCAGGCTTGCACTCAAAATCAATCCGTTTGAGCGCCAACAAGTTGTCTATCTCGTCCTTTTCCGCAGAAGCGACTGAATCATGTTTGTTCAATAGTTTACGAATCCGAGTATCGGCATGCCGATTCAAGGATTTCAAAATGGCCAATTCCCAATCCTTGTCAATGCCTGCCTTCTCTTCCTCCGTGACAGGCTTGGGTTTCTTGGATTCGTACGCGGCCGAAACCATTTCCATTCGGACACCAAATTCATTGAGGTTATTGGATCCAATGGGCTTGTGTTCTTGGCTCATGAGGAAGGAAGTGATGCGGTCAACCGAGAGCGCGGCTTCCACAATCGAGTTGATGACTGAAAAAAATAAGAAAGAAGTGCGAGAACGTTAGAATTGCGCCAAAGATTCATTCGTTCATTCATTCCACAATCAAATTTTGAATACTCACTTCTTGGAAGCATCGACAGTGGGAATCTCAATACATTGAACAAGGCAAGTGCTGTCAATGCCGAAGCAACATCCAATGTGTGTCCCGTCCAAATATAAGCTGCAAAGGTTGCCAAGGCTACTGCCATGGGGGTAAAGGCCCAGAGCATTCCTGAGAGCGACGCAATCACATAGTAATAAAGCAATTGACTCAGCTCGGCCTGTCGTAAGGTTGCAATACGATCCGTGAAGGACTCCTCCCATGCTTGTAGCTTGATAATTTTCATTCCAGATAGGACCTCGCTGTTGAGCTCAATGCGCCTGTCCTTGGCCTTCATGAGAATCTTTTGCAAACCTCCCATCTTTTGCGCAATCGTCTTGGTGATAGGAACCATAATGATAATGACCGCCACTCCTCCCAAGGAACTGGGGCCCATTTCCCGCCACAAGAAAAAGAGCGACAGACAAATTTGCAAGGGGCTCGACCAAATCGAGTTCATGTAGTTCACAAGATCCTGCAAACGCTGGGCATCAATCGACATGAGGTTGGTAATTTCTCCCAGAGTCTTGGTTTGTCGTTCGGCTGCGGATAAGAGCAGAGCTTTTTTGTAGACGGTCAAGACGACAGCCGTTCGAATACGAAGTCCCGTCTTGTAGCACTTGAAGAAATAATGTCTCAAACAAAGACTCATTAGGATTTGACTGCAGGTAATGGCCAGCGTCAGTCGTAAACCATGCCACAAGGGAGCCTCTGGATCTCGCAAAAAGTCAATAATGGCGTGCAAGACTTGCGGTCCCACAAAGACATTCAAATCATGCACGAGCTTCAACAAAGCGGCTTGTAGATATTCCACGCCAAACGAACGCACCAGAGCCTTAACGAGGGATGGATTTGGTGTTTTCAATTCGTCTTCCCAATGCTTGTTAAAGGTGGCCACCACTTCATCCGTCTGCAAATCGTCTGGCAATGGAATGCAATCCAAATCTTCTTGTTCCAATCGATTCTGTTCATTGCCGATTCGCAAAATGGAAGCCAACCATTGAAAGGTCAATCGGGACCAAATGCTCTGTGAGGATGGTGATGACGACGATGATTCCGCTTTCTTAGCACTAGGAGAAGCGGCGTCCTCTACCAATGGTTTGGCTTCATCGACTATGTTGATACTGCCATAGGAAGTCATGACGTCTCAATGCATATAGCACACTGACAACGATGTCTAAAATATATATACGGTACAGTATGTTCGGGTTGACGACAATATATGCGTGATTTGGATTGGCAATCTTTTGAGATCGATGTTGATCTTTCGTGATCTTGCCAAAAGGTGCGAAAGAAATGAGAGAAGCGGACGAAGATAAGACCGGACAGCCGATTCGTTCGACTTTTAAAACTATGTAGCTCGTACGTCGCTCTGTAAGAACATTGGACTGAGGTAGTACTGCAGTTATTGTGAGCTTTGCCTGGAATGCATAAAGCCAGAGCCGTTTTTTTGTAAAGCAACTAAGCATCCTCCAACTAGCAATCATGATATTGTTCTTGAGATAAAAATAACATAGTTCTAGTGGTACTGGCTGCGTACTACACCAGTAGTTGTAGTACTTGGTACTATCGACATATCAAATGAGGAAGACGGCCGCTAAGAGCATGATCTAGCGACCGTGTACTAGACTGCCTACGCGGCAGGAGCTACTGATCGTTTGTTTCCCAAAATGTTTTTCCAAAAGTCCTGGACGTGTTGGCGATATTTGTCTTCGCCCAAACAAGAATCACCTTCGGTGGAGGAGACTCTCATCATTACAATCATGGTCGTCAAAAAGTCAAAGCACGCCTGTGCCTCCTCCTGGCTACCAAGCCTCTTGTGGATTAGTCCAACATTGTTGACAATCGCTGCCTGGAACATAATGTTCTGGTCTTGACGATCTTGTTCATTATAGGCAAGCGTATAAAGCCTTAGTGATTTCTTGAGGAAGTGCTGAGAAGTGACATGGTCATAGCAATGTCCTGCTGCCAAGTGATGGGTGAGGGCGCAGTTGAAGATCAAGACAGCGGTGATGGCAGTCCAATCTATTGTGTTTAACGGCAATATGATGCCATGTTCATAAGTGTACTCCTCGTCCATGGTGCTACGGCTGTCGGAAGCGCAATCACGATTGCAACAAAAAGCCATGCATGGATCAATGAAGTCATGGCCACTCAGAGATGCTTTTTCTGCAGTGGGCGTTTGCTTTTGGAATACCTCCATTGCAGTGCATGCAACAAGAATGGCTTGGTAGAACCGTTTGCTTTCCAACAAGGAAGCAACTTGGTTGCTCAGCTGAATAGCTTCTCTATAGATCATTTTATATTTTTGTGCTTTTTAGCTATTGATATTGTTGTTGACACGCTTTTCGCACGTTATAAATATAAAATAGCGGACAATTTTATTATGACTCCTCCGCATTTTCTGGGCGAAACTTGAACATGCGAGACCAAAAGCCAAAATATAAACATGATATCAGAACCGAACCGAACCATTATGTATTTTACTTGTGGAAATTGTTAGAGCTCATCTCCTTTGAGAAAAATTTACAACGATGGAGCAACACGTACAGTACATTTTGCTAATTGCCTGCAGTGCAGTGCGGCCAGATCAGAACAGAGAGAAAACGTTCACTACGTCTCAGCAGAGTGCTGGTCGAAAGTTGACATTGAAGTGCCTTTCCCTTTCTGCGCCACACTGTATGCAAAGCTGGTCCAAGTTTTTAGCTCTCTGGAAAAGAAGCGCTTCTCGAGCGGCACCATCGTTGCTGCAATATATTGCAGCCAGCTGATGCGAGAGGGCGCAGTTGAAGATCAATTCAGGAGGTTATGACAGTCGCATCAACTGTATAAGCTTTGGTCTTGACTGAGAATACATTGATCGATGAAGTCATTGCTTCGCAGCGATATGTGTTCTTGTGCTACCATACAAGGCGAGTATTATTGCCGGAACTCATCCATTGTTACACGGGAACTTTCCTTTTATTTCTTGGGATTCAGCTCAAATAATTCATAGTGAAAGAAGCGCGCCCCTGGATTTTTCGTGGGATCATTTGCTGTGTACACATTCGCGAAAGTGAACCCACTTCGTGCACTTTTTGTGGAACCATTTCGTTTCTTCTGATGATGCATATAATAAAATAAAGCCATCCTACTTTAATTTAACAAAGTTGAGATCAGAAATTAGTTTCTACCGCCTACGCTCGTACCTGTACCGGCACCGGCCGGTACCCTCCTACTGTACTGTAGTACTTGGTACGAAGTTCGCTCCAAAGTTGCGAAATAAATTTTGGCAAGCTGTACCGGTACCAGGTACCGGTATGTCCTTGGGATGGGGAAATTTTTGAAACTGAGCTTCTCTACGGTAAGATACAACTGCACTGCGCTCGCGCAAACTGCCGTGCAATGTTTGATCACATTCCAAGAGGGGGTCTTCTAGGTCAGCAGATTCGTTCTTCGACTAGTAAGTGGAAGAAGAAACGATCAATCGTTATCGTGGTGATCCCATGGGCATTGCAAAATGATTGATTCCTTCAAATAAAGTGTAAAACGAGGCAATGTGTATTTAAAAATGTTTTCTAACCGTCTCTTGTCCCAAGTCAGAGAAAGAGCTACTCGCATGGACCTTGCTGCTTTCCACCTACACTCCTGGAACCTTTTCTAATCCCACAATAGACCACGGAATCTCTTCTCCTGCTTGCAATGGCGTAAGAGGATGTTCCCCAAATTGATACTGGGCAGGGACCTTCCAAGCTTTCTTTTCCAATGTGATTGTCTCTGTATTTCGTGGAATGCCATAGTGATCAGCTCCATAGCTACTGCAAAAGTCTTCCAATTTATCCAGCTTGCCCTCCTCTTCAAAGACCTGGGTGTAGAATTCAATGGCCGCGTGTGCCGAAAATACACCAGCACATCCACAAGCCGATTCCTTCCTGTAGGTCACATGCGGCGCCGAATCGGTTCCCAAGAAGAACTTCGGGTTGCCGCTGGTAGCCGCCTCGACGAGGGCCACTCGGTGGACCTCTGCCTTTAGAATGGGAAGGCAGTACAAATGGGGCTTGATACCACCAACTAACAAATGGTTGCGGTTGTACATAAGGTGCTGGGGTGTGATAGAGGCCTTGAGATTGTCCGGTGCAGAAAGCACATAGTCGACAGCTGCCTTGGTGGAAATGTGTTCCATCACAATCTTCAGTTTGGGGAATTTGGCCACTATCGGTTTCATAATTTCATCAATAAAGGCTGGTTCACGATCAAAGATATCCTGGAAGAATAAAAGCGAAAGAAACGTGAATATTAGTTAGCAAGATACACCACTTTCTTCATCCATATCCTTCGTTTGAGAGAAAAACTTACACCGTGAGTGACTTCCGAGTGAATGCACAACATCATGCCAAGTTCTTGCATGGCTTCCAAAACTGGGAAGAGATTCTTGTAATCAGTGACTCCAGAGGCAGAATTGGTTGTCGCACCAGAAGGATAATACTTGCAAGCGATGACCGTTGGGGTCCCGTCCTCATTCTTCAGCGCACACGCCTTGCGAATCTCTTCTGGATCTGTCTTGTCAGTCAAGTATAGTGACATGAGTGGTTGAAACTTTGCGTGAGGTTCTGGTGGCATGGCTGACATAATTCTCTCTTTGTATTCCAAGGCCAACTGGACGGTGGTGACCGGCGGCACCAAGTTGGGCATCATCATACATCTGGCGAATCTTGGGACCGCATGTTTCAATACAGCCTGAGTGATTGGCTGGTCACGGCAATGATGATGAAAGTCATCGGGGCGTCGAATGGTAATGGTCTCGGTCATGGCTGCGTCTCTAGGGGAATGCTGTTCGATCCTAGCCTTTTTTGTTACCATTGTGGGTGCGGGTGCGGATGTGATGGGTGTGATGTCCGAAATACGTGATGTCGTTCGCGTGTGTCATGCGCAGTTCGGATCCGATCTGCTGCTGGTGTCAAAAGGCCAGACGCATTACAAATTCCCCATTACGCCAAGAGCACTTCTTTGACTCCTCCGACTTGAAACATCGTTTTCACGTTGTGGAATGACAACACTACCACTGTCTACCGGTATGATGAGCCGTCGACCAAAGATCTTGAGCGATGAGCCAAAGTTATCTTCGGCAGCTCTTTGCACCACATTAAAGCATTTACATCAAACGTTTCGCCCAGAGTTCACTCATCAATGCGTCGAAGAAGAATCCTTTCGAGGATATCAACCATTGACGTCGGTTCTTGCCAAAGCCCAATCCGAATTATTGCCATCTTCCTCCTCCACTTCGGACAGTGATGCAGTAGTGCTGCACAAATCCCATTTGCGTCATGAACAGCAAGTTACTAGCGAGCTGGAAATCACGATTGATCTGGCGCCCTCTTGTCGGACTTGTAGACTTCTTGTGACGACCAAACCGAAGAAACGAAAGGCCAATGATGATGATGAGACAATGACAATGATAGGGGACGACAAGCGACAAAAAATGGGCGACAATTCCAGCAAGGTTCCATGTATCCATAATACTACCAAGGAGACCGAACAGGCAGAGGTGGAACCAATGTCATTGGCGGAAATTCAAAACGCGATTTCCAAGGCTCTACCAGATATCACCGTGGATAATGATGATATGGACTGTATTGATGATTATCTCTCGAAGCCCATGGGAACCTTATTGAGAGAGTACACCATCAATGACAAAACCTTTTGTTTGTCACTCGCAAATGGATCCGACCCAGCAACCTGTGACTATCATCAAAAAGTCCAAAAACTAGCCCTTTGGTTCATTGAGAATGCGGATGACGTGGATGTATCCAACGAACAATCGGGCCACTGGAAAGTCTTGTACTTGTTTTTGCACTGCCCGAAACAAAAGTATGCCGTGGTGGGATACTGCACCCTCTTTCATTTCAACTCGCCCTTTCACAAGCCAGTGCCGGGCACCATTGTCCGAATCTGTCAAGCTTTGGTTTTGCCTCCCTTTCAAGGACAAGGACATGGCAAAAAAATGATGCAATGTCTATACGATGCTGTCCACAATCGCATAGAAGGAGCTTATGGCAATAGTCAGGACCAACAAGAGGTCGTCGAAATCAATGTAGAAGATCCAGCACCAGGATTTGTAGCATTGCGCAACAAGGTCGATTGGAAGCTCTTGAAAGATCATCCCGAGTACTGGTCCAATGCTAAGGTGGACAATAATATTGCAGAGGAAGCATTCTTTGCCAGCATTCCTGAGGCACAAGCCATCCAAGTCGGTGCCAATGCCAAGATTACCCCGCATCAGGTGCACATTGTCCACGAAATGCAAAGGTTGGAGGCACTGCATAATGCCACTTTTGATACTAGCACAAATGGTGGTGGTGGTGTTAACGAAGAAGAGTTGGAACGTCGATATCGGTTGCTAGTAAAACGACGGCTCAACAAAGACCATCGTGAAGACCTGAGCTCCTTTGGCACAAAAGATGCCAAGAAGGCATACTTGGCGAAACTCTTTGACGAGCAGCTGGCCCTATACAACAGGCTACTACCAAAGGGAAGCAAGAAGCGGTGACTCTAACTTTCAACACCAGATCTAACATAACAACTTATCTAGCATGGACAACGAACCATTATGAGACAATAAAACGTTCATAATAAATAACCCATACGTGAATCATATTATACTTGTTGGCACAACAAAAGTTCTATAGTTGTTATTACTATGCTCCTTGTGTTTCTATCATTCCTAATAATTAAGACAAGCGACAAGAGTCGGGTTTTGTTCATTGTGTGTTCAGAGATGCCATAGAGTTTTGGCATTAGCATTGTATGTACAATAGCAGAAATTTTACCCAACGGGACCTTCTATCTTCAATCAAGCACGGTTGAGACCTTTCAGGATGTCTTCTCTATGTTTTTCCAGATAGTCGTTCCATGCTTTATGATGTTCCCTTCTGACATAGTCAAAAGGTGTGTTGCCGCGGACGTCCTCTGATAGCAATAAGGAGGTGTCAGCTGACGCAATCAACAGGTCCATCATTGCCATGTTTGGCTCGGGTGTCCAACAGGCATCATGAAAGGGGTTTCTTCCAAAGTCGTCTTTTATTGAAAAGGAAACCTTGGCTTCGTCGATCATAAATTTCAGTATCTTCAAATCCCCCCTTCGGCAAACCATGTGTACCAGTGATTCACCAAATTGATTGCAAGCATTCATACTTCTCCCACTCAAAAACATTTCTCGCAATCGGTCCACATTCTTGGAACGAATCACTTTGACAATCTCCACATCGTAGGATGAAAGGTCATCCTCTTTGGGTTTGCGGTATTCTATTGGCATGGTTTTGGTTTGGGAGAGGTAGGCTTTTATTCTGGATGATGGAGTCTCTTCTTGTATCCGTGCTTTCGTCACCAAGGGCTTTCGATACCGATTATGCTTGGCTGAGTGGCTCGAGTGGTGCACTTTGGTGACACCTTTGGGGAATGCGGTTGCCATCATGATGGTGCGACGATGCGTTGCAGTTGTATTTGCTTTTTGGAACAATGCAAGAGCTATAATGTGTATGGTTGTTGTGAGTGTGTGTGTGTGTGTGTGTGTGTGTGCTAAAACGCGTATCGGATAAACCGAGTGCCGGTTTCACTTCAAGCAGAAGATGCCGTTCGTATTTCATGCTCTTTTTTCATGGCAAAAAGCGATTTTTGGTTGTCAAAATTAACTTGCGTGGCAGGTTGCCACGTTTACGCACTTCAACTAGGTGGTGCAAAATAATTAACGGTTGAGAAAAAGAACCCGTAATGTTTCTCATTGCTCGTGCGTTTCTATCCAAGAAAGCCATGTATGCCGTTTTATTCTGCATTGATAGTACCGGAACTAATCAATTTGGTGAAAACCTTAAATGCCTTTATGCGAACGGGCGCAATATTCCAAAGACCAAACTCGGTCACATATAAAACAGATAGACTTGTCGAACACTGGGACACAACTGCTGAAACGAACAACACTTCTTCGTGGGGTCCGTTAAATGGTTGTCATAATACATTCACTGTGCACTTTCTAGGACAGATGGCAAAATTGCTCACCTCCTCGTAAACGATACAGTACAGTAGCGTGAAATATTTTGTGATACATACTCTTTGTGGGACACGGCAGCTCTGCTTTGGGTTCCAGATGGAAAAAAGAATGACAGCGGCGGAATAGTCCAACGACCAAACTTCGGTCCTCTGTAATAAAATATAAAAATGCAGATTGCTCGTGCAACGTGTACTATATTGTTTCTGTGACAGGTGGCAACAGCCCCATGCCTCCTTTTTAAAAGCAGGAGATTGCGTGAAAGAAACCACAAGTGCTGACGGTACTGTACTGGTGCCAGGACAAGAACTGTATGCCACACACCATCCATCCAAAAAAACGGAGCAAAAGAACGAAAAAATGCAGCGCCTCTATCGCATGTTCGGTGTAAGTGCTATGATACTTCTCGATCTTACCTTTGATTTACTATGTGTTTCGTTTCTCATCCTCAATCATTATCATCATCATCTAGCTATTCTCCTACCGGTACCAGGGTACCAGGGTACCCTGGTACCCTGACCTACTGTACCTGCCTGCCTGCCCTCCATTTGACCCCTCCGACCGATCAATTTCTGAAAAGGGGGGTCGAGGGGGGGGGCGTGTTGGGTACGGCTCAGATGTGGGGACGATTTCAAATGAGACAAAAATGATGATGAACCAAGATGACCCTGGTGGTCATGTCACAGTACTGTAACATAAGACTTACGATAATACAGCCCCATGTCAAATCGTTCATCTCCACTCTCCAACATAATGCATCCAACCGAATAAAGACATAGACTAGCCTACTGTCAAATGACTTCTGATTGAATTATTGAGGAAGTATTATATAGCTAGACCCCAATATAAAGGCGAACATTGATTTGTTATGGCAACGTAGGTGTGTCGCACGTCAAAACTTGGTCGGCATCACACCAACTCCTTCCATACAGACACAATGACTTCACGCGCAGACACACAAAATATTATACTGTACTGTAGAACCAAGCAAATATATTAATCAATTGAGACGTCAACCATGACGGAAGCACTCATAGACAGTCAAACTAGCGCCAATGATGCTACCACCACCAAAATACGGCAGATTCAGGTCATTTTGTTGCGACACGGCGAACGAGAGGATGAAGCAGAGGCGTATGATAAGAGTCAAAAGACACAGCAAGAACGAGTTGATCCAGCCCTAACTGTGCTTGGACACCAACAATCCCTTGGGGCTTGGAGAAATATTCTGGCCTATGTCCCAAATGATAAACCAGTCATGATTGCATGCAGTCCCTTGCGAAGATGCATCGGGACGGCACTGATGGTGGCTGCCGCTGCGTTGACTTCCAATCCTGAAGAGAAGGTTCCTAAAATCGTGTTACCTACCGACGATGTCAACGATCAGCAGGATACGGCTGAGGGTGCTGAAAAAACTATTCCGGTGTTGGTCATGAATGGATTGGGAGACTGCGCCGCTCAAATGCGTCATATGGGAGGCATCGGGAAGGTTGTCAAAGCTGGTTGGCTGGCATGTGCTGCATCACCTGTCAATGATTGTTGTCGTATTGATACAAAAATAGCAGACACGGCAGCGACGCCTGTTACAACAACACCCCTACAAAACTCACTACGGAGGATTGCCAAAAAGGGGGGGCACTTGCAAACCAGATGGGGTGATACAATCGTCACGCAAAGCTGCAAACTTCAATTGTGGAGAGAATCTAAATATCACTCGTCCGAATCCATTCCTACCTCGGATTTGTCGATAATGACAGAACCGCGGACCATACAAGAACACGAAGATGCGGGTGCTGGTTCGACAAGCAGTCGTTTGGATGATCCCGTTCCAATGCCCAGAAATGCTCCGTCTGCTGAGGAACAATTTGAACAGACTTTGGAACGTGCCGTTCTGTTAACCGCACATGCTGGATTGGAAACTTGCATTTTGGTCACCCACCGAGAAGCCATTCGATGGATCGAAGAACACCGAGTGGTGGGGGAAGAGAGCCCAGAAGCAACGGGAGAGGATGGCGAACAACAGAAAGATAAATTGAATCTCTCGGCAATCAGGAGCACCACGAGAACGTATTGTTGTGTTGCTGACTACAAGGTGTCGCTGGATTTGACGGATTCCGAGAAACCTCAATTTCTGAGCTGGGAAACTCAGAAAATTGTCCCATGGTCAGCATTGCACCGAGACCAAGAATAGACAGTCTGTCACCAACATGACGCTATCAAAGTCAACCTTCCATCGCCAGCATTAGTATAATATACAACTTTGAAAAAATAACACAAATTCAAAGGGGGCGTTGAGCTGTAGAAAAAGGTATCTTTCCAACGCTATCGGTCGTTACACTATGATGTTTTTTGTGATGTTTTTTGCCTTGCATTTTGTGCCTCTGCTTTAGACTCCAAGTACCAGATTATCATTGATACCATTAACCACATTTCCTTGGTGTAAATGAAAAATTCCATAGTGAGTTGAGTATCTGAATGGAACAGGGCTCGCCAAGTATCGCAATGAACCAGTTGGTGAAGAGTGTAGAGCCCATGAGTCGCAGCCGCAATCAATGCGGCATTCTTGCGCGGCGCAAAGGCAAATGCAATGACTATTGTTAGAAATGGAAAGGCAATCATAGTCACCATGATTTTTTCTTGAGGCAACATGTTGTCCGGCTCTTGCTGCGAACCGTCAGGTCGAATCATGAAATCAGCAAGATTATAGACTCCAACCACGTCGGTGAGGGCCAGAACGGACATCAGTCCAACCTGAAGGTATGTCAGAACGGTGGAAATTACCATAAGAGTGGCTCCTTGGTGGCACCTAACACAACAAGCCGAAGGTGATCTTATTATATATCATATCTTGACTTCCAAACTTCTTATTTTCATCGAAACAGTATGGTCGAGTGGGTCATTGCACCGGCAAAATTGCAAAACCGCACGAAATAATGCCGACGCTGTATATGTATCGGTAGAGTAGTGCCTTATTCCATCAGCATCCGTGCCTCTGTTACTATGGGATTCTGATTCAGCGCTCCATTCATATCTCCAAAGACAAAGTGTTGGATGAAACAAAGCTGGAGTTCTTTGCTGCTCGTGACATATAGGCTTACCTCCCCAGCATCAGCACTACTATCGTCAACGTCCCTTGTTTCTCTACACCAAAGCTCATCCAGAGGATTGCACATTTGCCCAAGGAGGTTTGAAAGCATTTTCGACAAAAGTTTCAATTGCGCGACATCCTTAACTCGGCCATCCGCAACACTCTTAGCCCAACGCAGAATGACACAGCAAAGTACCCCGTTGCTTTCATCGAGTGATGCCCAGAACAAGGGATGCCATCAAGATGACTGGACTGGCCGGGTTGTGGTTCGGTTCCTTAGTAATAATGCGGACAAGGACTATGAAATCAAGAACAAACCAAAGGCTCGGGTCGATGTATCGGAAATATCTGAAATGGGCCAAGCAATTCAGCAAAATGTTGCCCAATCACATCCTAACGATGAATCTGGAAATGACGAAGAACTACTCCATTCGAATCAGATTCCCAACAATCCAGAGGATTGTACAATCAGAATTGATGTCTCGCTTACTTCAAGAGTCACGGGACAACCCATCGCTATCAATCTCATACGAGATGGTGCTGAAGATGCTTCCAATTGTCTGAAGCGATTGGAACTTTCACTCATCAAGAAGCTGTCCAAGAAAAAATCAAAAGGCAAGAAGCAAAAGGTGGTGGCTCAAGCGTCCACATCTTCTTGCGTAGTCCTATTAGAGGACAAGGACGAATCAAAACCGGCACAAGAAATCAATCCTCAAAGCATGTCCAATCATCAGCTTTGGAACCTCTGTACGACATCCTCAATTTCACTCCGTCTGAAGATTGGCGAAGATAGTGCGATTTTGCCTGTTGAATGCAATCCACCCACAATTTACAAAGTGACCGCCTTTGAAGACTTTGACTGCGATATATTCCCGCATGTACCACTTGTCCTGCGTGTGGAAACCTTGTTTTCCACCCGAGCCGTGGTCGATTGGTATGCAAATGGTGAACGAGTCTGTCAGGACTCTACGTGCTATGTTCCAACAATTGATGATGTCAGCAAATCATTAGCTGTTATCATTACTCCAGTACGCCCGGGACACACAAGTCACCTTTACACTGAGGCATACCGCTACAAACGAAAGGTGGCATCTGCTTTGCCACCAAATACTACACTGGACATTCGAAAAGCATGGCTATCACGACCAAAGGATTCCAATAACTTGCGGGTTATGTCGTACAATATCTTGGCGGATCAGAATGCCTTTACGGGACCAGAGCAGCAACCCTTCTTTCCATATGTCCCAAAGGAGCTGTTGCTCCGATCGAGACGGTTTCCTTTGATACTTCAGGAAATTCTGGAGCACAAGGCCGACGTAATTTGCTTGCAAGAAGTGGATAGTTTTGTCTTTTCATCACTGTTGCAGCCAGCCTTGGAATTCTACAACTATCAAGGATTCCATAGCCTGAAGCAGTCATCTGGGAATAACGAAGGATGTGCCATATTTTGGTCACTGGATCAGTTCCAAGAGGTTAGAACAGAAGATATCAAGACCTTTCGAATAAGCGAGCTGCTGAAAGAATGTCTAGAAGGAAATGATGGGATGAATGCTAGTTGGAAAGAATGCACGGCTCCAATTTTACAGCTGTTTGCAAAACGAAAAGACTTGGAAGATATTGTCCTTTCGAATCTCGGTACGTCACCTCATTATCCCAATTGGCTCCATTGAAGAATGCAACCTCTAATCCTGATATTGGTTCGTTTTCGCATAGGTCATGTACTGCAAGTTGTGCGACTAAAGGACCGAGAGGGCAAAGTGATCCTCGTTGCGAATACTCATCTGTTCTTCCACCCCATGGGATCGCACATGTATGTCAAGCCATTTTTTTGGCAGATGGAAGTGAATGAATCATGTCTCTGATCTAACGCTCTTTTTCTTTTACAGTCGGGCTTTGCAAATGTTTGCTGTGGCACATCAGTTGAGCATAGAACGAGGTTCTGAAGAAATTCCTTATTTGTTGATTGGCGATCTGAACTCTTCATTGGGAAATGCGGCCACCTTGATTCTGAAGAAACGAATCCCATCCAACTACCGAGACTACAAAGAAAGTCTCAACAACTTTTCATGGGATGGTCATCATGGTACTGCTGGTCATAGTGATGACTTTCCAGCCCTTTCGATTCCAGAATCGTTCCCAACCTTGTTGAACGGATACTCCAAATCCCCAGAGTTCACGCACTACATCGTTGGTTTCAAGGCTACAATAGACCATATTTTCATGTCAGAGCAAAGCGGGACTTCTACTCTGCGACCTTTGTATCATGCCCCCATGCCAAACGTGGAGGAAGTGACACGAAACACAGCCATGCCTTCGGTGAACTTTCCGAGTGATCACATCAGTCTAGTATGTGACTTAGAGTGGGCTCCAATATAAGAGACGACTACAATGCGTTTTTGATATAGAATCATTCCACAAATGGTGGATATTAGCTCTGCATTGTCTAAATTATGCTCCTACTACATGGACAACATTGCGCTTCTTGTTGGTTGGCAATTTGGTCATTGAAACAACCCCGGCAACCTTGGCGAAAATCGTGTGATCTTTTCCCATTCCAACACCTTCGCCAGCCCGGAATTTTTGACCCCTTTGTCGGATAATAATTGATCCTGCCTTTGCTTGTTGCCCAGGGTAAAGCTTGACACCTAAACGCCTTCCAATCGAGTCTCTTCCGTTGTTGGAGGAACCACCAGCCTTCTTGGTTGCCATACCTCTGGAAGCCACCTTGGAGATGGAATTGTGCTGTTGTTGAAGTGATGAAAGACTCTTTTGGAGCAACGACATTTTGAATCTGCTTGGTCGGAGAAAAAAAACTTAAAAGAAGATCAACAACTTTGTTCTAATGATGATGATGAGGTGATGATGGAAATGATAATGAGTGTGTGTTTGGGTTATTGATGAGCGTTGAAATTGACGACGGGCTGTTTGACAGACGTCGGTGGTCGGATGTGTCGAAATGCCGTGCTTTGCTGTGATGCGTAACGCGTGACGTGTGACACTTTTCTTTTTTCCAACATCTCGACCCTACCGTACCGGTACACCCAAGTTCAATATAGCGTATAAAGATAGTACAATCATATTAGAAATTCAAAATCTGACGATGCAAAATTTGATATATTGATTGACGTCATCGTCATCATTCGCAATGGGGGTCCGATGGCGAGTTCGGATGAGTCGCATTGCCCACTAATTGTCTCATAACCTTTTGACATCATTGGAAATTCAAAATTCGACACATCAGCTACATTAATACCGGTACAGGATCATCTTCATTGTCACTTCTTTTGTTCTTACGAGTTGCCTACTTTTCAAACTCTGAATGCGACGATGAAATCACCTTTCTTTGGCCATGTGCTGATCTTCTTGATGATTTCTCTGTCTAGATTTCCACATGTAACTGCTTCCCTTCGCAGATTAGGCACCAATCTTACGTCCGTCACATTCATTGGAGACCTGCATGCAGATGTGGGCTGTGCCAAGGAATGGGTTCAAAAGACGGGACTCGTCAACGTCACATCTACACCCTATAAATGGCTTGGTGATCCAGAGAACGATGCATTAGTCTTTCTTGGAGACTACGTCGATAAGGGGTCATCCTCTGCGTCCGTGTTGCAGTTTGTCAGATCACTTCAGGAGACCTTTCCCGACAACATCTTGACGATACTCGGCAACCACGACTTTTTTCTGATATTGGACACTGCATTGTCATTTTCCAAAGATAATCCGCATCCTCTTGGGTTCCCTTTCTATGATTATGCCTATTCATTTATGCATCCAGAAGAATATTTGGAATCCGAATGGGTGGAAACTCGAACAGATGACGAAGACATTTATGGTGTGCTCATGACGGCACTTCAAAATACCTATGCCAAACGGATGGAAGGCTCTGTACACCTATGTGCACCAGAATGCAATAGCGAGGAACAAGTCAATATCTTTGAAACGATAGCCCCATTCAAAACAAACCCCGAGCTGGCAAAGAAAACCCAGGATCGTCTCGGTACTTGGCGTTCCGAGTATGCCAAAGGCTTATTCGATTCCGGACTATTGAGATGGATGACCAATCAACCACTAGTCGCCGTTGTTGGCGATGCGCTGATTGTGCACGGAGGAGTGTCCAAACAAGTTGTGAACTACATGTCATCCTTGTCGACTCATTTTGACATTGATGTTGCCGAAGCCTTGCAAACACACATAAACGAGCAGTTCCAAAAGTTTTTTGAGAGTAATCTTAACAACGTGACTGGGCCAAACATGATAAAAGGGCGCATGACTGCGGGATATTTAACAGAACTCATTTTGGATTTGGTCCAACATCGTGGGTACTTTGACCGCAAAAGTGGCTGCAGTGATGTCAATCATGTCATTAGCACGGTGAATTCAGAAGAATTACCAATCAAACGGGTAGTGGTTGGACACACACCAAACTCATACGCGAGAGAACTGTGTGGTGGCAAGCTATTGGCCAGTGATTCTTCCTTGTCCAGATCCTTTCGAGCCTATGGCAACATGTACTGCCCTCTGAGTAGTGAACGAGCGGCACAATATGCTAAAGGTGCCAGTTGCGGCGCCACACCAGAAGATTTCTGCGATGGATCCATTAGCAGAATGACCCGACCATCTGCAAACGATCCATGGCCGACGAAAATGGAGAGATACTTGCTTGAAGAGTTGACACCGCTTTCGGAACTCGTGATGGATGAATTGCTAGAGGAATTGTAACTAGCTATGTATAGAATATAGACAACAAAATATGATCGGAGACATTGTTGTAACTCATAGTTGCAGCGCATACGCAGCAATCGACTGACTCTCCCAAACCGTTGATCCTTCATCCATTCCGTATGCTAGATCACAGCTCAAATGCCAATTTTACAAATTGTTCCAAGTCACGTGAGGCTAGGCGGGATGCATCGGTACAGGCGGGTCCGCTTTTCTTGGCAGCCGCTTGTCCGATGGCAATCACATCCCCCTTTACCTTCTTGGCAGCATCCTTCACATTCGCTGGAGAATCAGTAGTAGCAATTTGATTGATGGTTACTCCCAAAGTCCCAAGTGGTCCAGTGATGAGACCTTGAATTTGTGACCATTTTTTTTCTTCGGTCAAGGTTGGAATCTCCGCCAGTCGCTTGTTGGCTTCCTGAAGACGTTTCAGCAAGACGGTCGGGTCGGCTCCTTTGTAGAGCGCTTGTTCTGGGTTTCCTCCCGCTTCATTCTTTTCAATCAAGTATTCAATGTAGTTTGGCATTTCCATATTTGTAGAAGTCCCATACTTGGCTTCAGCTGGTAACGATGAAGTGGTGGCAACAAGTGTTGCTGCAAGTCCACCCAGGATCATGTGTCGACGGGTTGGGTGACATACGTCAGTCATGATCTCGTCAACCTGAGCAAACAAGGTTGTCCTCTGCTGAATCATCTTTGATGGATGGATTTGCCCTGGACATGTTGGCTGGAAAGCTACTGTGGAGCTAATAAGGAGCAACAAAGTGAAGTTTAACTTTGGGGTGTTCATCGTGCTTTTGGTGGTTGTACTGTAGGATATGACGATGATGCTTTTATGATGCTTTCGTAAAATATACCAATGAACAAAGAAGAGCTGACATAGTCGGTTTTCCTGACACGACACATAATACTAATAAATAGATCTTCACAATAACACACCCAGAACAGCACCATGAGTCTCGTCCACATAGCTCTATTCCTACTAGCACTTGTATGCTGCTGTCATGGGAACTCCCTACGGTTACATACCTTTGTGGACGATCACATGGTCCTTCAGCGTGAACCACACCGTGCTAGAGTTTGGGGTTGGGCTTCTCCCACAATCAATGTTACGGCTCAGTTGGATGACAAACTAGTTGCCTTTGGCATTGCCAACGCTAGGGGGAATTGGAAGATTGAATTACCACCTCAATCGGCAGGTGCAGGTCATACATTGACCATTTCGGATGGCTCATCCACTATTGTTCTAAAAGATATCGCCTTTGGAGATGTCTTTTTGTGTTCCGGACAATCCAACATGCAATTGAGCGTCCAAGGAGCCATGAATGCGGATGCAGAAATTGCAGATTCCATTCATTATCCCAATCTACGACTAGCCACAGTCACCCAAACCACATCGGGAGTCCCAGAACAGAATGCGAGATCCGCATCGACCAACTACACTTGGGCGAGATCTAGTCCAGAGGCCTTTCAGAATCACGGAAGAATAAGCTTTTCGTACTATTCCGCTACTTGCTACTTTTTTGGTCGAGATCTATACAAACGTCTGGGAGGCAAAATTCCCATTGGTCTCGTGACTAGTTGTTGGGGAGGACAACGAGTCGAAGCCTTTTCTTCTCCAGACGCACTGGCGGATGCATCCTGTGGTGGAACTGTACTAGATTCTCCCACCAGTGAAAGCGACTACTTGGCGGAGACAAGTACAACGTCTTCATTCGACTCGACAAACACGCTACTCGAGAGCAATTTCATGGGCGATGATGATGGTGATGATTTCTACAACAATGACTTGATGGACGGTGTTCCAAAAACGTCACTGTGGTATGGCATGATTTCTCCCCTGCTTCCGATGAGGTTTGCCGGAGCTGTTTGGTATCAGGGTGAGTCGAATGCAGACAATGCAACCTCATATGCCTGTCGCTTCCCAGCCATGATTGCAGACTGGAGACGCAAGTTTGAACTTGAGAAACTACCATTTTACTACGTCGAGTTGGCAGGGTACAAACCAGGTGTCACTTGGCCCTATCTTCGTGCCGCCCAACGTGCTGCCTTGCAGCTGGATCAAGTAAGCTTTGCTACGGCGATGGACCTTGCAGATCCATCGTCTCCAAATGGTGCAATTCATCCGAGGCGGAAGCAAGAGGTTGGACGTCGGCTTTCGCTCAGTGCCCTAGCAACACAGTATCAGAAGAACGACATCGATAACAAAGGACCCCAAATTGAATCGTTCGAACAGGATGGAAGCAATGGAAGAGTGTTGCTAAAGTTCAGTGAAGATACGGCTGCTACATTACATCTCCAAGGGTCGGCGGATTGTGGTATTTGTTGCTCCATCCCTCCATTCGAAATCATGGACGCTACTGGAAACTGGACAAGAGTCGCTCGGTCACGAGTAGAACGACCAATGAGTGTAGCACTGGAGCAAATACCCAAGGGTATTAGAGTCCTAGGAATTCGCTATGCATGGGAGGCATATCCACAATGTATACTCTACAATGGCAAAGGTGGACCCGATGACCATGAGGGCTTGCCTGCTACTCCATTTGAGACATGCTTGTATCCTTCGAAGGAGGGGTCCTGGACAGGTAGGCGGTGTAGAACATCAGCACCAGAGGTCGCTGTATCGTTGGAGATTGAGAAGTAACCGATATTGAAATCACAAGGAAGCCGCGGCTGTGGTAATTACAATAGGCTGAGAGAGTTGCCGCTCGCCAATATTTCACGACACCATATCTTATTTTTGCCTGAATGTCTTCAATATCAATATCATCAAAAGCTTCACAGCAGTATGCGCGGTCATTCAGGTTTTTGTTCGCTACAGCTAAGAAAAAATTCTTAAATGATATTTGTGCTATTAATACACCGTACACAATAATAGGATGATGTACACATTTCTTTCGCTGGGATGTCATTTGAAGAATGGCGAATTTATGAAATTTGCCACGTAGACTTGGCAACTGTGTTCCTTAAATGGAATACTGAGCTTTTGGCCTGGTACGCATCAAAATTATGACTGGAAAACTGGGTTGTATCGAAACTCACAAACTTCCAACTTGACGAACTGCGAAAAAGAAACTGCATAAATTGTTTTAAGATGTCTGTCTTGACGAGTAACATGATGGGAGGACACAGAGACAGTCTCTTCTCGTTTTCGCTACATGACGAGCCTTCCTATTGCTCAGAGTTGTCCTGGGACAGTGACGGAGATGATTCTGATTCTGACGACTCATTCATTTCCGAAGATGATGATTATCTAGACGCACAAATGATGAAAGGAGATTTTATCCTCGAAAAGCCCTTGGAAGTAAACGATTTGGATCGCATGTTCGACTGGGGGTTTGGGTATAAGGCTCCTTCCAAGTTCAAGGAATCGGTGTATGACTTCGCTGTGAAGGTGCCGATTCGAAGACATTCCATAACTGACGATGATACCTCTAGCTTTGGTGACGATGAGATCCGAAGCGATGCTTTTGGATCCGTCTTGTCCGCGATGTCAAATGAATTGGAATCCAACGAGATGGACGGAGCGGAATTAATTGCTGACTCTGCGTATGTATCCAACTCGAGTACCTTGGATGACCGATGGACGGAGGGCAGGACTCACGAAAATTTGAGCCCAAGAGTCAACCGGTGGAGAGGGGGATTGACTCCTGACAAAAATCTGAGACCAAGCATAGAACGACCAATGATGCCACCACCAAGGAGACGACCCAGCAACAGTGGGGACGATTGGAATGCCATGAAAAGACATTCCATAGAAAGCTCCTCCTTGCAATTCGAAGTAATCAAGTCCCAAATCCAATCCGAATTGGGACTAAGAATGTCCGACTCTCTTCCAGCACAGAAGATCATGGAAGCAATCATGTCTGTTTTGCAAAACCCAGGCTGTCAAGAAGAGTCGAAAGAAGAATCGAAATACGATCAATAGCTAGTAATCCTCGTTGGAGGCGCTTACATCAAAAGTAGCTGAGATAGTAATTGTAATAATGGAAGAGCACCTAGAACCTGGTGATGTAGTTGGCGTTTGGTGGCTGCTGGCAAAAGTCAAAAAGTGATCTACTGCAGCATGAAGAAACGAGAATACAAACTCTGCCAATGAGATATATTTATATATAATTCATGGAATAAGATGATATTCTTGGAGCTTTTCGGCAACAAATGTAATGGGCTGGAGCACTTGTTAGCCCAGGGGTCATAATTTACATCTGAAGGTGACGCCATTCATCTGTTGACGCATATTCAATATGCGGGATTTGTGGAAACGAACTCCGATTGATTTGTAGTAATTTTTTTAAAAATAAATATCCGCGAAACTCGATCCAGTGACGAACCAAAATTTGTCAGCCGTTAATTGCTGTGCCGCCGTGCAGTGTCTCTCGGTCTTGCTGGAAAGCGGCATTCGTATCAAGATTTGGAAGAAGCTCCAGTACGGCTGGAGAAAGTTTGTTAATACCTTGCGAAAGAAAATCCGGTGACGACGCGGAAATTTGCCACGTACTCTAGTGATGATTCCAGTATCACATATTATAAAATATAAAAAATGAAATAAAATGGCTTTTTTCGAAACATAATCTAATGAAGCAACCTTCAAGAATTTAGGGAATTTGCCACGTGAAGGTTGAAAATGTCTCTTGTTAAAGAACTCCACTTTTGGCCGGAAAAGCCGAGAAGTCTCATCCATCCCCATCAGTAGCGCTTGTGAAATTAGCTCACAAATGCCGAACTTGAGCGGAACTGAGCAACAATTGTACAAAATTGTTTGAAGATGTCGGTCGTGACGAGTAACATGATGGGTGGACACAGAGACAGTCTCTTCTCGCTGTCGCTACATGACGAGACTTCCTGTTGTTCAGAGTTGTCCTGGGACAGTAGTGACGGAGATGATTCTGATTCGACGGACTCGTTCATTTCTGATGATTATCTAGATGCGCAGCTAATGAGAGGAGATTTTATCCTCGAGAAACCCCTGGATGCAAACGAGCTGGATCGCATGTTTGACTGGGGGGCTGGGTACAAGGCTCCTCGCAAGTTCACAGAATCGGTGCATGACTTCGCTATGAAAGTTCCCACTCGAAGAGATTCCATGACTGAGGGTGACACAGATGACAGCTTTCTTGTAGACGAAGGTGATGAGTTCCGAAGCGATATTTTTGGATCCACTCGAAGTGATGCTTTTGAGTCAGTCGTCGCCGTAATCTTAGATGAATTTGAATTCAAAGATCTGGATTCTTTAGACTCACGGCTGAGCTTTGAAGAAACGCCTTCTACTTCCAATGGGAGGAACAACGAAAGCTGCACTGGTAAGAAGAACCTGATCACCCAAGCCACGCATATGTCTTGCACGGTGGAGGATGGAGGAGCAGAGTCAATTGCTGACTCTGCATATGGATCCAACTCCAGTACATTGGAAGACCGATGGACGGAGGTCGGAACTCACGAAAAGTTAAGCCCTAGTGTCAATAGGTGGAGAGAGGGATTGACTCCTGACAAAAGTCTGAGACCAAGCATAGAACGACCAATGATGCCACCGCCGAGGAGAAGACCCAGGAACAGTGGGGACGATTGGGGAGTCACCAAAAGGCATTCCATGAAGAGCTCTTCCTTGCACTTCGAAATCATCAATTCGCAAATCCAATCCGAATTGGGACTAAGAATGTCCGACTCTCTTCCAGCACAGAAGATCATGGAAGCAATCATGTCTGTTTTGCAAAACCCAGGCTGTCAAGAAGAGTCGAAAGAAGAATCGAAATACGATCAATAGCTAGTAATCCTCGTTGGGGGCGCTTACATAAAAATTAGTTGATAGTAATTGTAATATGGGAGAGTTTTTAGTATCCAGCGATAGCCGGCCGTTTGGCACAAAAAGCAAAAGCAACGTGAAGAAATCGTAGTACTGTAGTTATTAGGACCGTCTCCGCTGTGTTACACAAGCAACCAAGTCCGATATCCCCATATCGAACTTGTGTGCAAGTATGACAGAAAGATAGCAATGTCTCTCTTTGTCGCAAGCTTCGAGCGCAACTCAAAAGGATCAACTTCACACAATAACACATAACACGCCTGAGTCACTCCAAGAAACACCAAGCAGAAGAACCCGAACGGAAGGCGCTAGGCTGCTATCCTCGATAGCCAATAGCTACAGGTAGAATCGTTGGGGAAGTTCGCATGAAAATTATTTGAATTACCCCAATACTGCTAATATTATCGTAATAATGGCAGAGTGCTACGAAAATTCAGTGGAGAGACTGCAACACTATAACCCTCCGTGCCTCTGTGGATTGTGACATTTGGCGTCGTTCCATCCCTCCATTCGAAATCATAGACGATACTGGAAACTGGTCTGGACAAAAGTCGGACGGTTACGAGAACGACCAATGAGTGTTCCCAATAGTCTTGGTACTCGATTCTTTTTTTAAACCAACTTTTTTAAAAAACATAGGTATCATGAAACGCTCCTTTTGCAACAATCGACCTCCTTTACGGAGGTACCGATACGCGTTTGACACCGAACTTGACGTGGTGCGATATGAATGTGAGAACCGAACTCTTCAATGGGAATCAGGTGATCCTTCTACAGAGTTCGTGGGATAGAGGATATGTATATTCCGGAGGTGTGTCGACAACAAATAATGGACACGAGCTGAGTTTTTTCGCAGAATATTAATATTATTATAAAAAAATACGCCTGCGAATTTATCTGGTGACGAACATGCGGCATTTGGTGATATTTGCCACGTACCCCCAAAACATTCCTTCTCCATTAAATGGTTTTGGCCAGTAATAAGTCCGGAATATCGGATCAAAATCATGAAAGAAGAATTACTTCCTCAATCGAACCTTTCCGGCTCACAAACTTCCAAACTTGAGCCGAACGTGCAAAAAGACTGCATAGAACCAGATAAGATGATGGCAGGACGTAGAGAGAGTCTCTTTTCGTTGTCACTGCGTTCCCAGCCTTCCTATTGCTCAGAATTATCCTGGGACAGTGAGGACGAAGACGATTCTGACTCTTCGTGCTTTTCCGAAGATGATTATCTAGATGCACAAATAATCAGAGGAGATTTCATCCTCGAAAAGCCCCTGGATGCAAAAGAGTTGGATCGCTTGTTCGACTGGGGGGTTGGATACAAGGCTCCTCCCAAGTTCACAGAATCGGTGCATGACTTCCCTATGAAAGTTCCCACTCGAAGAGATTCCATAACTGATAATGACACCTTCAGTAGAAGTGACGAGTTTCGAAACGATATTTTTAGATCCACTCGAAGCGATGCTTTTGAATCCGTCTTATCTGCAATCTCAGATGAATTTGAATCCAGAGATCTTGATTCTTTAGACTCACGGTTCAGCTTGGATGATGAAGAGAAGGATGACCCAAAGACACCTCCCACCTCGAAAGGGAGGAACAACGAAAGCTGCATGGTGGAGGATGGAGCGGAGTCAATTGCTGACTCTGCATATGGATCCAACTCCAGTACATTGGAAGACCGATGGACGGAGGGCGGAACTCACGAAAAGCTGCAGCCTAGTGTCAATAGGTGGAGAGATGGATTGACTCCTGACAAAAGTCTGAGACCAAGCATAGAACGACCAATGATGCCACCGCCGAGGAGAAGACCCAGCAACAGTGGTGATGATTGGGATGTCACCAAAAGGCATTCCTTAAAGAGCTCTTCCTTGCACTTCGAAATCATCAATTCACAAATCCAAGCCGAGGTGGGACTAAGAATGTCCGACTCTCTTCCAGCACAGAAGATCATGGAAGCAATCATGTCTGTTTTGCAAAACCCGGACTATCAAGAAGAGTCGAAGGAAGAATCGAAATACGAACAATAGCGCTATCAAATCATTTGATGTAGGACACGTACTATGAATCGAAAATACCTTACTTTTCATGTACTCCAATACTAAATGCAAATCATTTTTGTCACAACGGAAGATTCGTGTATTCATTCGAGCTGCTATTAAAAGTTTTGGCTGTATGTATGTCTTTCCCGCACCAGTTGGCTAAAGACACGGTCGTTCCGATTCGGCAACCCATTTTTTGGATTCAAGGAGGAAGATCTAGTTTTTGTTTTTGTTTGATACGGTATCGACTACTAGTTTATCGAAGAAGCTTGTCAATCTCATCCAAAAAAGCCTTCTTGGTGGCAGGATCCCTGGCGATGGGAGTCAATTCCTTAATTCCACCCAAAACAGGCGCACGGACAAACTTGAGACGATCTTGGACCGCCTTGGGAAAGAGTGGCTTGATAAGACCGACAAAGGCTTGCAAGACGAATGGAAGGTTGGTAATCATGGTGGGTCCAGCCAAGTAAGGATAATATTTGGAGTATTGGTTGGAAGACTCGGTCAAAGCCTTGGAGAAGTCGGAATCCGGAGGCTTGCGGACGCCCTTGATATCGTTGGCAAAGATGACTTGCGACAATTTTCCACTTTTGATCGAGCGGTCATTGGCAACCAGGTTGTGAACCTCCTTAACATACATGAAGAACTCTTCCATTTGCTTGACCGAGACGGCTTGCATCAATTTTTTGTCGTCAATGAGGGACGCACGAATAATGTACACCAGATTGCCTTCTTTGGTAGATACAGAAATGATGTTCTTTTCCGTGATGAACTTGTTGATCACGGATGCATGGGGAGCACTATCACGGACCACATCGTTGTTCCATCCTCCTTCGGCAGTGGCCTCGGCGTACGCTTTTTGGGCAGCCTCAACGACAGCCTTTCCATTTCCCGATCTGTACTTGATAGCTTCCCTGAGAGAGTCGGCTGCTTCTTTCTTGGAATCGAAACCCATAGCAAAGCGGAGCAAGTCAATCTCGGCAAAGTCAGGAGCAATTTTACTCAACTCTTTGATGGTGGCACTGTTGGCCTGGATCAAGTCGTCAACCTTGCTGGTTTCCAAGGCAGTTGCTTGGAGCGGAGTGCTGGCAAGAGTTCTGGCAGCATTAGGAACGGCTGGAACAAAGGCATTGGCCGAGCTGGCACAAGTCGCAATCAATAATAGTGATCTCAACATCATATTCCCTTTTTGTGTACGGTAGGTATATAGGATATAGGTATCTGTGGCGATGAATTGAAGCGACGACAGAAGGAAACTTATTATCGGCGGTTGATGTACCGTACGGAATCTTGTCCCGCCGCGTCGTGTGATCAAAACTGGGATGACATACGTCATCCCAGTTTTCAACACGCATCATGACGAGACATCAACTTCCACTCTCGTGCTAGGGTACAAGGTACCAGTGGTATCTTTTTTTGCTCCATTCTCAAAATAGCTGCAGGACCAGTTATTATACAATTGGTACTTCATGAAAAAATAAAATAATTTCTGATAGGAGCTTACCGGGCAGTGCTATGGAACTTTCATCTAATAGCATGATTGTGAGAAAGATGAGTGAGACTGCTTTCTGCTTGAAGTAGGAGTATCCTCCATTTATTTTGTACATGAAAATAGCATTCTTCTCCTCTCAGTGACATATACTGATACTATTAACGCTCTTCCAATAACATCTCCATCTGGTTTCGCTGTATCTTCCTTCACCTTCTAAATACTTATTTCACTCTTCCAGCGTATGACGAATCAGTCGAGTAAGTCAGCCACCAAGTCATAGAGATGCAATTCGGTGTTGCATATTGTATTGTAAAAGTATTACGTACCGGGTACGTAGACATGAAGAATAATAAGATACACTCTATTTTTTAATATAGCTGTTACCTTTAAAACATGATGCTGGCTGCCTTCCCACAGCAATACCGCTGTACAATACAGGAAGCTCTTTGCTTTGTTTTTCTTGTTTATATTTCTGGATACGATGGCAAGTCTGCCAACTCGGAAGTATCATCCTCAACAGTTTCCTTCTTGATAGTAGTATGGTGTTGATATTGATGCGTAATCAGCTGGTCATGTTTGCTGGTGAACCGAGTCAAGTTGAATTGAAATGGAACGTTACCATAATTGACCGAGACTGGATCATTGGTATCAATGCCCACCACTCCAAATAGATTATTTTCCAAGAATTCCGAATCAATTTGCTTCCATCCATAGCCCAAAAAGACTCCGTTCAAGGTAAAGAAGATACCTCGGGCCACATAATCAATCCCACATCCAACGGTGTCACCCGTTCCGAAACACGGACCAAATCGTTCCAACATGGCCCCGGACGCATGAAAGGTGCCTCCATCATCACCATGGTAGCCAAAGGATTGGGCGTCCCATCCGGGCATTCGAGTCTGACACGAAAAGGACTCGGTGGCCACTCCAACGGCGACGCAATCCCGAGGCGATCGTTGGGTGTTGGAAGACGACTCCAAAATGGAAACTTCAAAATAGGCCACCATGCGTGGACCCACTCGGAGCGTCAAATTGTTATTGCTGTTGTTATTATGGCCATCCACGTAGGGTGCGCAGAAAGGTCGTTCAATATGCGAAAGGGATCTTCCGTAAATGGCACTGCTGGAACCTCGGCACAAGAGATCAAAGAGGGAAGAGGGTTTTCCAGTTGTTGCCTTTTTTAACAAAAATCCTCTCTTTTGGCTCATACTAGTGGTGGAAGATTTGCTGGTGCCGTCATTGGTGCTTCGCGTGGGTCGCGGCAGGGGATGATTGGAACGAATGCAGCGGTCTCCCGAACCAACTCGCCCCGTATATTGAATGCTTTTCTTGTTTTGGCAAGTAATCACCACCAATTCATCTTGATTGGGAGTCAATGTACGTTCAATGATTTGCAAGGAACGACTGTGATGATTGAGACGAACTGTGCGATGAACTCGTCGGCAAGTTCCCAACAAGGTCTCGTCGACCTTGGTGGGTAGATTGGCAGGCGTCATGCTAATCAGTAGTGGAAGATTGACCGTCATGTTGCAATTGGGTCCTTTGAGGACTGTTGGAATCATGGTCGAGTCCACGAGCAAGGCATTTGATGGCATTAATCCTTCCCACAGACTCTGGCACTTGGTCATCCAAAACGAGTCTGCAGACAACAACAACTGGCGAAACTTGTGATTCAATGCCATAACATTGCGGATAGAGGGCAAGTCGAGAAAAGAACACATGTAAAGGTAAACATCTTCTGGTACTTGGTCCATTGGCTGCGGTTGAAAGGCTGCAAATTCCCAAGCAAAGGCAGGAACATTCATTGATGTTTTGGTTGTTGCATTCGCATTGCGAACAGTAGTGTTGTTGCTACTAGGAGCAACAGCAACAGCAGAAGCAGCAGCAGAAGGCAAAGGAGAAGAGGGCGCATTTTGCTTAGATCTTTCTCGTTTGCGACTGATCATCATCGTGGTGGTCTGAGGAGCAGAGGATGCGTGTTGTTGATTCCATCCTTCCTCTTCATCGGAAGACGATGTAAATTCGGCAGGATTGGCCGCAGTGGCATCAAAGGCATCCCAAGAAACCAAGCGTTGACGGGAAGAGACTCTTCGGATCATTCTTTTTATGTTTTGTGTGTTTGCAATTTAGATTTGTGACTGAATAAATGAACTTGGAACTGCCTGAAGCTACAGTACGTACAGTAATATGCTCAATTTCAATCAATATCTTCTCCAAAGTTTTACCACTTCGAAGAAAAATCAGAACTCTCTCGCCAGTCAAGGAAGCAAATGAATTCTTCTGGTTGACACCACCGAACACCGAAGCTTTCTGTGCCTAAACCGCCTCCAAAACACTTTTGTACCAGCTGCTACGAGTTTCTGCTATTTGAAAATTCGAATGGGACGTGTCTACGACATTATTTCTCCAATCACATGACCGCGCGTCATTGGTTCAAGTCACGTGTCATCAATCCGAAACGCGAAGATCCAATCAATATTCATGCTTCGATATCTGGGGGGACAGTACTGTACTTTACTATTGGGGCATAATAATATTTGGGACTGTCACGATGATTGATTATTGTACTAGCTACAAGTAGCTACTATGCATACAGTACTCTTGCCGCCTGCATTTACTGTAGGTTGTCACTAGATACTATCATAGTTCAGTATTGGCATTTTTGCATCACTGTCCAAGATGCCTCGAACTAACTACAATCGAATGATCATGGTGATTGGGTGAAGAAGTTGTTGGGACAGTAGTACTATCCTTCCCGTCGTTCGTGGTGGTACCGGTAGTCGTAGTAGTAACTAGCTACTAGTACTGTAGGTACCTCCTTGTATTACTGCCTATCGTTGCTAGGTCTTGTTAGTGCCTGTATTTGGTACTTTGCATTTTCACTACCACTAGCTCGCTCCTCCTCAGCATTTTCCTTTTTGTACTACCTACTAGTAGTATCATATAGTAGTACACGTACCAGGTAGGACCGGTGCTGTACTGTTTCCAAGCAAGATGCCTCGAACTTAAACTACCACTGGCCTACCAGTACCTATACACATCCATACAGTTTCAGTACGGGTACTAACAAGTTAGTACCTGGTACTGGTAGCGAGGAGGGTGTAACCCAAAAGCGCATTCTTACCGGGGATAATACGTACTGTCTTCTTTTGAGGACCCTCCTACCGGTATTGGAGGACCATCCCCAAAAATCATCATCTGGATGAGCTGGTTGATTCATTCATTCATCACGGAACTCCATTCATTCATTCAATTGCACTGGTACCACCACAGTGTGGTTTTCTTGCAGTTAGGAGATAGGAACTTTGAACTTGGGAGCTTTTGGGGTCAATTTTTGAGCCCGACTAGTAATATGGTGGTGAAACTAACAAGAAGCTAGCAACAAGGTAAAAGTTCAAGCAAAATGATGGTTGTTTCATTCTTCTTCTAGGTACTCTTAGCGCCTGCAGCTTTTTTTTCAAAAAGCATGTAATAGGACTACATGTATCCATGATCATTATTATTATTATTGATTATGTAGCATTCATAAAATTTACTGGACAGTATTTTTGCGTCAATTGCTGCCAACAACAAGCATTTTTTTTTAAAACAATTGTTTTGTAATTTTATGCATCTTGCATCATTAATCCTTGCGACAAGTCATTGTCAAAAATAACTTCATTCAAGGAGGAAGTCGACTCTCGATAGCCGGCAAAATATCCATCCAACCTTAGGAATCGCAACACTTTGCGCACCAGGTGAAATCCCAAAAAGGTATACCAAGCCGATTGTATCCAATAATAGATTCGATAGCGATTGGAAAACAGCGCTCCAAAGGCCAATATGGCGAGTGCGCTCATGAGCAACCACGCAATGGTCTTGCCCAAAATGGCCCATGCCGAAATATGGTGGTGATGAGGAGGAGGAGGCGGCGGAATGGGAACTGCCGTGCTGGGAACCTGTGAGGGTGCGGGAGAACTGGATGGTGGTTGGGATGGACTCGGTGATACGGATGGTGGTTGGGACGGAGGAATGGATTCCGTACTGTTGGAAGTGGGTACCACCGAGGCCGAAGGAGCTGGTGACTTGCTAGGAGCCGGCGATACCGTGGGAGGTTCGGAAGAAGTAGGAGACACAGTCGGAGGCTTGGATGTGGTGGGAACTGGACTCGTGGTAGAATTATTCACCGTGGGCACTTGAGAAACAGTAGGAACTGGTGAAACGGTAGGAGCCATAGAGCTGGATGGCAGCGCATTGGGAGAGATTGTAGAAGGGGCGATGGATGCGGTTGTGGTTGTGGTTGTGGTTGTCGTGTCAGGGTCTGCCACGGCCAAACCAGTCGTTGTCACGGCCAACACAAGGCAAATCCAACATTGTAGTGAGAATTGTATTGGCATCATGATGAAATTGATCTATTCTGTCTGCTCTGGTGATGTTTGGGGCACCAATAAGCTTGTATGGTAGACGATAACAAACAGCTGATTAAACAAGATTCAACTTGAAACTTCGTTTTGGTCTTTTTTTTTTCGGTTCATTCGTTTTCGTTTCAGCATTTTCAAATCGGAGTCCCGATGAGATGAGTGAGTGAGTCACTAGCAAAAGAACCCGGATCAGAATATATCTTGCAACTGTTCGGTCTACCTACAGGGATTTTGTGTAGAAGCTCTACCAAAACCGAAATTGGGATCGATTTTGGATGTGACGCTTCGTGGATTCCAAGCAATCGAAACTTGTGCAATATAAAAAACTCCAAAAGAGTGGAACGTGTTATCAGTTTGAAAGGTTCCGTTGAAAGTATTGCTATCAACTTCAATCGTTGCTACACACAAGCAAGCAAGCAAGCAAGCAAACAGTCGAAAAGTAGATATTGTTTCAGTTTCGTTCCATCAATAGAATAGAATCCAAGAGTATTCAAAATAAGTTATACACAATCGATTGAACAAAGCAAGACGCAAAGACAACAGCATTGCTTTTTTTCTGACTCGTTACACATACAATCCAATCCAATATACAATACACAATACACAATACAATAATGCCTCCTCCACCGCCACCACCACCAAGTGCACCACCCAAAGAATTTCCATATGATTATCTATTCAAAGTATTGGTGATTGGGGATGCATCCGTCGGCAAGGTACGAGATGATACATGTGTTTGTTGTACATGTTTGTGTTAGGTTATCTTTTCCAATGCATTGACTCACAATCAGTCCTCGTTGTTCTTTTGCAATGTATGAATGCATGAACCAATTCCATCGCACTTATATCCTATAACTCATGATTATGTGTCACAGTCTTCCATGTTGCTTCGATTTACCGATGATTCCTTTGACGAACACATTCAATCAACGATTGGTGTCGATTTCAAGGTCAAACACATTGACATGGATGGGAGGCGGGTCAAACTGACCATTTGGGATACCGCGGGACAAGAACGGTTTCGGACCTTGACCTCGAGTTATTACCGGGGGGCCCATGGAGTGGTGTTGGTGTACGATGTCACCCAAACGGATTCCTTTGAAAATTTGGAACAATGGCTCAAGGAAGTCCAATTGTATTCGCCCAACAATGGCGAGTCTGTCATCAAGTTATTGGTGGGGAATAAAATTGACCTAGACCGCAAGGTGGAACGGGAACGAGCCGATGCTTGGGCTCGATCGCATGGGATGCTCTTTTTGGAAGCTTCGGCCAAGACTAAGGAAGGGATTCGTCAAGTCTTTATGGAAGTGGTTCAAAAGATATTGGACAATCCAGATGCCTTGTCAACGGCAGTGCCAGGAAAACCAAAGATGCAAATTAAACGGCCAACGATTGATGATGATGACGATGATGGTGGATGTTGTTAGCTCTCTCTCTCGTTACAATTGCTACCTATTGTCATTCTCAGTTATTCTCTCCTCATTTATGGAATTTCTGTCTTGTGTGCGCACGCAGTTGACTGACTGAATCGCTCAATCAATCAATCAATCAATCCTCGGAAAGCAAAATTTATATAAACACACCAATCAATAGACTCTTTTACGAATTAACCACCAAACTAGCAATGCCTAGTAAACACTAGTGCAGTGATGCAATATAAAATGGGAGGACGACTGTGACTACCGTATATTGTAGCATCAATAGTGTCATTGCCATTACATCATTCGCTACGGTATATAGGGGGCGTTGTCATTCATCCGCAGTTGTTGCCACATACGGTAGGAGATGATGTATCCAAATACACTTTCGTACTAGAGTAGGATGCGGTACCAAGCTTCTGTCACTACTTGGAGTCGTCATTGTTGGAACAACAAGTACTTGTTAATAGCTACTGTATACAGTATAGTCTGTTTATACACATACTATTCCTCTGTTGTTTTATAATCATTTTATAATATCCCTCATCCATTCCAAGGAGGCACTCCCAACGACGACGTGCCCACTATCCATTTCATTTTCATCTATATAATATTTGTTCCTTGCTCTTTTTCTTCTGACTCCTACTAAAAGTCAAAAAGAAGAAGAAGAAGAAACAAAAACAATTTACTTGGTGATTTGTCCCAATACTTGTTGGGGAGACATCTCCACCATCATTTCAAAGAACTTATCTCCGGCTTCGGCCTTGAGCTTTTCTCCGGCTTCTTTTCCAATCTTCTTGGCATCGGCAATTTCTCCACTGGCTTCAGTCTCGAATTTTTGAGTTCCATCGGGCATGGCAATCAATCCACGGAAAACAATCTTTCCATCGACGACACGGGCTTGTCCGGCAATGGGAGTCTTGCAGTTTCCATCCAGAGCTTCCAAGAATGCACGTTCGCAGTCCACGCAGACCTTGGTGTCGGGGTCGTTGAGGGCATCAATATATTTCAAAGCGCGTTCGTCGTCCGATCGGCATTGGATGCCAATGGCACCCTGGGCGACGGCGGGCAACATCTCATCCCATTCCAAGACGGAAGTGGCACAATCGTCCATGTCCATGCGCTTCAATCCAGCAATGGCCAAAAGGGTGGCATCCACGACCCCGTCCTCCAACTTGCGCAGACGGGTTTGGACGTTTCCGCGAAAGTTGACGCACTTGAGGGTGGGGTTCTTGGCCATGAGTTGGGCTTGACGGCGAAGCGAGGCAGTTCCAATGACGGAATTGTCGGGGAGGTCTTCAATTCTCTTGACGGATCCATCCTTGTAGATAAAGGCGTCGTTGGTGTCCTCACGGGGCAAGTTGCATGGCAAGATGGTTCCTTCTGGCAACCAGGTGGGAACATCCTTCATGGAATGGACGCAGATATCAACTTCATCTCCCAACAAGGCAACATCAAGTTCCTTGGTGAAAAGACCCTTTCCTCCGAGCTCCATCAAGGACTTGTCCAAAATCATATCTCCCTGGGTCTTCAAAACGCAAATTTCAATGGCGCCATCTTCGCACAATTCAGGGAATTGGTCTTGCAACCGTCTTCTAGTTTCGTAGGCTTGCGCCATGGCCAATGGAGAACCACGGGTACCAATTCGAAGGGGCTCGACGGCGGCATCCTCGGCCATATTCAAAGCCTGATTGATAACAGTTGGGAAAATCGGTCGTTGACATTATATGTGTATGTGGAAGAATCATCCAAGTTTGAAATATAGAAGAAAAAAAAAGAGAGAGGAACCAAAAAGGAACAACAATAATCATGAGCATACAATGTTGCATTTCGATACCGAATCATGTGACATCAAGGAAAGAAAGCAGTATCTTCAGCAAGTCTTCAAAATGACAACCTGCGTCATTCATTCTTGACGTGACTTGACAATTGAATTCTATTGTTCCTCGACTGAAGACATCGTCGTCGTCGTCGTCGTTGTCGTTGTCATCGTCATCGTCATCACATTACTCACGGTAGAGAATCCATTGGTCTGGGCAGCTGGGGAGAAGGCAGCAGCGGAGGCGATGAGAAGGGATGCAATAGTGAATTTCATGGTGTGTCTCAAATTTGGGTGTGTGCGTCAAGTGAAAAAATGGTTTGGGAACAAAGATGCCTTTTTAGGTACAAGGTGGGAGGTTCGAGATGAAGTAGATCTTCCCTCGGTTGGTGCGTATTGTCAGCCTCCACGCGTCACGGCAGAATACTGCAACAGTCGGTGTTTTGGTTGAGGTTTGACTACCTGGACCGAATTTAATCCAATCAGAAATCTCCAACTGACTCAAAACCGAACGTTGAAGATTTGGTGGCAACGGGACGACTGAAATGGACCAAAAACGGAACTTCAACTTGTCTGCTTTGGCGAAAAATGAGAAGACGAAAAAAGTATCACAGAATGTCAACCAAGATTCCGTCTGACATGATAGGTCATGAGCTTCAACCTATCCCATCCATCACGGCATCATCCATCACAACAATAACTTGCAACCAACAACAAAAGGATCTCCAACCATGTTGTTTCGTTCCAACAAACGATCCATCCACTTCATTTTGTTGATATGCACCTTGACTCCAAACCTAGGTGCTTCCTTTGGTCCCTATATTCGATTATTATCGACCTCTTGCGCACAGCAGCAGCATCCGTCGTCGTCGTTGAACAAGAATTTGCTGCTGAGCATGGGCATGAAGGTCAACATTCGGATTGTCGGACGCAAATCTGGCAGTGAAGCCTGGTTGGAAGATGCTTGTGACATGTACTTGACTCGTCTCCGTCCTTCTGGTGTCGAGGTCGAGACTACTTGGCACAAGGACAATCCAGCCTTGATCAAGGGCGTCGAGACTGACGCGTCCAAAGGCAACACCATCGTGTTATTGGATCCATTGGGCAAAACCAAGACGAGTGAACAATTTTCCGAAGATCTATATGAGTGGTTGGATCGAGGTGGTAGTCGCATGTCCTTTGTGATTGGAGGTGCGGAAGGATTGCCGTCGGAACTCAAGTATCCAGCTGGCACTACTAGTGGACAAAAGATGAAGCCATCCATGTTGATTTCCTTGAGTAGCATGACCTTTACTCATCAATTTGCTCGACTTTTGTTGATTGAACAAATCTATCGGGGAACAGAAATTCGAAAGGGATCAGGATATCACAAGTGATTACCATGCATGGGGAGCAATCAGCACAATACTGATTTTTTAGATATCCAATGATTGTGTGAGGAGGAACGATGATTCAATCCATGTGAAGGATGACGAACGACACTTGTGATACACATATAGTGCAAACAGCCTGTATATTGAGTGATACTGATTCATTGTCGGGTCAGGAAACCCAGTCGATGACATATGATAAACATTCAGAATCATGACATATTGACGAATGCAACAAGAATTGGCAAGCTGTGCAAGATCAGCTGGGAGTGAAATCAAACAATCAGTCGTCCAGCGAATATCAGTCAGTATATTGCTACTTCTACTATCTGCACACAAAAGAAAGGCAGTTTCTCAAAAGCAAGAAGCTATCATCCAGGAACTATGTCCTCATGGGGGATTGATGTAAAAACGAGACGAAACAGTGTGGTGGCTAGGCAGAGGCATGTTAGACACAGTCTTATAGAAAAATGCAAAATGTATTGTTTTAATTTTAAAATGAAACGAAAGTGATCTGCCGTCTCTTCCTAGTATTTACTTTGTATCCAAAGTCTCCGCTTCTTCGCGAGGCACAACAATGCCTCTCATTTGCCAGCTTGCCATCTCACCCGTGTGCGGCAATGTGCTATTGTTTCTCTTGATGGCCAACAAGTTGGTGTCCAATGTCAATAGTTCTGGCTCCAAAAGACCATCCTTGGGATCTCCAAAGAGACACGGCGGGATGGCCAAATATTGGTGCTCGTCATACTTCTGTCCAGTGCCCTCGCCCAAGCTGGGTTCTGTTTTGCAAATCGTTTGCCCGGTATCAGAATTGATCAACTCCATGGATAGACACGCGGGAGCGTGACAGTGGGGACCAATGTAAATCAATTCAATGCCCTTTGTGACAGAAGAATTGGTACTACCGACCCCTGTACACCAACTCGCATCCTGGATTGGACAATCGACCATCATGTCACGAACCTTCCATCGTGCGGTGATGGTATGGACGCATTCGTCCGCCGGTGTTCCAGTGGGACATTGGACGACGTCGTATTCTCCCGCACGTCGTTCGGTTTGCCAATAGGGTCGAATCAATTGTTTGTGAGACGCCTTTTTGTCATTATTCGTATTGGTGGGAGTGGTGGTCGCAGCATTATCATTGCCATTATCCTCGGCATCATCCTGATGACGATATTCTTCAAAGTAGACCCGGAATTTGAGTCGATAGACAAGTGGCTGATCCTTCCATGGAATTTCTTGGTCCTTGTCCAACAGAATATTATTATGGGAACAGCAATGAATCCCTCCCACGTACGTTTCGACCCGGCAGGTTGGATTCTTTTGCCAGACCAAGTCACTTTCCGGAAAGGGTGCGCATCGGTCGGAACTCATGTGACTTTTATTAATCGTACCTTCGACTCCAGATTGGCAGATCTTCATTGGTGAATCCACTTGCAAAATGTTCAATTCATTGGGTTCATGTCCGCAATGCTTTCCGAATTCTAGATTACATCCATTGGCCATGATTAATTTGTGGGAGGATGACGAGGAAGTGGTAAAGGTGTAATGCTTGGATGTCTTGCCCTTCAGTGCACGAGAAAGATGGACGGTTCGCCAACCATCTTCTACCAAGTTGGATTCAATGGTGAGACTTTTTTCAATGACGACTCCTGGTCCATGAAAGTCCAATTTGCGCTCCACCACCTCATCACCCGAGACAATAATGGCGTAGGGACCACCATCGGGACATTCATCTCCTTGCTGATGAACGCACATGTAAAAGGACCCGAATCCAACTCCAAACCACTTGTCGGCTGGACCAGTAAGGGTCATGTGTACTACTGCTTGGTCGTTTTCTTCTTTTGCATCTAGGTCGATGGAAAGGGTCAGATTGACCAAACCCAATGCCACTCCGGCAAGTCTGTTGGAAGATTCTTCCACCAATGCAAGCCTTTGGTAGTCGAGCACATTGTTACTTGTGGGCAGCTCGTTCCAAACAATGTCCACAGAACCATCTTCTCTGAGCGTTGCACTGCAACCCTTTGGCATCGAATCGGTCGACACTTGAGAAGACCGGTATTCCTTTCCCTTGACCACATATTGGACCGCCTCGTGGCAATTGGTAGCATTTGGTACGGGACCCGAGCAGTAGTAGTCGTTATTGTCATTTGCACCACCACCACCATCAAATCCGTAGGTCATGCCCCATTTGAATTCAATTCGATCCGTACAAGGACATTCTAGCAATCCACTGTAGCCCGCTTCGGGTGGAATTCTGGACCCAGAGGGCATGGGACCTGGCAGGTAGGTAGAGTTTGTCGCATTGCGGTTCCAAGTATCAATTTGCATGGGAGCTATATTATAAGAATCTGGAGATTCAATAATCTGGGCATAACCATTCGGATACCCATGATAACTTAATCGAAATTCACCGCCATTGCCTTCGGAGAACATGTGGACTTGAGGAATTTCATTATCCGGCTCCTCCGAGAGCATTTCAGCTCCGAGATACTCGTCCATACCATGATGAAAGCCTCGCTTCTTCATTTCTTCAGTAGTCTTTTTCTTTACCAGGCGAGCCTTTTTAGAATTGAGGACGTACGTCACATAATGATGATTGTAGGCCCAGGTAATGGGGACCGAAACTTCCTCGCCAGATGCTTCGTCAATGCGAACTTGGTCGACTTCGTATCCCGTAATAGCCATGAGTTTGCCATTCGCAAAGCGGTCTACAATTTCTTGAGGCAGTGGCATATTTCCATGAGAGATCCAATGAACTTGACTGTAGACCGTCTCGATGGGCTTGGAATAGAACTCAAAGTACTCGTGATTGTGATAATCGGTTGCAAAGGTTTCCGAATTGGCAATCTTGTAGTCGCCTTGGTTCATGTTGTTCTCTTGTGCCACTACGGCATGTTGATGGAGTTGCAGAATTGCAACCAATACGACTGTGAAAGCCATGGACGAAGACATCTTGGAGGCTGACAGTATCATTCGTTCCTCTACTCTTTCAGTGACACTTTCTTCTTGTGATACAGAACTTTTGGATCAAATATGTAGTCGACTGGGTCAAGGCTCTGCGCTTTCGTGCGTGTTGGAGTGCAAGGCAACCATGGTGATGCCATTCATTCATTCGCACCACCCTTTATTTATTTATATATATATCCCATCATGTCAGATCATTGCGAAGAGCAAGAAATGGAACAAGAGGCACTAGAGGCCATCTTTGACACAGACTTGGAGGTTGTCTCGGGAGAGCAACCCTTCAAATGGGCCGTATCCATTTGGCCGGAACAGCACTCTCCGGATGAGAACCACGTTGGCATCAAGTTGATTTCCAGCATTCCACTGGATTATCCCGAAATGTCGCTACCAGAATTTGATATTGAAATGCTCAAGGGATTGACGGACGAGCACAAGGGAGAATTGCTACTAATGGCGAAGGACGAAGCCGAAGCCAACATGGGCATGCCTGTGGTCTTTGCCGTCTGTGAAAAGCTAAGAGAATGGCTGGCGGAAAATAACGTCAAGGGAATGGACGACATTTCCATGTATGCTCAAATGATGCGGAGAGAGAAGGAAGCGGAGAAACAAGCGGTACGTTGTGAATCATCATTTTCGTTATCATCTCTTAGAGTTGGAGCGTTGTACTTTTTGATTCTTCTGCGCAATCATGACACTTGGTGGATTGTGTTTCTGTATCCATCAAGTTTATTGGCCTTTTTGTTAAGGTGTTATCTATTGTGCTATACCAAGCGAGAAGAGACAAGATCCCATTGGGTGTTAGATGGTTGATTGAGATCGCCGTCAAGGCGGTTCCTCTTGGCTTACGACCCAGTGGGATAATATCTCTACTACAGTTTTGATTGATTCATTGATTCATTGATTGATTCATTGATTGATTGTGGCAATTGTGACTCTATGAAGTTGTGAAAACGTGGCTCTCATGTTTTCTTTCTATTCCTTCACTCTTGCATACACCAACAACAACAGCATCAAAAGAAACAGGAATATGAATCTCAAAAGGAAGTCGAAGAAATGACGGAGGCTGAAGCAGAACAATTGGCCGTCCAAAAACGACGAGCCGAAGGTACTCCTTGCAACAAGGAAAACTTTTTGGCTTGGAAGGAACGGTTCGAAGCGGAACTGTCCCGAAAGGAAGAAGAAAAGGCCCTGGCCGAAAACGATTCCGGCTCCAAAAAGAAGAACAAGGGCGAAAAGGTGGTCGACAAGACAGGCCGAATAACGGGATTCTTGCACTTTATTGACAAGGCAGACACAATTGACATGGAAGCTTTTGAAGCAGCTGCTGATAATGCTCAAGTGGATGAGGACGAAGAATTGGACGTGGACGATGAGGAATTGTTCGATATGGACGATGGTGATTTGGAGGATTTGGACTTTGAAGATGATGACGACGACGACGACGACGATGATGACGATGATGAACCAGATATTTAAAAGGGTTTGCAATAGTATTGTCATCTAGATTATGCAATGCAAGAACCAATTACTGCACAAGTCTCGAAATTCGAACGGTACTGAATTAGACTCTAGTTTTAATCGTTTGATTCAATTAGCCGTTGCAAATTTCTTTGTCACAAAATTTCCACAAACCAGTCTTTCACAATTTCAATGATGGAAACGATCATGAGTGCCAATTCAAAGCGCAACGTCCAATGCTCTATTTGCATTGAAAGGATGAAAAATCCTATCAAATTGCCATGTACGCATGAGTTTTGTTATGATTGCTTGGAAAACTGGAGACCAAAATTTGACATTCGCAACAAGCGGACTTGCCCACAATGTCGGTGTGCAATTCCGCCAACGCGGGAAATGATGACTGAAATCAATTCCATCAAGACAGCTTTCATCAATATTGAGGCCCAGTTGAATACTTCTGGGCCATTGATTATCCCCGAGCATCCTGCGTATGCGTACATTCGGCTTTTGCCAAAAAGTGCACAACAACCAGAAATGCGACGTGCACTTGAGCGTCGAGGCCAAGTACAACTAGACAATGTCAACCAATTCGAAACTCGATATGGAAAAGACCCTCAAGTGCTCGATGATAGCGCTTGCTTCGACGAGTTGCCCGAGCACATGGCCGAAGCTGTGAGATTAAACAACCTAAAAGCGATTCTTGATTTCTTGGGTCCGATCCCAATTTCCAAGAGGAGATTGCATGCAAAATGTCCCGCCTACTCAGATGACACATTGCTTCATATGACAGCTTCTTATGGGAATATCCCACTCATGAACTTTCTTCTATATCTCGGGGCAGATGTGAACACTCCAAATCTCTATCAATTTACTCCACTATTCCACGCTTTGGTCGATGACCAAGCCGGCGTAGCCGCAAGAGTTTTACTACGCTGGGGTGTTCGGAAAGTCTTGCAATGTTCCGACACTTTGGAGCCATCCCCACCTCTGGCGTACGTTGCCCACAAGGGTGGGAAAGCTGCAATTTCAGAACTTCTGAAAACACCTCTTGGGGGGAGGCGTTGTGTGCTGCAGAAGATGCACTCCGTACCTCGTTTAAACGGACAGGTCGGTATTGTGGGAGAGTATGATTCGGAATTTAATGTCTATGAAGTAACGATGGAGAAAAGTGGTGAGACAATTCATGTTTCCAGTCGTTTGCTCAAACGGTGTGATCAAACGCCGACAGGCTTCACATTCAAAAAGATCAATCATCATACCTTGGGAGAAGTAGCAAGGCTCCATTCCTTCACTCGAGCTTTGTCGAGCCCATGATCCTTGTGGCATTTGATTTTGGTGCTAAGATCGTCCAAGGGGGAGGAATTCACATGGTACACTCGTCATCATCGTCAAGACATGTACCAAAGGCAACATTCGTGCTGACTCACTCCTAGTAATTCATCCACATAAATTTCATGACTTTTCGAAGCAATTTTTTCCTTCTTGTTCTTCGTCAATCTCACAATCCTTCAGTATGAACTCCGGAATGAGGCAGATCATGGTCAGTTTCAAACTATCAGACATCCGATTTTGGTTTCTTCTGACGGAAACCAACCAACATGATGCGACGAATGAATCCCAGAAATCATACATCCAGAGCAATGCCTGTGACAAAAGGAGTGAAGCCAAAGCGTTGATTCATCGTTGGGAAAAGCACGTCTGGAATGCACTGATGGCAAATGTGATGAATACCGATTTTATGCCACAAGGGATTACTGTAACAGTCCCTCCAGCAATCCTCTAACCACCATCATCAAGGCAATTGTGGAAAGACCACAAAGAAGAAGCCATTTCCAAATGCTTTTCTCCCATTTTCGACCAATCAAATTCAGGACGATTGGGAGTCTTGGGTGGATCCGCTAGATATACGGGAGCTCCTTACCATATAGCGATGGGATCCTTCTTGCAGCCACCAGGAGTCGGTGGTGCCGTAGTCGTGCTGGACTCCGATTTGAGTTTCGTCTTTTGGGTAGAACGAGCAGCCATTTCAACCAAACCTGCTACTCGCCCGAACTCATAGTGGTCAGCGTGTATTCTGCAAAAGAACTTGACGAGTTGGCAACGAACCCTGACAAAGACATTGAAGATCCCACATGGGAAAAAAGATGGGCAATGATGTTGACGTAACAAAGTTGCTGTCTATCTGTCCCCACAAATTCCTGATCCCCCAGTCCCCCATTGTTGTAGGCTCCTCCAAGTACTACATCAGACCCCGATTGCCATCACGATTCGAACTTCATTATTCTAATTTGTTCCAACTCATGAAACTGCTGTCAAATTTTGAATCTGACGATGGCTAGTAAGTTCCACATCTTCTTGCTGGCAGTTGCATCAGCTTCGGTAGAGGCCTTCTATCCTACTACACACTCGTCTTCCCCTGTGAGAGGAGGGAGAGAACTATACATGAACAATAAGTCGACGACGACGAAGAAGAAAGGCAAGTCTTCTGGACAAGGCTTTGGTGGAGCCATGGGAATGACGACAAAATCATCCTTCCCATACGCTGGGAGCATTGTTCCTGGAATCATTTCGGAGCAGAGAATAGTAGTAGATGAGAAAATTGTCTCACCAAGCTACGCACGGGATGGAATTCCAAAGGAGAAGTCGCCTGCACTTTTGCCTTGGATTATTGAAGTCAAAACCGCCGATGAAATCGAGAAAATGAGAGCCGCAGGAAAATTGGCCAGGGAGGTCCTCGATCTCGCAGGGCGCGCTGTCGCTCCAGGAGTTACAACGGATGAGATTGACACTATTGTCCACGAGGCAGTAGTTAAGGTGAGTGAGTCTACAACAGTATTCAAACCATATAGTCTCCCAACCACAACGGTGCACTGTACGTTCCTCACATTTTTTTCTATCAGGCTGGAGCTTACCCCTCTCCACTCAACTACCATGGGTTTCCCAAATCCTGCTGTACCAGCGTGAATGAGGTCATTTGCCATGGTATCCCGGACTCGCGTAAACTGGAGGAAGGCGATGTCATCAATCTTGATATCACAACGTACCTAGACGGTTACCATGGGGACTGCAGTGAAATGTTTGTTGTCGGTGAAGCATCGCCAAGGACCAAGAAATTGCTTCAGAGTACTTATGATTGCTGGATTAAGGCATGCAACTCTGTGAAACCAGGAAGGGACTACAAGGAGATCGGTGCAATTATTGAAGACCATGTTACTGCCGACGGTTTCACAACTGTGCGAAATATCTTTGGACATGGAATCGGTAGCACTTTTCACACAACGCCCGATATTTTGCATTATCGCAACAATGAGCCCAATGGTCAAATGGCTGCTGGACACACATTCACTATTGAACCAATGATCTGTGAAGGATCGGCAAAGTTTCTTAACTGGCCCGATGGCTGGACAATTACGACTGTTGATGGAAAGAACTCTGCGCAATTTGAACATACGTTATTGATAACCGACGATGGCGTCGAGGCACTCACTGCCAAAAACGAGAACTCCAAACTTCAATTTTGGGAAAAGGAATCAGAAGTTCACAAAGGACTTTGGGTTGGCACTTCGAAAGCTGCAAAGAAACGTGCTGCTGAAATCAATGGTGTAATTCCTCTCCGTCCAACTAGTAGACTATGTGTTGTAGCCAAAGTCTCTGCGCATGAACCCTCAAGTCTTAAAAGTTGATCCATAGAGAAGTAACTCTATATTGCTTTCCTGAAATTTACTCTCACGTGAAAGCGAATATATGTCAGGGACGTCTAAAAGGCGGCACGTCTACTGGTTGGTTTGGTGTAAGTGTTGTCAATACAACCATCAATCTAGCATCACTCGGGTATCCAGGTCCGCAAATTGAAATGTCGTCAATGTCACATATTTATCTTCAAGAACATGTCTCCACGCCATACAGAAGGAACAAAGTGAATCTGCACCAAACAATTGTTCTTTATGGCTCGTCATGTTTGGTTCTTCTAAGCCATTATAACTTTCATCCTTCGTTTCGATCAGGTAATGCGAGATTTTAAGTAGTGTGTGTCGCTTGGGCCGTTTTCACTGTTGCTGTTTGCATGGGCAACTGTTGCATAAGTGACGACAAGGTCTTGGTACGCTTACGATCGGATTGAGAATCAGCACTCAATATCCAGTCGATCATCGCATCATCGCATCATCGCATCATCGCATCATCGCATCGTCGCATCGTCGCATCATCGAATCTCGTCGTCAGAATTTTCGACTCGCCCGATCGAAAGCAATGCTGACGTGTCGCAATAATAAGTCGCAAGTTGCAATGTTCCATACATCGGTACAGAGTTGACAATTGGCAATGGCATCCATGCTAGGTATGAACCTCCGAAAAGTGGCTCTAGGGGCCATGGAAGCACCCCTGGGAATTCGTGCTGTCCAGAAAAGGGCTTCTTCGTTTCATAGAAGACTAGAAACCCCGTCACAACGAGGCTTCCCTCCGTTGATGATGAGAAATGGAACTGATCGACGATTTATAAAAACGTCTTCAGCTACCAAGACAACTGTTCCTGAGCCACAGGGTATTGCTGGATTCTGGCAACGATTCATAGGACCAAAGCCAATGCCAGAACGATGGACAGCAGCTTGGTATCGTGAAGTGACGTTGATTTGCACGGTTTTTGCTATCACTGGTTCCTCTACCATGGTTTTGGTCCGTCCGGCTGTCTCGAAAGGTCTCGCTCTAGAGGGCAGTATGAAAGAAGGACCATGGTCGTACCGGATTTGTTCCATTGTCATCATGACACCAATATACGCTACACTGCTCGTAATGGTTGGAACTCTTTTTGGTCGGCATCACTATTTCCGTCACTTCTCGGTCAAGATGTGGAGTCGGTTCGGAATCCCACCAGAAATGTTGGACGCAACCTTTCACGAAACCAAGAAAACCTTTCGAAAGTGGTGACGTATTAGCAATGTGTCTGATAGACCGTCCCCATTGTTTGCCAAACGCTAGAAATTGCTTTTCTTTTTTATTTAAAATACAAGAGTAAATGATTTCAATGTTCATAATCTATCAAAAGGCTTCATTATTGGTTCAGCACCTTGCACATCTTTTGGGGCAAGGACCTTTTGTCCCTTCACGTTTTTACAAACGAAACTGAAGCTCTGCCCGGGCTGTGTATAAGAACGAACGAAAGAAAAACATGAGACCAAGATGAAATCAAAAGCACAATCTTGATGTAGGCCTACTGCATGTCTGCAACCAGCACTTACAATCCATCCAGCATCAATTGCCTCCTTCATGGTTTCATAAGTCTTCCATTGAGGCTCGGATTCTGGCTCTTCAACGACTGGTGCTTCCGCCGCTGCCATTGCCTTCTTTTTGCGGCCACCCTTTTTCTTCTTTCCACCCTTCTTCTTGGGTGGCGGCACACTCACGCTCTCAATAAAAAAGTCGTTTCGAGCGTCGGTAAAAGGCCGAATGTTGTTTTGTTGCATAGCTTCCAAGACTGTCTCCCGAGCACACTCGTCCATAGCAAATGCCTTGTATGTCGGTTGCAGATGAGGTGGAATGGTTCCAGGTCGGAATCCTTGGAAGCTTTGTTGTTTGGCATCACCTGTAATCTTTTTGTAAATGGCCTCACTAAATCTTCCCAAATCAGCTTCGACACTACATAATAAAAAGCACACATTTTGTTAAAACATGCGTGATCGATATGAGATTGACGCAACGACAGAGCCGAGTACACATTTTCCGATCGACAACATCGACATCAACAAGATTTGGCAATAGAAGATTTCACTCATTCATTCAATCCAAACGACATTTCACCATGTAAAAACTCACCCATCAATAGTAACAATCCAATCCGTAATTGATTCACCCACTTGTTGTACCGAACATCCACGAATGGTTCCACCCGAAACGACATCCCCTGCCCAATCGTCGTCACCCGGTAGAACACTAGTAATAACGGTGCTGGTGCTGCTTGAGTGGCGGACACCCAGATTTCCACCAGTGGAAACAAAGGATGTAACCTGAGCGATAGCTAGAGATACGCAAAAAAGTGAAAGCTTCATGTCGATGATGATGATTCAATGCAGATGTTCCAACAATATAAGTTCCAGCCGTAAGTTACTGCTTTTTGCAAAATATTGTGTTTGGTTGAAGAATAAGAAAGAAATGTGTGTGTCAGAAACGTCATCGTTTGGGGATGCTCTAGCTGGTAAATACTCCCCCAAATGAATCAATCATCCAACAAACAGAGGAGCAATGACAAAAAATTATAAACCACAACAACAATGCAACCAAGCCAAAACCAAACCCAGCTTTGACGAGATTTTCAGAATTGTATTTTTATCATTTAGGTGTGTGTCCGTGTGTGTGTGTAGGACCTAGTTACAGTCGGCACACATAGGAATTTGATTGTGTCACATACCGCACCCAGCGATAGGGAGTGTATCCCGCCATACTTTCCGCAATTCTCAGGTAGCGCACTTGCAGTTTGGAAACATTGTACATTGGAATCTCAAAATTCAAGTTGATTGGGCCAACCTCTCGTCTTATCTGAGTTGTACACGCTTGCGACAAGGATACTTTGGCTTTCATGGTTTGTTCGGTACCACCGGGTAGCTTTTTCATGGTCCAGAGGATTTTGCCCTCCGATCGGACGAATTCAGCATTGGTGTATCCAGTTCCTGGACTGGATATGACATTACAGTGAGCTACATTCGTGCACTTGGGAAGTGGTAGCTCAACGGATACGTTGGCACCAAAATGGTTTTGTGGCATTTCTGCTCGGATCAAAATGGTAATCTCCAGTGTTTTGGAATCGACCTCTTCTATGGATGGGAAAATGCGGAACGGCGTGTTAAAGTCTCCAGTCAATCGATAATTCAGCACCACGAATTCACCCTCTGGTGGAACAAATGTTAGTGTTCTAGCACTTTCAAATTCGTTCAGGTTGACACAGTCATTGAAGTTAATGTCGTCGACATTGACGCTTCCATAAGTCCCTGATTCCTTCTTTCCAATAATGAGATCTTCGTTGAGCGCCAGCCGTAATTCTGGATTTCCAGCTAGATAAGACTTCATTTGGATGCAACCATCAATCGTACTGTTGAGAACATATCCATTGGCGGAAAACAAAACGTTCAGTCGTTCCAGAATATCGACAAAGATCTCATTCTTTTGATTGGCATTACTGTCCGTCTTTCTTCCATTCGCATTGACAGATGAAATAACAGGTTTGTGTACCGAGTTGGCAGACGCCGTCTTGGGGTTGATCATATTGGAAGTAGATCCAATGTTTTCGACCACAATGGGTTCGTTGTAGACGCACGACTTGAGCGTGGATGTCCGAGTGATTTGTGGATATCCATAATCTAACATTTCATCCAACAATTCGTACAACAAAATAAAATTCTTTCGTATAGCCTCTTCGGAAAGCGTCCCACAGTAATCCTTGAACACTCTGGCAACTGTTGACAGCAAGTCTATTTGTTTGAGAAAAACGGATGCGTGATGGATTGATGGATTGATGGATTGCCAAAGATGGAATACAAAAATTGTGAGATTGGAAACCAAAATTGGACTGAATTAGTTTCCGTTTTGAAATTGAAACTGACTGACCTATGATTGTGACTGCCGATACATTGCTAGCTGCTGCACACCCAAAGATGAGACCATTTCGTTTCACGTGTAGATAGGAAAGCCCATCAGGCATCATGAAGACCGGTGGAGCATCTCCCGTTTTCTGTTGTTTTTCGCCTGACTTTTGTTGGTCGGACGACGTCTCCTCGCCTCCTGGAGTGAGGTTCATTTCGTCCCAGAACTTGATTTTCCGAAAGAAAGCTTCTGTGTGGCTTCTTTCATGGGCTCCAGTGCCTCCTTCTCTGTAATTTCGATACTGTTTTGCGATGATTGTGTCCCCTCGTGGGGACAAAACAAAGAAATTGGAGATCATTGTTTGTGCGGTGATTTTGATTTTGATTTCTCAATGCTACCACCGTGCATACGATGCCCTCGAATTTGAAGACTTCGGGGGAAACCTGTCGAAAATCGTGCGCATGCATCTACGCATTGCTACGGCGGCTACAGCAAAGCGAGCCTGCCTATGAGGATGGCAGTATCCTATTAAAGGGGAGGGGAAATATGTCTACTTCCTCCCCTGTTATACGCAAGCCATCTTGGACCGCAAATTGAAAATAATCAAAACCATTCTCAAGGTTCCTCATTTGAAACCGCCGTTTGTGTATTCTACTTCATGAACCTCTTGTAACGGAAATAGCTAGTCGGGATATTGATTGTGAGAGAATCTTTTGTTACTGCTGCAGCTGCTGTATCGGTCGAGAGGCTCATCAAGGAGAAAGGACCGACAAAAATATCTCTTGATCATATCATCCTCGTCATTATCCAACGAAGCCAACGTTTACTTTGTGACAAGCCTTTCTTATTGTGAACACAAAGCAGTTCACAAACAATGGCCGATCATGATATAGAACTAAAAGAAAAGAAACGGAAAAAGGCCCTCCGGCGGATGGGGAAGATGGTAGGCCACGCTTGGAATCTAGCAAATGCTGGTCCGTTTCAGGCGGGAGGGGGGAAAAGTACTGATGCCATTCTCTGCTTGACATCTTTGGGACAAAAGGTCGACGATGGCAACTACAAATACGGAAGACATGGATGGGAAGATTTTGCGCGAGATCTGGGGGGAGTCTACAATAGTCACATTCATCGGTACGTAACTAGGAGACATTTTGTCACATTTCAGCTGGCATTGTTGACAGAAATCGGCGTGGGCTCACAATTTGATACTGTTTTGCCTTTTTACAGCAAAACCAAACATGCCAAGATGGCAAAGGACCATCTGGATCAAGTTTGTGCCATGCTGGCGGAGAAGGATGACTCGTTAGCTCGTGTTGCCAAGGATTTTGTACCCGATTCCAAGCCTTCCAAAAAGCGAAAGGCGGATACTCCCGATTCCAGATCCCGCAAGAAACCAGCCTCTGCCAAAAAGCCAAATGGCGGAGACATGGCTCTATCAGAACGCGAAGACCAGGCCATGGAAGCTCTTGGAGCATTTATGGAAGAAAAGGGAGGTTCCAAGGAAGTGGTCAAGAATTTTCGGTGTCGTGTGCAAAAGCAACCGGGTGGTCGGTTCGATACCAATTACTACAATGAGCATGGCCGAAGATTTCGGTCCATGGTCGAAGTTGGTCGATTCCTAGGTCTTGTGACTGCCGAACCCAGACGATCCGCAGCTGGCAAACGGGCCAAGGTGTCACGGGCCAAGGTCAAAAAGGCCACCTCCCGCGAAACAGAAGCAGAGAAGAAACGATTGCGCAAAGAGCTCGACAAACTCCGCAAGCAACATACCAAAATCACCAAGTCCCTGGATGACTTTCTAACAGACCACAAGGACAGTCAATATCCCATTGAAGACTCCATGTTACAGGAAGAAGAAACTGCTGCTGGCAAGGGTAGTCGCATTCTGCCCACCAATTCGGCTGCTGCTCGTATTCCGGACGTGGATCGATTTGAGGGGATTCCACAGCATTGCATGCCCGATGTCTTGGTTGCATGGGATTTCTTGTGTACTTTTACTCGAGCCTTGAGCTTGACGCCCATTTCCTTAGACGACTTTGTGCTGTGTTTGACCTACATGCCACCAGAGAAATCGAGTGATAGCGATGCTTTGAACACGCCGCCAGTGTATCTAGGTGAAGTGCATCTTTCACTGCTCAAGCTAATTCTTTCGGATAGGTCCAGTGATGAGTGGTGGTGGAGTATCCTCGAGGCGCCGGTTGCCGAAAGTTCCGTCGTCGAAAATGCTGATGCCACTGACAATGTGGATGAAAGTGATTTGCCACTCATCAAAGTGGATTTTGCTGCCTTATTGGGGGAACAGGAAGACCCACTAATTACGACAAGTTGGCTGACAGCCTTGCACGATATTCCCAAAATGAGTGCCACGAACTCGGCTGCCATCAAGGCAAGCATCAAGACTGCAACGGATATCTGCGGAAACAAATTTGTGATTGCGTACTTGAAGAAGGCAACGAAGCTTGGAAAGACCAGTGGATCGGGATTCATGAAGCGTGCCGTGGTCTGGTTGCTGGAGCGGATGCGCGAGGCTCGACCGGATTTGGGAAACCGAAACATTAACAAGGAAGCAGTGTTCAAGAAGAGAGCCAAAGTGGTCGATGAAGTATCACAGCAAATGGACAAGCTGAGTTCGGCTGCTTTGGCAGTCGAAGACGATGACTTGTTGTCTGATGCTGAATCTGACGACGATTCTGATGATTCTGATGTGGAAGAAGAGAATGGAGATACCGTCAAACAGGAACCGCAGTCTCAGACTGAACCAGATGATCATCCGGCTTCCTTCATTCCACCAAAACCTCCACCGACATTGGTGGACCTTCTGCTGCCACCCGGGAAACCAAGTCCACCATCAGAGCTCTTCAATCCTTCTAGTTGGCCGCATTTAGCAGGTGCAACAGTTTGCCGTCTTCTCCATCGCTATACCAGGCTGCGGAATGAGGTGGACGATAGTCTCCGTAGCGTGAGAGAAGTTTCTAGACTGACTGTTCGTCAGCGGAGAGAGCGCGAAGCGATTGCAAAAACCCGTGTCTTTTCCGAATTTGCTGTACCACACGATGGCAAAGACCCATGCGACACAGCTGCCCAACATCTGTGTAGTGGAGGACGATACTTGGAATTGACTCCCTTGGAACGATTATGCATTCTAAGAGTACTCATCGATGCTGCTTACGATACCGCTCGAGTCTACGAAGTCGTTGACACGAACTACAAACAAAGTACAAGTGCAGTCAAAGCATTGGAAACGGAACAGAGAAAATTCAAACGCGAGGCAAAGGAAAAGAGCGCCGCCAACGAAGCCGCCGCACGTCAAGACCTAGCATTGGAAGCAAGAAGGAACTTCATCGAAGAAAAGCGTGAGGAAATCCGCAAAGCGAATGAAGCAAACCAGGAACTCACGGACGACGATATCGATGAATTGACAGAAGACGACATTATCGAATTCGACGAAGACTTCAAGGCCGACTTCGAAGCATTGCCAGCACCTGAAAGTTTTAAGAAAGCCGAAGTAGTTGCAAGAGTAGCCAAAATGCTTGAAGCTGATGCATTTGAGACTGAGCTCTTGACAGTTCTCACCATGGACCAAATACTGGAAAACGAGAAAGAGCATGTCCAATCGCTCGAAGAAAGTCTTGCCGCATTGGGCGGTGAAGAGGCGCTCCTGAATCCAGAATTAGACAGAGACACAATGCGCGCTGTTGAAAAGCTTCGTCGAGAATTATTAAAAATCCAAGCTTCTGCGGAGTCGATTCCAATCCAAAGAGAGGAAGCGATCGAACAACTGAAAGAAGCAATTGCGGATGGTACCATCAAGAGCCTCCGAGCTGCCATCAGGTCTGCGAAGACGGCTCGTTTGTTCGGAAAAGATGATGACACCAACGGAGTTTGGTCCTTGGACATTGTTCGTGACGCTCACATGGAACTTGAAAATGCCAAGCAATTGAAGCGGGTTGCTGATGCGCAGAAAGATTTGGTTTCAAAACGCAATAGGTGTTTTATTCGAACGGAGCCCCTCGGAAGCGATCGATTCCGGAATCGATTTTGGACATTCGAGAACAGTGAACAGGGCCACATATTCACAGAGGTTGACCACGTTCTCGAAGAGGAAAACAAGAACTTGTCGAACGAATCCGGCCTTTTGGAAATCGTTTCAAGCGTAGATAAGGTTGAAATCGGTAGCGCCGATATTGAGGAGGATTTTATGGGTGCTGAGGGCGAAGGCATTGCGAGCTTTAGACGTTTTAGCCGCAAGGAGTATCACCAATCGGGACTCTGTGCGTCTCTGACAAAACGATGTTGGGGTTGGCAGTTGACGGAGTCTTCAGTACGAGCACTAACGAAGGGCCTAGATGGACGTGGCGTCCGGGAGAATAACTTGAAGAAAAATCTGAAAGTGGCATTGGAGGCAAAGACCACAGCGAAAGAAGGTACAGATGAGACGGAATCAGACAGTCAGGTCCAAAAGAGCGGTGACGAAGATCACTTCGCACATGCAAAACAAAGGATGGATGAACTGGATCTCCAGGTTATAGATGCATCCTACCTGAATACACTCTCCTCTGCCATTGGGCAAATGGTCCGTTTTCGACATGTGGTAGAGAGCACAAGAGATAGGGAAAGTGCCCGCTATGAAGTTGGATCAATAAAGGGATGGAAATTGCGAAAGGATGAGGTGACTATGGAACCGGAAGGCGACGAATTCGAGCCGCAGACTCAAGTTGTCGAGGTTCCAGTCTGGCAAGTCATGACTGACAAGGGGAACGAATTTTGGCTTACTGGAGGGGAGATGCTTGAAAGTATATGTCGACTTGCCAAATGGACGAGCAAATGCCCGACTTACTTTGAGTCCGATGCAGCCTATCTATCATACAGGAATACCCTTGGTCGGCACTTTGGCAAGGTCGCAGAGGCGGCGAACGCGATGACGCCCATTCGATTCACACAATCCATGGTGAAGCGGGAGGCGGAGATATATCAGAAGCTGAAACATCGCGTCTATGACGAAACTTGGGGAGGAAAGAATGGGACTAGAAGTGCGTGGGTAACTTCCATGAGGGATTTTGCTTTTGATTTCGAGACTGCGAGAGACGGGCTATTGACATTTGAAAGTGCGTTGTTTGAACTAACGGGAGGATTCCCAGGAGACGACAACGGAGAAGAGGGTCGCAGTGGAAGATCCTTGCTTGACAATAAAGTGACAAGGGAAGATATTGAGCTCGAGTCACTAGAAAAGGGTATGAACAGGCTTTGGAACTCACGTGAAAGTCGGAACGTGTTCCATGAGATTGTCAAGAGTAAGTTTGGCATTGGTGATTTTTAATGAGTTCGAACGAGATGAAAACCTCACGATGCGAATTCTGTTGCTACGTCATTCAGGCGCGAAAACTGTTGGATTTCTGGTTCTTGCCCTTGACCTTGTATGTAGGAATGCATACGTTTACTTGGAAGCGAACAAAATCAAAACTACCTCGACAAGGAGTTCGGCATATGGATCAAGCGTTGGCGATTCTTGGCAGCAGCAAGCAGATGTATCGTATTACGAAGAGCCGACAAGTAGACGATCGCGACGTGGGAATGTGGACTACTCGGTATACTTCAATTAGATTGATAATTTTTTTCTCCTTCCAAATTGTTCTGAACCGTTCCACGTCTTACGTTCAATATTTGAAGAGCATATTCACTGTAGCAAAGTCGTACCAGTACTGTGCCCTGGCAGGTTCCCCGGTCGCGCCGTTACCAATGGCGTTACCGTCTTTAGCACAGTTTGTCTTCCCACCTGAGCAATAATTGTATATCCGGTCATCGTAATAGACGAACTTGATCATGTCCTGTTGATGATACTCGTCCAGCTGCACAAGAAGCTCGTATAATTTTTCACCACTCATGTTTCGTTCGAATCCTAATTCGAGACATTTTGCTGCAAGGGAATGGGGTAGATGAGGCTCCTCTTGGTCTATTGCTTCGACCAAACGATCTCTCCATTTCTCGACTCTCTCTCTCTGCCATATCAATCGTTTTTGTAGGATTTGAACGTCTTTCTCGCGATTTCATGTTTGCTGGCTTTTGAGAAATTGTTAGCACTTTCGTAAAATACTGCGTTGCCATCGTCTGGATCTAGCGGAACGTATTCGTAATTGCCAACGTATTCCCAACCGATCAGCTTTCCCTCTTCGTCACGATGCAAATTGGTCAGTGTCCGTTTCATGAACACGGGGAAGGGGTCGCGCGTTTCTTTGAAGTGATCTGGAATACTTGCCACTGAAGCCGTTTCTTGTCCAGCGAACATGGGACCGTTGGGCTGCCACGTTGTGTTGAAAGCCAAGTATCCATAGTCATGCCTGTCAATGTTGCCTTCCCTACCTAAAAGAATGTGCAACGGTATCGGGTATTCATCTTCCTGAGTTGCAGGATGATTTTCTCTTGGCAACACGTACGTATTTTGTATATTACCCCCTAGCCTCCGAATCCATTTTTCCAAATGGCGATGTAACAGGAACTTTTCTCCATACTTCGTGTGGCATTTCTGCCTCTCGGCTGCGAACTTTTTGCGAGTTTCTTCCTTTATCGGCACAGCCGTGCTCTCAGCTGCACCGACTCCTGTCGGTTGCGTATTTGGCTCTACTCTTGTATGTATACGACCATGCGAAGGTGGTCTATTGGTCCTGTACTGTCCTTCGGCGCCCTCCTGGATTGCTCAGTTCTCTCTCGGGTGTGACAGGTGTCGAAGTGACCGCCCTCCTCGCCGTATTCCTCCGATCTATCTCTGATTCGCTAGGAGCAATACGACCACTGAATTCGTCTTTCGACACAACGGCTATAGGTCTGGTACTCTTCCTTCTACCAGCTCGTGCTTTCACCCTGGGTACAATAGGTCGGTCGCTTGGCTCGTCATCAGGTGAGATGACAACAGTGTTACTTGCACTGCCTCCTTCCGTTGAAACCATGTCTTCGACTTCATCATCATCATCACCTGTCAGGTCAATGAAGTTGGATGCTGATGTTTGCTGCCTCGGATTCTCGGATCTATTCCGTTTACGAGAAGGCTTAGCTCCGTTGTCGGGCCTGGTGATAATTTCTGTTTTGCAAGAAAGCAAAGCTGGAGGCGGAGATTTGCGTTTCAACGGAAAGGTGGTCTGGACGAGCACAACCTTTTTATTTTGATCAATGATATCTTCCCATGCCATTTCTTCCTCCTCTTGCTTCGCTCCGACTTGGATGTCATCCACAGAGAATATCCAATCACCCTTTGGTATCAGGTGATCGTCAACCTTTTCAAGGATTTGCTTTCTAACATCCTTTAGACTATCCGATTCAGCAACGCGAACAAACCCCTTGAAACCGAACGAGTGAAAGACGAATTTCTTTATAGTCTTTCCCATGATGTGCTACGGGTGTTGGAAATGTGTTGGAAACGATGAGAGCATCAGTAAGATATATTATACACGCAGGTGAGGATTTTGGATTTATTTTTACTGTATTTTCCGCGAAAACATGAGGATCGACTCCTCGGATTTCAATAAATGCCACGTTTTGGTGACGATCTACATATATTGTGTGGCAGACGACGAGTAATCCCAACAACAATGCGATACTGCATCTGAAACGTTTCATGGAAATGCCAAGCAAAAGCCACTGTGCAATGAAACGGAAACGAAATGTACCAAGATGAATATCAAGTATACGAGCTCTTAGATCGTTGGAATTCATTGGGTCCTCCGAAACCAGATGGGGTGTCCACCTTCTTTGCGCAAAATCCTTCAGCTGCCAAACGCGTCTTTGCGCACGGTCAAACCCTTCTTCACAAATGTTTGCAGCACTACTCCAACCACACGGATCTTGTCGAGATTTTTATTGAATCCTTTCCCGAATCTCTTTGTATGGAAGATACGGAAGGTTACATGCCAATTCATCGGGCGCTGACCGCGGAAAAGAAACCTGATTTGCATCTTGTCAAGCTGCTGATACTGAAAGCACCAGAAACCATACTGGACTCTACCAAAGCTGGGGAATTCCCATTACACCTTGCTTCTCGAAACTGCGATGCAAGTGTAGTGAAGTTTCTGCTGGAAAGTTTTCCAGATGTCGTGCAATATCGAGATGGTGACAACAAATTTCCAGTCGATCATGCACTCGAACAACACGATGTGGACTTGGAAGTTGTAAATCTTCTCTTGGAAAAACATTCCGTTTCATTGACGCTTCTAGACGATACTGGTCACTTACCCTTACATCGGCTATTGAAACGAAACAATCGGCGCCTTGACGCAGTCGTAAATGCATTGACAGAATGGTGTCCTGTAGCACTGAGGTTTCAAGATTCGTATGGACAAACACCACTACTACAAGCTTGCTCACAAAACAACACTCTTTCACAAATATATAGCCTTGTTCGAAGTTGGCCAGAACAAGTGACGACACAAGCTACTGTAAACTTCTACGAAACAGACTTCAATCGAGAGCTCTTGCCCTCGGCTCTGATATCCAAATCTGCAGTCTTGGATCGAGTTTCACAGTGGATTGAAGTTCGTCCAGACGTCCTTCTCGCTCCTGATAGTCAAGGACGTCTTCCCCTGCATTATGCAGTGGTTTCGCAGTCCCGAGAGGCCGCTCGGATTGTCCAACTGTTCCTAGACGAAGCACCAGCATCAGCATCGACTGAAGATGAATATGGCAGACTACCATTGCATTATGCGGCTGCAACACCGGGCTGCAAAGGGAGTTTGGTGAACGCATTGATTGATTCATATCCAAAGGGTCTAGAACATGCTGATCAAACTGGACGTCTTCCATGGCACTATGCCGAATGTGCCAGAAATGATGGTTTCTTTGATCGAACATTGGAGCTCTATCCAACTATGGATACGGATTTAGATTATGTACCCGATGAAATTCGATGGGATATTATGCAGGTGATACCGGATAACATGTATTAAATTCACTTTTTCAAGGAATGTCTACTGGGTCTAGTAGCAGCAGGTAGTATCACATACCTCAAGTCTGAAATCCATTGTCGTCTGCAAGTCGACGAGTTACGGGATTCAGTCAATCACTAACAAGGACATCAGTTTCATATTGTGTTACCATCCAACATCACCTCGACTTTTCAACATCCGCTTCTTACTACTGCTATACTTTGGAGCATCTTGAAAGCCACCCAGTGATAGTGCGCTTGGAGAGACGGCGAGCTTGTTTAAGAAAAGAAATTCAATCCAAAGCATGCAAACGACCGATTCACAACTGGAGACCTTTGCCGAGAATGTGGAATTCTTGTGGAAGCAGGCGAATGTTCCAGTTTTGCCTTGTCCCCCAAGCCCGATTCAGTTTCTACGAGATCATATTCAGTGTTCAAAACCTTGTATTATTCGCAATGCGATAACGGATGAGAATGGTGTTCCAATGAGACTAACTTTGGACGACATTGCGGAACGTTTGGATCCAAAGAAGACCATGTTGACTGTTGATGTGACACCAGACGGCCATGGCGATAGTGTGAGGACAATGTCAGATGGATCTTCAATATTTATCCAGCCAGCAGAGTGCGAAATGACAATTGAAGAGTTTCGGCGGCGGTTGCGAGGGCAGACACCTGCTCATGACAGAACGAATATCGACTTAAATGAACGTCCAATCCTTACCGATTCTATAACAAGACTCTTGTCTGCCTCCAAAGAGATACCAGACGAGTCAGTTGTGTACTACTCCAGACAGAATGACTGTTTGAGAAAGGAACTCCCCGACTTGTACAAGGCATTCCCGCCAGGCATTGCTTGGGCCGAGGAGGCGCTCGGACCAGAGCAACCTTTGGATGCCGTCAATCTGTGGGTGGGAAACGAACGAGCTATATCATCCATGCACAAAGATCATTATGAAAATTTATTCTATGTCGCAAGTGGGGAGAAGGTATTTACAGTGTGCCCTCCAGCCAATGTTGCGTTCCTTTACGAACAACGCCAATACCGTTCCGGGCGCTTCCAAGTCAACGAACAGAGTAGGGCATGGGAAGTGTTTGCAGAAGACGATGATACCAAAGCTCACTGGATTGCTCCTGATGTTGCCATACTGAACAGTGATAAAAGAGACCTCCTATTGGAAGAGTATCCGTTGCTGAAGCATGTCAAGCCGTTGGAAATTCGTGTCCGCGAAGGAGAAATGTTGTATTTGCCATCGCTTTGGTTTCACCGCGTCACACAGTCCTGCGAGACAGTTGGCGTCAATTACTGGTACGACATGCGATTTGACTCTCCATCATGGTGTTATTTCACATTTCTCCAGCAACTCCAGCATATCAAAGAGGTGGAGGACCCGAGCACGTCGTGACAAGATGTTGAAAACTCTTGAGCCATGTGATATTCAATTTGGCTTGTTTGCACCTATCTATTGAAACAGCGGGTTGACGAGGAATGATCTTTACTGTCCGAGATGCCATGTCCACAGTCAAACTCTCGCACTGGGTCCAAAATGTACAACCCAATGCAACAATATGTGGATGGTTTCGTACGTCCCGAAACCATGGAAGTCGAAAGGATGAAAACACCCAATATTGATCCGAACTTGTCAATACCAAAGGTTGTCGACTCTGGGATACTGTAGAGACTGAAATTCCGTCTGGGACAACATCTTTGTTGCCTCGCCTGTTGTGAAGCTCCTCCATTAATGAGTCGGAGAACACGCATCCTGTCAATCCTGTATCGAGCACCAACCAAACGGGGCGCTGCAAGTTGGATGCAAGAATGCTTTCGGTCACACCATCATTCCAGCGAATCTTGAGTGACTCACAATCCACCGCGTAGTGATACAAGTCTGGGCCATACGGTCGGAGATCGACCAAAGGAAAAGCTGCCGGGTTTCGTTTGTCAATCAAAGACCTTTGACTCAGCTGAAGATAGTTCCGAGCAAATGATATTGTAAAAGCAGAGATCCTTTCTCGAGTTAGTTGCTCCAAGAAAGTTGGTCGATTGTCGTCGATATTGACCAAACCAGCAAAGGCACTTCCTGCTTCTTGGTTTGGTTGCTGTGTCTCCTCCATCCCCACCACAAGGTTCTCAGTATCAATGACGGAAGAATTCGTCAATATTGTAACATATGGTATCTTCTTCCAGTCCATTTCACTAATGTCTTGACCATATTGCTCTTTAGTCATGGGATAAGTTGTCCTTTCTGTGACACTGGCCAAACTTGACGGAACTGTCAAGAATGGAGATCCAGTATCCACCACGGCGTAGTACTTATCATCGCGCTCATCATTATTCGCCACTAATATCTTAATCGCCCAGGATCCACCTACAGGAAGAAAGCGGAGGGGAATAATCACCGATGAAGAATCATCGTGTTGTAGTTGTTTCTCAACAAACCACGATGACGGAATCAGTTGTCCTGTAGACACAATAACAATCGAAAGGAATTCATTGCGATCAATGACACTGCTGAATCGCGGCAACAAAAGAGCATCAGCGCAGATAAGTAGATACGATAAGCAAGTCAAGAGGGCCAATACTTTGCGTGCGGTCGCTAATCTTTGCTGTAACATGTTTATTGGATGATCAATTTTGCTACACAGTATTCATATTCAAACCTATTTTATAATATTTTTCTTATATTTTATATTCTTTTATCTTTTTAAAAAAATAATATTTATCTATTCTAAAATTATGGATTCATACCGGTACCGGTATTGCGTATCGTACCGTACACGTTTAATCCATATTTACAGTAGGAGTCATTTTGCACTTAACACTGTGACATAATATGGGATTTTACATTTTGTTTGCAGACGGGAATTCATACGTAGCTAAAGTACCATGCTCTACGGATGGTATTTCTGCCAGTTTTTTGCCCGAGTATGCCCGGTCTAGCATCCTCGCGCGATGGCGCGAAATACATGGTTGACATCTAAAAGTTTTGGCGTAATCCAAAACTTCGATATTTGAAACCCACAAAAGATTTTTGTGATCCACTGCCTGAATCGACGATGGAAACTCCCATCTGACGTGTAGTAACAACATCTGTACTTGTAGTCTTCTTGCGACTTGTTTACGAAAAATATCGGACACTTTCTCTGGAAGATCGAGTTACATTCCCATCCACTGTAATCTTGTAGTTGAGTCAGTCTCAACAAAGCGAGGGAAGACATCATCTCGAATCTCCAGATTCATGATCTTTGATGATAATGAGAGAAATGCGTTTTGTCACTCCAATGTTTGATCGTCGAGTCGCATTTCCACTACCTACTCACTCGCATATACTGCATGATGTGATTGTTGTGTCCGAATATCTGAAATACTGCGGGGTGTGATGAAATGCGGCATGGTGTGATTGTTGTGTTAATGACATCTTTATGATTGAAAGATGTTGGGTGTCCACTATGCAACTACAAATAATTTGAAACACTATAAGCAAGCGATCTATAATAACTATTAGTGGGCATATTGTTGGGTGCTTCCACTATATTCCGACCTGCTGTAGTGATGGACACTTCATGCATAGATTCTTTGACCGAAGAACCATCACAGCAGAAGTGTACATCCACGGATTTATTGAACTCGACCCACACCCCATCTTTCAAGAGTACATGCTAGGGCAGTCCTAACACAGCTGGTCTGGGCTAGGCGCCAAACTATCATTAGCGGGTTTTTATGGCTTGCTCAAGCTTTGGTCGTCCGACTTGTGTTGGGACACACAGTTTTAAACTCCTCGCTCCTGAGCCTAGCTAGTTGACTGGAGGAGTGGACTGCTTATGATCCGAGGATACGAAATGGAGATGTCAAGCAAGCATAACATGGAGATTGCAAACGGAAACGATGACAACGCACAACATTGATTGTATGCCAATAAGCTGCACGATGATGTCAAGGAATTGCCATTTTGTGGGTGAGAATCCTACTCGTAGCGCTTAGTACTTAAGCTACGTATGAATTCCCGTCTGCAAAGAAAATGTAAAATCCCAAATTATGTCACAGTGTTAAGTGCAAAATGACTCCAACTGTAAATATGGATTAAACGTGTACCGGTATGCATGCGTTGTCACAGGGGAAGTTTGACTAGACTAGCTAGCTACAGTAGTGTGTGTCACTCTACGGTAGCTAGAGCACAGTCAGTTTATCCGCTCCTCGGCATTACTTGTGAAAACGAACACCGGTAAAAATACCGGTTTATGGCATAGCGCTATTAAAAAAAAGAATCCGACGAACCAAAGAAAAGGGAGACGGCAAAACAATACTTGAACAACATCGAAACAGTAGGCCAAACAACAAAAGTCTGGCGATAGTGGAGGTAGGATGATTGAGAACTTTCGACAGGCTGTCGGCCTTGGAAATGTATTTCGGAGTGCAACTACAGATGTCCTGGGGGGAACAGATGTCTCGCAGTTGGAAGGATCAGACAAATTTGTCGCAGAAAAGATGGGTCTGATATTGGACCTAAGATTCAAGCATGAAATCGACGATCCAGCAGCACAAAAGTGGTTGGCCGAACAGGGAATCCAATGGATAGAATCTGCTGACTCCTATAGTGCTATTGAAAAACGGAGAACTGCGATAAGAATCAGTGTCCTATCCATGGACTACATTGACAAACACTGGTCAAGTCCGGCAGAACAGCAGAAAGCGGCGGATGTGCAGCCCGAGGAAGTAACACAGCTTCGAATCGAGAAGTTGAATGAACGTGGCCTTTTCGGATTGAACCAGCTCATTCTAGAATCTGGAGGTGTTGGAATATGCAAGACGCTGATGATCATCACCCGACGCTTTGAAGCGAACGCTGACGATGTCATACTGATTGAATGTGTGCAAGGCAAGGACAGGTAAGCTTGGGCATTTCGCACGAATCACCTTTCGTTAGAAACTCTGCGTGCAGAATTTTCAACGCTACTCCACTAACCATGATGAATAAGGACCGGAATGTTGGTAATGTTGTTACAGGCCTTAACAGAATTCTCCGACGATGTCATTATCGATGACTATATTGCGTCCGATAATATGGCGATAAAAGCGTTAGGAGAACGAGATTACAGTGGAGGATTGGATCATGAAATCTTTTCAGGAGCCACAAAGGAAGCAATGGTTTCGACCCTCGATTATTTACGCCAAAAGTATGGTTCGATATCACCTGGCTACTTCGATCATATTGGATTCAACAATATTTGGAGACGGAGATTACGATGTTGTCTAAAAGTAACCCAGGCTTCCACAGATAGCAGGATGTACTGGTAAGAAGAAGGTCCTAAGGAGCGGTTCATGCAAGCAACAAAGCCTATTCAAAAAGACGTTGAATCTTAAGATTATACAAAAGGGCTCTTGAAATCTTGCGACTTCTAACCAGTTTGAAAAAGGTATTACACCATTGGTTTGATCATGCACAAAAAACAAAGCGCTTCAATACTTCCTTCTGTATTGCAATAGAAATTCGGGCGTCATTTTGCGTTGCGTTCGTTGCGTTGCAAAAGTCCGAGATTATTCGACTAGTTCGACTGACTACAGTAATCACAACAAATCAAAATCAACATCATGCATATTTTCTCGAGATCAAGTCTGGTGGAGACTATGATTAAGAACTTTCGACAGGCTGCCGGTATTAGAAATGTCTATCGGAGTGCATCTACAGATGTTCTTGGGGAAGCAAAAGCCTTGCAGTTGGAAGGCGTGGACAGATTTGTCGCGGAAAAGCCAGGTCTGATACTGGACCTGCGGTCCAAAAATGAAATCAACGAACCATTGGCATGCAAGTGGATGGCGGAGCAAGGAATCCAGTTGATAGAATCGGGAACACTGGACTCCTATGATGATATAGAAAAACGGAGAACTGTTGTACGGATCAACGTCTTATCTGTACCGCGTCTGATAGACTTTGTCGATCGGGATTGGTTGAATGAAACAGAACTACGAAAGGCAGCTGAATTGCAGAATGCCGGCTCGGCCCAAGGACAAATGATGCTTCGAATTGAGAAATTGAATGAACGTGGCCTTTTCGGATTGAATCAAATCATCTTAGAATCTGGAGGTGCGGAACTGTGTAGGGCATTGAAGATCATTGCGGTACGGCTAGAAGAAAATCCTGACGATGTCATACTAATTCATTGCGTTCAAGGCAAAGACAGGTGAGTCAGTGAGTCGTACATTGCTGAATTCATACAACAATGTCACTTGTGGGAAAACATGATGTACTGACTTCTGCAACATCGTCTCAAAATCCAATACTTTAGGACTGGAATGTTGGTGATGTTGCTGCAATCTATTTCGGGGGTCTCGGACGATGTCATTGTCGAAGATTACTTTGCATCCGACAATAGGTCATTAAACGTTGGCTCAGCAGCAGCGACAGCAGCCTTGGGGAAACGGCAGTATGGGAAATTGGATGGGACCCTCTTTTCACGAGCCACACCAGAAGCCATGGTTTCGACTCTTGCGTATTTGCGTCAAAGATACGGTACGATATCACCTGGCTACCTGGATTGTATTGGATTCAATAACAAGTGGAGGCGGAGAATACGCTACCATTTAAAAATATCTCGTCAACCCCCAAGGAGTCGGATATGAAGTCAATAAAAGCGAGACACATGATAAACTTTTCATTCGAAGAGCCGCTGCGTAAGAGAGCTTTTGCAACTTTGCAAAGCCAACAGTATTAAACCATAGTCCTACCATGCCATCCTTTCTGCTTTTAGTGAATGCTATAAAGAGTAATCAGCAGCCTTTGTTGCCCGCATTCCAACTTCGACGTTCATCGAAAGTGGAAGAAACCCGGATATATGACATTACCACACCTCCGCATATATATCACATGCATCGGTATATGCTGTTTATTGTTCATTTCACAAGAGAGACAATACAATGCTCTACTCCATCATCCTCCCGACTTACAATGAGCGTGAAAATCTTCCAATCATTTACTATTTGATTGACAAGACTTTCACAGAAGCAAAATTGAATTATGAAGTTGTCATTGTGGACGATTCGTCTCCCGACAACACATTGGAGGTGGCCAAGGCCATACAGAAATCCTATGGGGAGAAGCACGTTACTATTGTGTCTCGGGAGGGAAAGCTTGGTTTGGGTACCGCCTACATTGCTGGATTGAAGGTTGCCAAGGGAGAGAGAATCGTACTCATGGATGCTGACCTAAGTCACCATCCAAAAGAAATTCCCAAAATGATCCAAGTTATGGATGAAACCAAAGTGGAAATTGTGACAGGCACACGATACGCCAAGGGAGGAGGTGTGTATGGCTGGGACCTGAAGCGAAAGATTACCTCCAAGGGAGCCAACTTCTTGGCTGATTTTCTATTGAACCCAGGTGTATCAGATTTGACTGGATCATTTCGATTGTACGAACGAAAAGTCTTGGAAACCATCCTTCCCGAGATTAGGTGCAAAGGTTATGCCTTTCAGATGGAGATTATTGTGAGATCGAAACACGCTGGCTTCAAGGTGGAGGAAGTTCCTATAGTGTTTGTGGATAGAATCTATGGTGAATCGAAACTGGGTCTCAATGAAATTACACTATTTATCAAAGGACTGCTGCAGCTGTTTGTAACGTACTAAAAGATTAATAACCAATGCATGTACATACCATTTGACTATGATAAGAGTTCTTGGAAGTGCAAAAGCATAATGCATATCTTCAACCCAAAGAAAGCAGCAAGGCAGAGAGGATCAAAGACGGACAAGATACATTCAACTCTTTTTCGCCATAGTCTCAATCCTATCCCAATCCTTTCGTAAATTATCTTGTGGGTCGGATTCCGATTTATCACCTTCTTGCCAACCCATCTTTCTCAGCAACTGATTTCCAATATTGTCTGATCCCAATGTATCGTTAGGAACAGTTGCTGGTTCCATGGCCTCAGTTGGATCGCCTATCCTACTTGCGCTTGGAGCATTCAATCCTCCTTCGATTCCATGCAAGTCCCGTCGCCTCTGGGCCCGATCAGTATAGGTTCCTGCTTGTGACTCTTTCCGTTTGAGAACTGCTTGCCTAGCCTCTTCAAGTTTGACCACGTTCTGCTTGTGCATTTCGGAGTCTCGCTCGTGCGACCTCAATTTCTCAACCGATTGGAATTTTCGTTTGCAGAGCATACAAATGGGCTGTCCTTTCTTGGTCCATCGGATTTTTTGTCTTGATTCATCCCCTTCTTCTAGTTGCGCTTCAGCCTTAATCTCTACTTGCTTCTCCCTCCATTTCTCAATATTAGCAATGCGTTGCTGTTCTTCCTTTGAAACCAAGGGGGCCTGATGTTTGTATCGGGCAATTGAAGACTTGCTTCCTTTGATCTTCTTGATGGTCTTCAAATTAATCGCAATCATCGGCTTTGGTTTTGCAATCGCGGAAACAATGGGCTCAACTGTCACCTCCGATGCTTCCAGCGGCCCTCCACCACTCTTCTCTACCTTTACAAATGGAGGATCTTCTTTCTCGTCGAAACGAAAGTAGGATTCCTTCTTGTTGCTGTAGTAGAGTTTGCTTTTTGGATCGTAGAAAAAGTCACTCAGCGCTTCATAGAACATTGCCGATCGATTGTCAAAAACAAATGCGGATCCATCCTTGTCAAACGAAGGAGGCCATTCGGGTTCCACTTCTGGAGATGGTGTTCGACGGTCACGGAATCGATCGTGACTTCGTCTACTTCTAGATCTAGAACGATGCCTCCCATCGTCATATCTATCATCAAAACGATCATCATAGCGATCATCGTAATGATCATCATAGCGATCATCGTAATGATCATCATAGCGATCGTCGAAGTGACCACCGCCCCGACTGTCAGAACGAGAGCGTCTGCCAAACCTGTCTTCATCTAGATGATCACGTGGTCTTCGAGGAGGGCCATCATATCCACGATCAAACCGTCCCCTTCGTCCATCTTCTGGATGGCTATGGCGGTCTCCTCCTGATCTTCGTCGATCATCGTACCAATCATCACGATTGCCACCTCTTCCAAATCCTGGATTCTCCTCCATTCTTCGATCGTCTTTGATGAAAGTAATTTGCAAATATAAATATGTGAGATCAACATACTGGCGCCAGAAAATCAGAATTTTGTGACATGAGAGCCAATCTGACCATAAGAGGAATCACTTCTGCGGGGCGGTGGCCCATAGTACTCTTCTGTAGCATATCCTCGCTTCGAACGATCATTTCGTGGGCCTAAACCATCGCCGTTTCTCCTGTGCGCGCTACTGTTGCTTCTAGGCCTTGGATTATGCTTGTCGTCGCGTGGAAAACTCTCGTGGTGTGGCCGCGAGGACCTCTCGTCGTCTCCCATGGTTCTGGCTGGTGCAATAAGATGAATTCAAACCAGAACTCTGCAAGTTCTACCGTGCTTCGTGAGGTTTGTTTTTGAATACCTGCTCGACTCTAGCGGTAGGCGGTAACACCGCACACACACCGCCGGTACCATGCAGTACACGTGTTTTCAAGATTGGAAATTCGAAAAAGGACAGAAAGGCAGACAGTCATAGGTGATTGATTGATTGATTCAATGATTCAATGATTCGTTCGACCAACGTTTTTTTAATTTTATTTTATGTGCAAAATGATTGTGACGCAAACACATTCATTCTCTCAAACAAGGCGTTTTGTTCTCACATCGTAGGAGCTAGTCCTGTAGATGCTGAGAGGATCATTCAAAAGAGCCATCTCATTGTCATTCGAGTCATCTGTTGTGTATTTCAGTTGATGCTCTTCTGCAACCTTTTCCCAGTTAATACAGGCAAATGTCACCAGTAAACTTAGGTCCATTCCTGCGTACGGAAGGTTGATGCATGTCCATGCAGCTTCCAAGCCCCCCTCACGGATTATTGTGAAATAGTACAAATTTGGCAAACCAAAGACCCAAAGCCAAACCAAGTTGATCGATGCTAACGTCCATTGCATTCCAAGCCCGGTGGCTATTCCACAAAGTGCTCCAAACAGCGAACACAGCTGACTGAAGGTGCACATCTTCCACCACATTTTTTCGGCAGTCACCAAAACCTCGGGGTCATTTGTGAACAATTGGATGATTGGCCTAGCGTGCCGGTAGACGATAGTGTTTATCACAGCACCGGCTAATACGATCAGGACTGTTGCGCTCAAAATCAATTTCTTTGTCATCTTGACACTGTGAGTCATGGTGATGCCCATTCGAATGGATAAGGCAGTTCCTGCACTCAGTGGCGGCAACCACAATAGCATCAGTACTTGGCTTGGGATTGTGTGGACGGACAAAGGTATAGTACCTAATAATCCAATCACTAGTGCAGCACACTCCCAGAAGACCCACTCGCACTGGGCGAGTATGCCACCGATTCCTAATCCCGCAAAATCCATCATAGGTTTGTGTGCAAGGATGGCTTGGCGCCAAGATGACATTCCAGGCCACGTGCGGTGATCATGTGGCTGTTTCACAGCAATGTACGCCAACAACGAAATCGCTTGAATGGCCTGAAAGTTGACATATGCCCAAGCGGATCCCAGAAAGCCATACCGTTCCGATAGAAACTCCAAGCCGAGTGGCAGAATAATTCCATAGCTTGCCAATGACACAACAATCATTGGTCTCATAATGTTCTGAGCGGACAGAAACTTCCAAATGACGTTGTAGACCACACAAAATGGAAAAGACCATACAAATATGCGATACCAGGCCACAGCAAGTTCCACAGCATCCCTGTCTTGCCCCAAAGCCAGCAACACATTATCGAGATAGTTGACCAAGAAAATGTTGATTGGAAGTAAAATGGCAGTGGCACAAGCCAAACCACGAATGGCAATCAGTCCGACTTCTTTGAAATTTCCATTTCCAAAAGCCTGTGGTCCCAAGGTATCGGATGCACTGAATAGTCCAGCTAGTAGACTAAAGGTGCACAGATTCCCCGTCAAGTTGGCCAACGCAAAACCACTCAGATAAACAGTGTCGAATTTGCGTCCTATGAAACTGGCACACAACATGGGACTGGCAATCATTCCCAAGTTCACTAGTATCGTTGGTATTGCTAGTTCTATAAATGTCCATAGCTCTGCTAAGACGGACGATCTTGGTGCTAGAAATTCTTCCTCAGATTGAAACATGTTGATATGGCGAAATGACATTTTATGAATACGATACCGTTGATGAGGGATTTTTGAATTTGTCTGATCAGCCGATCTCCGCGTCTCCTTCCTCCTTCAAACTGTTCGATCAATCGGATTAACTCGATTGCCCTGATTTCAATTTCAGCTCTTGAAGTAGGAAGCCTGTGGGAGCGCCATTGTCTTTGAGTTCCTTGCAGTCATTCTCAAGGCAGAAAATCGTGTCACCCTGTTGGAAAGGGCGTGAGATGATTGGTTTGAGGTTTACACAGATGCAGACAATTCAACTAAATGAACCACCAGGCAGCAGATGTGAGTTCGGAAAGTTTCGCGAAGCATGACACATAGTAAAAAGTACAAACCGAGTCATCGGTAGCAAAGTCTGTCAATATCGCACAGCGCTGGTATCAAGCTGTTCCAAACGCGAGGGTCGGTATAAAGGACAGAATGAATGAATCTGCTTAAGAATCCAAACTTCCGAATATGGTCTTGTCCTCTTCGGATGGATTATCAACTTCTGACCAGTCCTCCGGAATGGCCTTTTCGATTTCTCCAAGAATTGTCAAGCCGATTCCCGTCTTCTTATCTGTTGTCATTCCAGATGCTGGGTTAGTTCTATATTGCTGAGAGGATCAGCCAATAGAGTCACATTTTCATTCAAATCATCTGTTGTGTTTTTAAGTTGTTGCTCGTCTGCAACCTTTTCCCAGTTCACACAGGCAAATGTCACTAGTAAACTTAGGTCCATTCCTGCGTACGGAAGGTTGATGCATGTCCATGCAGCTTCCAAGCCCCCTTCACGAACAATTGTGAAATAGTACAATGTCGGCAAACCAACGACCCAAAGCCAAACCAAGTTGATCGATGCTAACGTCCATTGCATTCCAAGCCCGGTGGCTATTCCACAAAGTGCTCCAAACAGTGAACACAGTTGACTGAAGGTGCACATCTTCCACCACATTTTCTCAGCAGTCGCCAAAACCTCAACGTCATTCGTAAACGATTGAATAATCGGCTTTGCTTGCAGGTAGACGAAAATATTTACCACAGCCCCGGCTAATACGATCAGGACTGTTGCGCTAACAATAAGTTTCTTTGTCATCCTGACACTGTGAGTCATAGTGATTCCCATTCGAATGGATAAGGCAGTTCCTGCACTCAGTGGCGGCAACCACAAGAACATCAGTACTTGGCTTGGGATCGTATGGGCGGACAAAGGAATAGTACCCAATAGTCCAATGACCAGTGAAGCACACTCCCAGAAGACCCACTCACACTGTGCAAGCATGCCACCAATTCCTAGCTTCATAAATTCCCACATTGGTTTATGCGCAAGGATGGCTTGGCGCCAAGTTGACATTCCAGGCCACGTGCGGTGATCATGTGGCTGTTTCACAGCAATGTACGCCAACAACGAAATCGCTTGAATGGCCTGAAAGTTGACATATGCCCAAGCGGATCCCAGAAAACCATACCGTTCCGATAGAAACTCCAAGCCGAGTGGCAGAATAATTCCAAAGCTTACCAATGACACAACAATCATTGGTCTCATAATGTTCTGAGCGGACAGAAACTTCCAAATGACGTTGTAGACCACACAAAATGGAAAAGACCATACAAATATGCGATACCAGGCCACAGCAAGTTCCACAGCATCCCTGTCTTGCCCCAAAGCCAGCAACACATTATCGAGATAGTTGACCAAGAAAATGTTGATTGGAAGTAAAATGGCAGTGGCACAAGCCAAACCACGAATGGCAATCAGTCCGACTTCTTTGAAATTTCCATTTCCAAAAGCCTGTGGTCCCAAGGTATCGGATGCACTGAATAGTCCAGCTAGTAGACTAAAGGTGCACAGATTCCCCGTCAAGTTGGCCAACGCAAAACCACTCAGATAAACAGTGTCGAATTTGCGTCCTATGAAACTGGCACACAACATGGGACTCGCAATCATTCCCAAGTTCACTAGTATCGTTGGTATTGCTAGTTCTATAAATGTCCATAGCTCTGCTAAGACGGACGATCTTTGTGCTAGGAATTCCTCTTCAGCAGATTGAAACATGTTGATGTGCGGCGAAACCTGAATTTTTGGGGGTGACAAGATTTTGTCGATATCTCAGATTTCGTTCGTTTCGCGTATACCGGATAGCGTACGTACCGGCAAGTCGTTTGACCCATCGGACTAACTCAAATGGCCATTTCAGAACATCTCGGTCGTTAATCTCGTAATACTCACACAGCGGGAAGTACAAGTGAAGTAGTGCTATTTCTTGGTGCAATACTTTTTCACCAGAGAAAGATGGGCGGAACGAAATGACGAGTCATAGAAACATAACTTCAAGGTTCAAGACCTTGCTTAGCGCTTGTTTGATCAAACTTTCTTAGTGGCAGAGACAACGTAGACCGGGTCACCAATTATCATTTTCTTGCCATTCCTTGTCGACAGATCTCTGGCAGCTATGTCTGTATAGTCTCCCCCAGAAAAATGAAGATAGCACCCCACATAGTATGCATGATCAACATCGTCTGCTCCTGTCCAGAGCCCAACAGCCTTGGAGAGGAAGAGCCGGTTCGAAAAGAGAATATGCACTTTGCCACCTGGTTTCAACACCCGACTGGTTTCTTTCAAAAGTTGGAGAGGAGCGACGAGGTAGTCAATGCTCAGCTGACAAAGAATTGTGTCAAAGCTGTTGTCTTCATAAGGAAGTTTTGGTTTCGAGTTCAAATCTTGAACTATGAAGTCTGTGAGAGCGCCATTAGCTTCGAGTTCATTTGAATTCATTCCCAAGCCAGCAAATCTTGTTAGCTTTTTGGACGAAGGCGTGAGATGGCTGGTCCAAGACGAGCAAAGATCCAGACACTAAAAAATGAAACAGTAGAGATGAGCGTTGAGAATTTTGCGAGACATTCACATAATAAAAAGGACATACTGAGTCGCCGTCATGTACTGCCTCATTGGTAACATAGTCTGTCAATATCTGCACAGCGTTGGTATCAACATGTTCCACAAAACGAGGGTCGGTGTAGAAGACAGAATCTGGTTGTGAGTCTAACCTTCCGAACATGGTCTTGGAGTCCTCTTCGAATGGATTATCAATTTCTGACCAGTCTTTTGGAATTGCCTTTTCGATTTCTCCAAGATCTGGCAAGGCAATTCCAGTCTTCTTATCTGTTGTCATTCCGAATGCTGTTGTTGGTGACGAACAGATGCCAAGCATTCCAAGAAAAGAGTGTGTCGTCATCTCTCGACGAGAAATATGGCCATTTTCAAAAGCTTTTTCGCCAACATGTGGCACTAAGCCATGGACAAGCTCTAGAACGAGGAGTAGGTGGGAGATAAACATATTATGGAAACAATAACATCGACGACGATTGCTAATATTCAATATGTTGATGATGATGTGTTGGAGTCGAAAAAGGAATCGAACCAGTCAATGATATCATCCAACTAATTACGTTACGTACAGTGGTACATTGAAATATCAGCAACATTCAACATGCAGGATTGCATGGTTTGGATAGTAATTGCTAGTATTTGCATGGGAATCCTTATGAGATTGGAGCGCCCACCAACGAAGCTGCTGTACATGCTCCTGCTGATGTTTGGATAGTTTTCCCATCCCAGGTGGCTATACCACCATCGCCAGTCTTAAGACCCTTGGCTACTTTGTCCCACGTTTTCCTCTTCTTGACCTGCGCAGAAGATTGCGGTTCCCCAGTGAGACCTTCAATGAAGACTCGTTCTCCAATTTTGGAGCCTTCTGGAGGAGTGACTAGCTCCACCTTGTCTTCTCCCTTTGCTGCAAGAACCATTCCGTTACTAGAAAATCCAACAATCTTGGAAGCCTTCAGGTTGCACACAACAAGGACTAATCGGTCTTGCATATCCTCGAGTGTGTAGTGCTCACGAAGCCCAGATGCAATTTCTCGAGTCTCTTCACCAATATCAATTTCTTCGCATAATAGCTTGTCCGCGTCTTCGTGATTCCAGACCTTGGTGATCTTTCCCACTCTGATTTCCATCTTTGTGAATTCAGGCTGGTTCGGGTCTCCAGATGCTTGTCCTTGCTTTGCTTTGGCGATCTCAGCTGCCTTCTTCTCTTTCTTTCGACGTTGAGCTTCCTCGTATGACTCCTTCTTCTTGGTGGAAGCTTCATTCTTGTTTGCTAGTTCTTCGTCCGAAAACGACTGGAAACGAGAACAGGAATTGAGAACAAGGTGCACCACAGCAGAAAATACGAGGAAACCAACATACCTTTTCGTATAGTACTTCGCCAATTTGAATTGCAGACCCAGAGTCGAGGTTTCGGCAGTCGCGCTTCAATTCATGTAATGTAATTGGATCCTTTCCAAGCTTCTTGAAGATTTTTCCTGCCCCCACAGGCAAGTACGGCAATAGCAGGTGACTCAAAGCATAAATTGACTCCAGCGTGGTGCGAACGACTTGTTGGCGGAATTCAATGAATTCATCGCCCTTCTTCAGCCATGGAGCCTCGTCTTGCAAATATCCATTCACGTCGCGGAAGCCTTGGATGGCCACATTGGCACCTCCTTGTAGTTCGAAATCATTCATCTTTTTCAAATAAGCATCACAGATGGCTTCCAGATCGATTGGTAACTTTTCGGGCGCTGGAACATCTGGAACGACGCCATCACAGTACTTCTTGCACAAGTTGGTAGCACGATGTACCAGGTTGCCAAGAGTATCACACAGATCCGCATTGTGCATGTCGCGCATGGATTGTTCGTTGAAGGATAGTTCGCCTCCATAGGGAGCTTCCTTAGACAGGTACCAACGGAAGGAATCAACGTGAAACTTGTCCAGCATGTCATGTGGGTCAACAACATTGCCTAATGACTTGGACATTTTCTTGCCTTCTTTATCATTCACGAATCCATGCGCAAATACAGTCTTGGGTAATGGAATTCCCGCAGACATCAACAAGCATGGCCAAATCACAGTATGGAACCACAAGATATCCTTTCCAATAATATGAACATCAGCAGGCCAGAATCTGTCCAATCCTCCAATGGAGCCATCACCATTGACACCCAATCCATTAACGCCGGTCAAATAGTTGGACAAGGCATCGATCCACACATACATGACGTGATTATCCGCGAATCCTTCTGGTACTGAGATCCCCCAAGAGAAGGTAGTACGACTGATTGACAAGTCTCTCAATGCATCCTCCGACAATCTCGTCAAAATGTTGTTGCGATGCTGTTCGGGACGAATAAAGTTTGGGTTGTCCTTAATGTGTTGGACCAACTTTTCATGGTATGCCGACATTTTGAAAAAGTATGATTCTTCTTCTACTCGCTTCAAAGGTAATCCAGAAGTAGGATCCTTAAAGTCGTTCATCTCGGCTTCATTGTCAGGAACAAAGGATTCCTCACGAACGTTGTACCACCCTTTGTAGCTATCCAAGTAAATATCGCCATTCTCGTTACACTTCTTCCAAAGCTCACGAGCCGTACGCTTATGGCGATCACTGGTGGTTCGAATGTAATCATCATTTGAAATCAAGACTCTTTGATTCAGACACTTGAATCCAGTCGAGAACTGTGCGATTGCGAACAAGAGGAAGAATTGAGTGCATGTATCAGAAGAATTATTTGTTTTCAACAATTAAATGATAGATACTTACATGATCACAAATATCTTGAGGGGCTTTCTCCTGTTTTTCAGCTGTTTCCGCAATCTTTTGTCCGTGTTCATCCGAACCTGTGACAAAGTAGGCCGGTTTGTCGCCCTTCAAACGCTCAAACCGAGCAATCACATCGGAGGTAGCAGCCTCATATGCGTGTCCCATGTGGGCGGGACCATTGGTGTAATTAATAGCCGTAGTGATGTAGTATCCTTCTTTTTCCTCGGCAATTTTCGCGCCTCCTGTACTGGCCAAGAATCCATAATCAATCGTTGAATTGTCTTTCAACGTCCATCGATCGTAACCTTCATTGCCAGTGTTGATGGCGCTCTTCAGATCATCTCCTGTTGCTGGTGCTGCCATTGTTAGTGTTTGTATTCTTTGCAAACTATGATTGATACCAAGTTGTGATTTCCAGCAATGTGAATGCCTTCAAGTTCAAAGTGGAGGTGTCGCGTATGATCACGAGTTGATGGATCTGAAACCTGCACGTAGGCCAGACGTACGTGTACGGTGCGTTGTGATTTGGAGAAAGGGAGAAACGTGCGACAAAGCTGCAGTAAAAGACGATGGTTCTTCTTGTGTTTATGAAAGTCTCTATCATTATTGTATTGTATTATTAAATAAACGAATCACTGGAAACTGATAAAATATCAAGTCACCCTCGTCGTTTTGGCTGTTGCTGTTTGGCAACACAGTTCTGGCCGTTTCGGCAATAGCAGAGATGTATCAATATGACGATTCGCCGACGTTCATTCGCTCGTCTTTCTAGGAGTCTTGGCAGTGTCAACAGCAGTGTCATTCGTTTCCACAGTAGCATCGGTCTTGGCCATTTTTGCAGGTGGCTCGGAATCCGCAGTGGGAGAAGCACGCTTCTTTCCGGCAGTCGAAGTGCTTACAGGTGAATCACTTCTACTTTCGGGCGCTTGCTCATCTGATTCACTTTTCTCACTTGCAATGGTATCGGATCCTTTTTTCTTGGGAGTATTGTCCTCAGCATCCTTATTGTCGGCTTTCATGCTCTCTGGTGCCTTGATTGTAGAAACATCCTTCTCCGATTCCTTTTCTTCTGACTCTTTGCTTTCCGCTGCACTCTTGTCCAGCTTGTTGCTTTCAGACTCGCCGCTTGCCGCCTTGTCTTTCTCGGATACAGCAGGCGCTTTCTCGCTCGGCGAGCTAGTTCCTGCCTCAACATCAGATGATTTGGCTTCATCGTCGTCTTCCGACTTATTGGCCAGTTTTGGGGTAGATTGCTGGTCTGGAGTATTGAAAGCACCTTGGGAAGTGATTGGAACCGACTCACCGCTGGCTCGAATACCTTCTGAGCTATCTTGAAGCCCCAGTGCTCGGGCTGCCGAAACATAGTACTTTCGAAGGACCGAGCTCAAAGAGGAAGAGCCCTTGAAGGCAGCCAATTTCACTTTCGTCTCCTCCGTCACGTTTTCACAAGAGTCCAGATGCAGTCGTTGGAATTCTCGAACCGACTCGTAGATGCCACTGATCGAAAATGGATACGATACAGCTTGGCCAGTAGCCCCCCCCTCTGCGGTGGAGCAATGAATGCACCGAATGCCGACTTGACCCACTTTGACAGGGTACTTGCGATCCGATCGGGCGGTCGCGACATCCTCTTCCGTAGCACAGAATACTTCAATTTGCTTTCGAATAAAGCAATCCATGTCCGACAACCAGTTCTTGTCTTCGGAAACAGCCAAAAGAATATTGGATGAGGATGCCGAGTCTTTCTCATGGTCTTTCGACTTTGCCAATACTTCCGCAGCCTCCTTGGTTGGTAGAATCGGGACAATGCTATCATCATTCCTAGGGCTTCCAGGGCTGGAGTGCCCGCTCTTGCTATCACTACCCTTGGACTCTGGGCTATCCAAGTTGGCCTTTTCTGGAGTCACATTCTCCTCGTTGGAAGTGCTGGCAGGAATACCAGTTGCACCCGGATCTTCATCGTGAAGACGTCTCCACATGCGTCGAAAGAAGACTTTTTGTGATCCTCGAGGCAACCTAGCCATCTGCTCTGGATGAAAGGCCTTGAGATTTAGTAGAGCCTCCTTGGTTTGTTGTGGACAGCGACGGCACTTTAGCACGTGCCCTGGAATCTCGGCAAAGCTATTCGCCAGTCGGTCCACATTGCTCCAAAAGAACTTGCGAGAATTTGGAACGTCAGCACAATGAACGCACTGCAATCCTCCATATCCAATCTTGATCTTTTCCCGTTTTCCCCCTCGGGTTTTGCGATCGGATTCGGAGAATCGACAGAGCCTCAATTGCTTCATGAGATGAAAGAAATAGTCTGTCAATAATAGTCGATCATCTTCAAGCACCAGTCTTGGAATCTTGGCATTGTCTGGATCCCGAGCATAGTACTCTCCCTCCTTCATCAATAGATGACTAACGCAGTGTCGAATGGTATCTGCCGAGTTTTCTGGTCGGGGCAATGCTGGAGGAGCACTTGTTCTAGTGGGTGGTCCACTGGTAGTACTGGGAGGACCCAAATGACTAGGTCTTTGACCAGGTAGTCCTCCTCTTTGGTCAGCATATGCCTCCTCTGGATAGCGTCCATCTGGCATTCCTGGATATGAAAATCCTGGTTGTGATGGATAGTGGGCATCCCATGGGCCAGGTGGTGGCCCATACATGGATGCTGGGTGCTGAGGTCCATACATGGAAGGCGCATAGGATGCACTTTGGTACATGTGTTGTGAGGACACCGTTTGATGGTACAATCGGCACATGCTCAAGTGTTCATCAATAAAATTGCCGGGTGGTGGGCTCCCACTAGGAGAAGTCCAAAGACCTTGTGGGTCACGATATTGCGGCGGAACATGACTGCAATATTTGCAGTGCCAGCTTCGATCTCTTTCTTGATAGTAAGGAAAGTGAGGAGGAAGATCATACTGTGTCATTTCCGAATATCCAGAAGGAGGAGTTCCATCTTGGCGTTGGGCAGACATTTGGCCTTGTTCTTGTGCTTGTCCTTCGTAGCTAGCGTCCGATGGATTTGGTCCCCCAGGTGGTCCATCTGGACGTCCGAAGGATGATGGTGGTCCTTGACCTGGAGGATATTGAGGAGGATATCCTGCTTGAGTGGGAGCACCGTCCCGTTCTGCAGAATACATTCCAGGAGCTCCTTCGCGATTTCTTGCACTCTGAAGTGGCGTGGCAGAAACCGCTTCTAGCCCTTGCGTTGCTCCACCCATCATTGCAGACAGAGGTGGTCCTCCTCGAGACATGGGTGGTCCAGGTGTTCGAAAGGACATTCGTTCCATTCCCATCATTGGAGCATAGCGATCTACAGAGTAAGGACCTGGACCTCCCATTCGACCTGGTACCATTGGTGTGGACATGCCATAAGCGGCAGGGTACTGACCCATTTCTGGACCCACACTAAATTCAATCCCCGTCTTGTGAGGTTGCTTGTTGACAATTCGCAACCGACTGCAAAACTCGACACAATATCCAATGAGTGATGCCATCTGGTCACTATCATTCCCCTCTTCCCCTTGTTCCCGTTTGCTGGCGGCCCGTTTGCAAGCCTCCCGCACTTCGGGTGGCACTCGTTCGCTGACACTCAGGTGATTGTCAGCGATAGTTCGTACACACTTGGCAATATCCCCCAAACTACCAGGAAAGAGCGTACTTTGAGCTGCAGTAGCAGGTATTCTACCACTGTGAATGCATCGAATACCCACTTGTTTGGCGACGACGTTGACTCCATTGCGATTGAGTTCGGCAATTTCATCAGCAGTCACTTCAAAGAGTTCAATGTTCTGACATGCAATTTCATCTTCCAGTGACAATTGAGTGCGTTCGTGTGGACCCAAGAGAGTAATACACTTTTCCTTTGGATTCATGGCCGCCATCGGATGCATCATAGCAGGCGGATATTCCATTTCTTGAGGCGGCATATTGAAATAAGGGTGACTTGGCGGCATGATGGCTCCAGGTGGATATCTTGGTTGTACAGGCGTGGCAGATGGTGCTGGTGCAGAGGAATTGTTGGGCTGACTTCCTGCTCGTTTGGGACAGTGAAATTCGTGGTCTTTTGCCTCTTCGGGAGTATCACAGGCGATGCCGCAGTAGTCGCAATTATAGAAGCCCCGTGATTGGGTAGGCATTTCAATTGCAATGGGAAGCCTGTTGTGTGTTTCCTATTGCTGAAGAATCAACTTTCGGGCAACAATTCCAGGATTTTAGAGTCCAAACCTTTTCAAGTGGTTTCCAATACGGTTGTGTGAGGTCTTCTTGGTTATAAATGTGTTGCACACACCGTGGACAATGTGGTTCGTTTACAGTCCAGGCCGTGTGACAATTTTGATGTTAATCCACGGAGAAAAATCTTGATTTCTCGCGCCCGGAATTCCACGGTAATTCACGTATATTTGGGTACTGGCTAGGAAAATGTGAGCCGCAGACACGGTAAAGACGGTTGGCGTTGGAGTCACATGTCGTGGCAGTTATTTTTCATATGGGGAAAGTGCATCACGACTCGTTGGAAGCTTCCAAATTGGAGTTGCACTTGCGCTCTACGCGAATTCGCAGTACATTTTGATCCGATGTTTCTCTTTTCATGTGTATCACGCGACAGACACGTGCTCAAAATTCACAAGACTGATCGTATATGAGTTAACCTAGAGCATTACTCGTGCCCTTTCAACTGTTGCTGGTGTTGAGTATTGGTGGAGCGAGTAAACAAGATATCTGATGATTCTTGCTGAACATGAGACGCCGACGCTAGGAGTGTGTGACTGGATAAAAAGAGAAACAAGTCCCAACGTGTTGTTTGCATACTAGTACTAGAAGGAGGAGTACTACTAGTAGCAGTACTAGTACCTAGCATTATGATCAGGACAGGGAAGCAACTTCTTGTTCCGCCAATCCTGATCACTGCGTCCAGAGTCCTTCGAAAACGCAAAACGATTATTCGTCTACAGTTTGTACCTACTAGCTAGAATAAACAGCATCATTTCTGCAGAGGGTTCACTGTTTTTTATCTATAGAGCAAAATTTCTCCCTTTCTCCAAACGTGGACATACGTCTGTCCGCTCGCCCGCGAAACATGCATTGGAGGGAAGTCGGTTGGACGAGGAGAGATATGAGGAGAGACACACCACGACATGCCAACATACAGGTTGACATACAGCAATAGCACATATCCAATGCTTCATGCTGCCACTGCTATTCTAGTTTTTACCTGGACCATAAATGGCCTTGTTCCCCACGCGAACAATCTCTCCACCACCAGAAGAAGAATAACGACCACCATAAGAACAAGTCCAACCTGCTCCACCACCTCTTCAACATCAACCAGTCTGTATGGAGGCTACGATGCGACAATTGGTGCCGACCCCAATACTCCCATTCAAGTTTACTGTTCCGAAGAAAAGACTCCATCCGATCTCTGTACCTTTGTTTGTTTGGCCGAACTCGATCTGAAGTATGAAATTATGTCAGAACTGCCAAACCCTGTCCCCGATTGGTTCCTGCGGATTCATCCAGATGGCACCACACCTGCTTTGAGAAACCCAGTGGACAAACGTTTGAACAATGATATTGTATGCAATACGGCGAGTGAAACAGACAAGGTGAACCAATATCTTTGCAAGGTGTATCAAGGAGCCACAAACAAGGAGGAAGAAGATCCCACCTCCTCATCTTGCCCCCTCCTTCCTAGCAACGACGAAGGCATGACTACAATGGAATCGATTCAGCGTCAAATTGATGAAACGATCCTACCCGCGTGTGTATCATTTTTAGAGAATGACGATATCAACAATGAGGCCAAGTACCAAGCGGCAGCAGAGAACGCTTTGCGATTACTCTTTCAAAGTCAAACGACGGCTGGACACCCTTTCTTGATAGGAAGTAACTTGACGCTGGTGGACATTTATCTCTTTACGCACTTGAAATCCATCTTTCTAGAGTTGAATAGATCGAAAAAGTACATACTGCCATCTAGTACCATGGGGAGCATGAAATCCTGGCACGATGCATGTGCATCCAGGCCGGCCTTTCGAGAAGTTTTATCGAAACAGGAATAGAAGAAGAATGAAAGGATCGACTAGAATTTGAATGCTATGATAGAAAGATTATGATACATGCTTTGATTGTCAGATAATGGTCAAATTAGAATACTCTTTCGCCATGTAACGGTGCATTCAACATTTTGTTGTGCTGGTTTGCTTTTCTCTGCGAAGGTAGTTGCTGAAGTCAGTAGGAAAAGGTGAATATGCGATTGAAGTATTGCGCATTGATGATCATAGATGTATCTGATTCCTTTGCAAACTCAATCTGCAGTATGTGGCTGCATTGTCGGAAGCAGAGCCTTCTGCCTTGTAACAGTCGTGTCGTTCAGAGATTCACAAATTCATTCGTTTTGCTGGTCATTGCAGCTGGTTGTTAACGTGATCTTTCTCGACTTGATTGGATATTCACTTTCGACGTCTACGCCGTCGTTGGCTGTCATTATCATTGCTCCCCGCTTCTACCCGCTGTGTTTGATTGGCTGCATGTTTCTTTTTGAGGTTTCCCATATTCTTTTGTTGCTCTGCCATGGCACGTGCCATTTCCCACATTCCTCCATGATCCAGCCCTCCTTGAGCTTGGGAGGCTACTTCTGCTACTTCTTTTCGTGTTTGCAGATCCATATTGAACATGACATCACTGTGTCCAGTTTCGTTGTGAAACCAAGCTTGAAAGCTTTCATCGGACCAGGATGAAGCCTCGGAATCTCCTACCACTCCGGTACTCCCATCAGAATTTTCTCGAATGGCTTCAAAGGCTTGACGTAATTTTACAAACTCATCTACAAGCTGTTGTGGATCTTTGGATGCTGAATTGTCTCCTCCGTCAGCAGACTGATTCACAACATCTGGATGGGTTTCCAATGCCAATTCGAGAAACCGACGCTTGACAGTTTCATAAGTTGAAGTCTTTGGGATTCCAAGAATATCAAATGGATTCTCCTTGTGAATGTTCTGGGGCGGCAAACCGTTCTTGGAGTCGTAGCTCTTCCATCGACAATGACTCGCGGCGCCAAGACGAATCTTGTTGTGTTCAGAACGAGGAGGAGGAGGAGGAGCACCAGAAGTGATTCTGTAGTCATTCTTCGTTCCATAGCAACGTTGCTCATTCATCAGACTTGTAGAGCCAGGATAATGATGAAGAAACGACCATCTTTTTCTCAAACAGCGCTTGGTAACTGGAATGGATGCCATGGGCGTAATCGTTGCGTTGCTGCTACTTTTTCGGTTTTGTTTTGAAAAAGACAAAATACGGCGGATGTGCCGACGAATTTGATTGGTAAACTGCTGCGTAGAATCTACGTTTGTGGGCTGTCCGTCGACAAAGATACCTACTACAGTATGAGAAACTGACGAAGCAAAATGTCGTGACACGCATCAAACGCGTGGTAAACATATTATATAAAACGAGAAAGGAGAATCTGTTGAGCAACATATATTATATTATAAAGAAGGAATCATCGATGGTCTTGAATACCCTGTTCTCTTTGCACACGTTTGCCTCATATTGTTGCCTCTCACTCTGAAACGAAGGTTGGGCACAACCATACTTGTACTTTAGTAGCGGTCGGGTTTTCAGGTGACGACGAAGAATCAATCAAGGAATCAATCAAGGAATCAATCAAGGAATCAATCAATCAATTCAAGAAATAACGAGAATATCGCAGATTGAATCTCAGATTCATTCGACAAATATTTGCCTTGATCAGTGTACTTTGTAGTTCATCAAGGGAAGTCCGCGAATAAAGATCACACCCTGAGCCAACCTTGCCGTAGAAACCACAAAGACCAAACCCAAGACGATACACATTTGCTCACGAAATCACCAGATATTGAGTACAATGGAACAACACAACCGGCAAGAACAACAACGACGACAAGAGCAGCAACCGCTATACCTTACCTCAGACGCAGAATCATCAACACATGGCATGCCCGTCTACAGTACAAGCAACAAGAGCCCCATCCAAACTCTCCGAGGAGGAAACCGAAAGTGGAATCTTCCCATTCCCAATGACTCTTCAACAAATGAACAAAACAACCACGAAATCGCCTTCGTCTTTCGGATACTTGTCGTGCTAGTCTCTTCCATGTTTGTCATGTTTGGTATGGTGAAGCTCTTCTACAATTCCAGCCACAAGCGTCAACGGAGACGGAAGAAACGTCTGGATGAAACCATGATCACTGCCGCTAGCAGCATAACAGTAGATCTAGAGGCAAATCCTAAAGAGGAACTGGAAAGAGAAAACCTACTGAAAGCAGAAAAGTCAGTAGATACCAGCATGCCAATCCGAGCATCTTCCAAAACAAAGTCTCCGGCGAAATGGCTGACCACAGTTGGCCAAGATTGGATGTCCCATCTGGACGACGACTTGAGTTTGGCTGCCATCTCCATTCCTGGCAGTCATGATTCCGGTTCTAGGTACGGTGGAGTGTATGTTACCACTCAGACTTGGAGCATTGGCCAGCAACTTGACAGCGGGATTCGTTTCTTGGACATTCGATGTCGTCGGGAAGGCAAAATCTTCACCATTCATCACGGACCATTCTATCAACATTTATGGTTTGATCAAATCTTGGAAGTGATCCGAACTTTTTTGGAGGGACATCCTTCGGAGACCATCCTCATCCGGGTCAAGGAAGAGTACGATCCAAAGGAGGGGTCCGACTCCTTTGTGGCCATTTGGAATCGGTACATGAACGAACTTGGGTATGGCGACCTCTTGGCTAAATATCCCTGGGATGGTAAAACGATACCAACACTAGGACAAGTCCGTGGCAAGTTTGTGCTCTTGCGAGACTTTGCTTGGAAGGGTCCAGAAATCGGACTCCATTACAATCGATTTGGCAACGCCTTTATGGAGGTCCAGGACGATTACTCCATACCCTTTGTCAATGGAATCAGCAAGAAAAAGAGCGAGGTCAAGGTTTTTCTCGAAAAGGCCAAGAATCGAAGTTGCCAAGACAGTTGTCATGGTGATAGCGGCGGTACCCACCAACCATTGAAAATCATCATCAATCACTGCTCCGGTACCAAACCTCCAGTCTACACTCCCTCCTTTGTCGCCAAACGAACCAACAAGGTGGCTTACGATGGGATTGGATTTTCTTCTAGTGACAAATTATGCTACAATGGTATTATTGTGATGGACTTTCCTGGAGAAAGTCTGATTCATCGCATCATTCTGTCCAATGCAACCGAAACGACGATCAGCAGCACATCCCCGCCAACAAAAACTCCGTTCATTATCAGCGATGCTGAGCATTCCGCTTGAGCAATATAAAATAAAAGCTATAAGCACGTACGGCACTAGAGTTCTACTGAGCCAGTGTTAGTTGGCGTCACCACATAATAGTATGGTACCAGGTACCAGGACCTGGTACCGGTATTGTCACTTTTGAACAAAACGGGAAACAGTTCGTGACTGGGGATTTGTCACAGTCACGGATTATCATTTCTTCAAAATAAGTTTTCATCCGTCATTTCTTTTATTGTGCTACTCATCGCTCATTGCCTTATTACCAGGTCGATTGTTGATTGTCCACTAATATATATACATACATATAATATATATATTATACATCAAGTCCATCAAGCGTGGATCGCAGCATGTATCGCTGCCCTATCAAATCGCACGGAGAATTCGAAGAGAGAAAGCCCCTCCCTAGATGGCTTTCCGTGCTCCCACCATCGGTCCGAAAAGTAATTGGATCTCCCCTCTTGACGATTGCTATCGTAGTGCTACTGCTGCAAGTATATGCTGTCGGCCACAACAGCAGTAACAACAGTAACAGCAGTAACAGCAAGAGCTCGAAAAAGAGCATATACAAGGGAACGCAATTCTGGAACGATGAGGACACATTGGACGTAAAGACTCTGTATGAAACACCGTTTGCCCGTTTTCAAATCCACAAAGTCAAGGCTGGAAAGAACATAATCAACGATTGGCTTTGGTATGATGAAATGGATGCCGTTAATATATTGGTGCAAGAAGCAGAAAGCGGAAAGTTTGTCCTTTTTCGTCAGAAGAAATATGCAAATCCTGGACCACCAACACTAGCGATCGTTGGAGGTTTGATTGAACCTGGTGAAACATCCTTGGAAGCGGCCAAACGTGAATTGATGGAAGAATTACAAATGGCCTCTACAGATTGGATCTCCATGGGAAAATATCGGGTCTCAGTCAACAGAGGAGGTGGACACACACACACCTTTCTGGCCAAGAATGCAGTTAAAGTGACTGACAACAATGTTGAAGTCGTGGGCCAAGCCGATTGGGAACGCCAGGATGTTGTGAAATGTACCGAAGAAGAACTGCTGCAGTACGTATTAGATGGAAAGTTTGGAGAGATCAAATGGACGGCCACGGTAGCGATGTCGCTACTGAGGTTACGATCTTGAACATGATATATGCCTTCTTCCAATCTTAGAGACGGCAACTGAAGTATTGCCTACTGTCTAGACACTATTGATGGACGAAACTATATGATTCAAAGGGAAATGGGGGACAGGCCTTTGATGAATCAGTAGCCAAAGACACGATACAGGGATTGCTGCCTTATGATTACATACCCTCCAGTTCTTTATTGGTGGAACACCTCGACTCCAAACATTAATTTCACCCCTAGAATCAAATTTTGCCCTATATTATGCTATACGCAGTCGCTGTAAGGTACTCGTGTAGGACTGTAGCCTCAACGACTGACTGAATGAATCATTCAAGTTGAAAGTGGTACCAGAGAGGCGATCATTCGTGACTGGGGATGAGCCACGATTCCGTCATTTTTATAGTACGACACAAACTCAAAACCGAATAATAGTCTGAAGTACAAACATGGACCAGAACAGTTATCGCCGACCAACCAAAGCACAACAAGAGGAAATATTAAAACGGGAAGACATCGAAAAAACAAAACCCCTTACAAGATGGCTGCTGATGCTTCGTTCATCAGTCGGAAGAGCAACGGGATCTCCCCTCTTGACGATTGCATTCGTAGTGCTGCTGCTACAAGTCTATGCTGTCAGTCACAAAGGCGGTAGTAGTACGAACTCGAAAGCAAGCATATACAAGGGAACGCAATTCTGGAACGACGAAAAGACACTGGCAGTCAAGACTCTGTATGAAACACCATTTGCCCGCTTTCAAATCCATAAGGTCAAGGCTGGAAAGAACATAATCAACGATTGGCTTTGGTGTGATGAAACGGATAGCATTATAGCCTTGGTGCACGAAGCAGAAACAGGAAAATATATCCTCTTTCGTCAAACGAAGTATGCGATTCCTGGACCACCGACCTTGGCAACGGTTGGCGGGTTGATTGAACCTGGTGAAGAACCGTTGGAATCAGCCAAACGTGAATTGCAGGAGGAGTTACAAATGGAATCCAACGATTGGATTTCTTTGGGTACATATCGAACTGCTTCCAATCGTGGAGCTGGCACTTCATCTCTATTTCTAGCCAAGAATGCAACTGGTTCTGCCCAAATGATTTCGACCATCAAGGGCCAACATGATCTGGAACGACAGGACATTGTCAGGTGCACAGAAGAGGAACTATTGGAGTTTGTATTGGACGGAAAGTTTGGAGAAATAAAATGGGCGGCGGCAGCTGCATTTTCGCTCCTGAAGTTGCGCTCGTGATTATAATCGAATCTATCTCTCTATGATGGCGAATGAAGCAGTATTACCTAATTTCATTCTCGAACTGTTCCAGGAGGTCAATGAGGGTTGGAAGAGAAGTCGAAGTCAGACCTTTGAATGAACCGAGCAAAAGTGTCTACCGAAAATCAGTGTGCACAGTACCCCTGGTGCACCTACAAGGTACCAGGGTACCCTTTGTTTTTGTGTCAACAAATTGTGATATTTCAACACGCTTCAGTAGCTAGTATAATCACTCGACACTCGACTACACTGTTTGCTACGGTGCCGAGTTCTTAACGGTAAATAATTTATATGGAGTGTGCTGACTCTCAAGGTCATTGTATGTAACAAATGGTAAAGAATTTGTGAAATGCGCTAACTCTCAAAGTCATTGTGTGCATGTTAAAAAATAAGCACGAGTACACTTTTGGCGGGGGCAATAGTGGTACACGTACGTGGTAAGGTGTATCAAGTTCGTCGACGGGTACAGAAAATGTATACAATATTGAACTGCACATTAGCTGACATCTGAGCTGACATCTGAGCTGACATTTAAAAAAAAATAACCACACGACCAAGGAGAATATTGAATATTCTGAGGATTCGTATTGAAAACTTTGCTTAGGATCTTTGGGCTTTTTTTTGGGGCTCCTTTAGCACACGCTATCAAACTTCCGTAAAAATGCTGAGAAGAGGAGGTTGTTTAGATAATTGTTAGTTTTGGCGAACAGTTGATACCTTCGAAAGAAACGCCCCTCTGTTTGATCGGTGAACTCTTCTTGGTTTTGGTGCACAACAGTATCTCGCGTGGTACTCGAATAAGCAGAAGTAAAATGTGGACATAAAATTAATTTCTCACTCATCATCACAGCAACCGATCACTCATCACAGCAACTGATTCTCAGACACCTCCTGATAATGTGTATTGTTGATAATGCTAGTAGATCAGGTGAGAGTGTATCCCAAAGCACCACCACACAAACCAAGAGCATCGACAGCAAAGGAACCTCTCCTGACAATGTCGGCAGATCTTTTCGCCAGGAAACAAGCTCAAGCTCCGATTCACATTCAAGTACGAGGAGGAATATGGTAGATGCTGAAATGTCGCAGCTCGGACTCTATGGACGTCAAACAGAAACTGAAACAATTCGAAATTGTCTTGACGACCTTGTCAAGACTGGAAAGAACAAGCTCCTGTACATTTCTGGAGTTTCTGGTTCTGGTAAGACGGCGCTTGCTGCCACTGTGGCCGATGTGGTCGATTCCGAAAGAGGCATCTTTGCAATTGGCAAGTTCGACCAGAAGCTACGCGACGAGCCGTATGCGGGTATTGCAACAGCTGGACGACATATCTGTGGTGAAATTCTTCATCGAAAGAACTCGACTGGAAAGATGCGATCTGGCCTATCCTTCGACCACATCAAGAAGACCATCATCGAGAATGTTGGATCCGAGTTGGTCACGCTTGCCATGATTCTTCCCGAGATCGAAGATATTGTGGGCTCTGTCTCAGATTTGTTCTCTGAAGATAGTGAACACGACGAAGACTATGGTGCGAACAGGGAACGTCTGAATACTGCCTTTCGAACCTTCTTTCGTACAGTGGCTGCGTTCTTCAAGCCTCTTGTGATGGTCTTGGATGATGTCCAATGGGCCGATCTACCGTCTTTGAACCTAATGGAGGTCTTGATCACAGATGACGCGAGCACCAACTTCATGCTTGTGGCTCTGTACCGATCAAATGAGGTCAATGACGCTCATGCGGTGAGTAAGATGATCCGATCGCTTGATGAGAAACAAAAAGACTGCGATTTCGATACCACCAAGATCGAGGTCGGAGATCTGAGGGTTGGACAAGTGGACGAGATCCTGGTTGATCTACTGAAGCTACCAAGCTATCGCACTTCAGAGCTGGCCGAGATCATCCACAGAAGGACAGGAGGCAACGCCTTCTTCGTTTTGAATTTCATCAGCATGCTCAAGAGTCAGAAACTGGTTGTATACTCGAAGCGAGAGCAAAGCTGGGTATGGGACGAGAGCGAGGTCGAGCTCGAGACTATAGCAACCGATAACGTGGTCGATCTTTTGAAGCAACGCATGAAGAGTCTGCCCGCGAAAATGCAAGAGACCCTTGAACTGGCCGCTTGTCTGGGAGCTAGCTTTCGAGAAGATATGTTGTCAAAAGTAGCCAGGGATTACTTCGCAGGACAGAAAGACTGCCCGACAGCAGATCAAATCTCAAAATGGCTAACGGATGGCATCCTGCAAGGCCTACTGAAGATGGACAGCGTCGGCTACCGCTGGGTCCATGACAAAGTGCAAGAGGCCGCACTTTCGATCACAGATGACGCGGATCAGAAGAAGATGCGCTACCAAGTTGGCAATATCATGCTTCGTCGGCTATCGAGGCAAGAACTGGACCAGGTCTTGTTTGTTGTGGTCAATCTACTGAATGCCGGAACTGGACGTGAAATGTCGTCAGAGTCAGCGGTGTCTTTGGCCGAGTTGAATCTTCGGGCAGCGAACAGAGCCATGAGACTTTCTGGCTTCGAGGTAGCAAGTCACTACACCGATACTGCGATCGAGCTCCTTCCGACAGGATACTGGAAGTCTCACTACGAGATGGCGATCAAGCTACATACGATTGCCACAAATGTGTATAGCGTGCTGGGAAATGTGGAAAAGATGGAAGCTATGTATGATGACGTTATGAAACAACCTAATGTTCCGTTGAAAGACAGGCTCCCTCTGTACAGCTCGATGGTAGAGTCTCTGTCAGGCAGAGATGTAGAACGTGCAAAAGATCTGTCCTTTGATGTCTTGGAGCAGTTGGGCCATGGCATCATGCGAGATGGGAAAAAGCTGACTATGTATCTTAAGCTGAACCTTGTGAAATCTCACGACAGGAATCTAGATCCTAACATAGTATCACGGCTCCCAATGATGAAAGATGAGAATGCGATTGCTGCAATGAAAGTCCTTTCTCCTATGATAATTCTGACCTTTGCAACGAACAAGAAAGAACTGTGTTCGGTATCGTCCAAAATGGTCGCTCTTGTCAACGAGTATGGGCTATGCAGTGAGGCAGCCAATGCTTACGGTATTAGAGGAGGTTTTTCAAGTAACCTTAAAGTGATTGAAGCACATGCAAAGTGTGCTCACATGATAATGGATCAGTCCAAGGATCGTTATGCCAAAGCGGCAACAAAAGTATACATATTTTGTCTTTTCAGCTTTACCAGGGACATCCGATGGGTTCAGAAGACTTTCTTTGAGAACTATCATTACGGCTTGCAAGTTGGAGACATTCAAATGGCGATCTACTCGTACATGATGGGACTATACTACGAGCTCGTGTGCGGGCGTTCGCTTGTGACTGTCACGGAAGAAACGAGAGAGACCATGGCGCATCTCAAAGCGATGAATCGTGACTCCCAAATGGAACTACTGTCTGTTCTATTTCAAAGTATGCTGAACATGAAAGGGGAAGCAGAAGATCCTTTGGTACTCAAGGGAGAAGCCATGGACGAGACAGCATTGGATCCTGCCTCGATAACTTCTTGGAACGATGCCTTGATAATTGGGTACAAAGGTGTTCTTAATGCGTATTGCGGCAGTCATCAAGCCAACGCTGAAGAGATTCTTGAAAAGATGCCCTTTGTGAGAGATGAAGTTGGTGCCGATGCAATCATAATGTGGCTTGATATCTATGTCGCTGTGTCTTGTTTGCACTGCGCCCGTTCCAGAGGCAAGCGATCAGGAAAGTACCGAAAGCATGGTCAGAATATTAGCAAGACGGTCAAGACATGGATTGCCCAAGGATGTCCAAACTTTTTACACCTTGACTACCTTCTGGATGCAGAGTTGGCTGTGTTGAAAGGTGATTTCAAAAAGGCTTGCAAATACTACAAGCTGTCGATCAAGATCGGAGAGAAAATGGGTCGGGTGAACGATGCTGGGTTAGCATCAGAGCGGCTAGGAGAGTATTTGCTTGAAAAGAAGGATAGAGACGGTGCTCGGAAGGCTCTGCTGCGGTCGATCGAATTCTACAAGCTGTGGGCATCTGATTACAAAGTAGAATCGGTCCGTTCTATGTACGAAGAGATTCTCCACCCTGCCAGTGTCATTCAACAGTGAGCTTGAGATTGACTTTCACCAAGCTTTATAGCAATTTGATGACTGGGGAATCAAGACGAGACGATCGTCAAGAACTCTCTTCAAGGCTCGGTTTTTTTTCTACCAGTGCGATTTTATTATTATTTTTGCTTCGTGTTTTGTATAATATTTTATTTTTCAGAGACAATCTACAATATATCTTTCTATCTAAGATAGCCTACTGCCGTCCTCCGTGTGTGTGTTCATAGTATTTTGTCTTGGTGTGTAGCTGGTGGGTTGTGGTGTGAAGCGGGTCGAACTGATCGAGTAATAGACTCGATTCGTTCGACCAATCTCAGAAATCCCGTGTGCGGTATTACTGAGATCTGCTTTCCTACCAGGCACCGCCGATATGGTAAAATGGAGGCGGTGCCCAACAGGGCGGGTGAGGTTTGGGAGAGAAAAATTGAATTACCACGACACAAGTGGGTGAATTCAATCTCAGTCGATAAACTGGGCATCATTGCCTCGGCGCATCGACAACAACTTTTGACGGTCGAAGGCCGTTCGGCCTTTGTCCGTCTGTAACACAATGTAGTCAAAGAAATCGAACAGTGTGCCTGCGGTCTACTTTGGAATATCTAAAATGGATCTAATTTTATTCTCGAACTGTACACTACCAGAGGTGAGCAAAATAATGCAAATAAGAGTTGGAAGGCGCAGTCGATGTCAGGCCATCGAACGAATCCAGCAAAAGTATCTGCCTTTATATCAACAAATTCTTACCTTCGAACACTGCAGTACCAGGTACCAGGTACCCCACCCTCCTGGTACTGTAAAAGCACGACTCAGTCCACTTTTGGCAGATCTGAAACGTGGTACGAGAGGGCAAATTCGTGGGTAAAGTGCAGAATTTGTGGAGCGCGGTTCGCGTCTCGAAGATCCATTGGAACGGCCGGGAAATAGAAATTTAGCATACAATTCTTGGGAGTAAATATTGATTTTCCCGGCCGTCCGTGTTGTACTGTACCGATATATATGTCTTGCTCTTCATGTGATCTGACATCCGTAAGAATGATGAAGCTAATTATGTCTTCATTTTAGTTTACATTTATAAAACTGAACTCAGGAATTAGCGTGCGAGGATGCAGTACATGCGGTTGGTGCAAATACTACAGTTCGTTGAAAGGCCGAGCATTTTTATGGATTGCGCTATCTTATCACAGTCCAGTACAGAATGTCGATCGAATTTCTAGGTTCCTCTTGGCTTTTTCGAGCACTTGGTTTTCTGTTTAACATACGCTATCAAACTTCATCAAATTTAGAGGAGGCGAAATGCACAAAAGGGCCCAATTCGCCTTGGCGAACAGTTCAAAACTAAGAAATAAAAGCTTTGAATTATGAAAGAATCACAACATCAAAAAATGTGTATTGTTGACAATGCTAGTAGATCAGGTGAGAGTGTATCCCAAAGCACCACCACACAAACCAAGAGCATCGACAGCAAAGGAACCTCTCCTGACAATGTCGGCAGATCTTTTCGCCAGGAAACAAGCTCAAGCTCCGATTCACATTCAAGTACGAGGAGGAATATGGTAGATGCTGAAATGTCGCAGCTCGGACTCTATGGACGTCAAACAGAAACTGAAACAATTCGAAATTGTCTTGACGACCTTGTCAAGACTGGAAAGAACAAGCTCCTGTACATTTCTGGAGTTTCTGGTTCTGGTAAGACGGCGCTTGCTGCCACTGTGGCCGATGTGGTCGATTCCGAAAGAGGCATCTTTGCAATTGGCAAGTTCGACCAGAAGCTACGCGACGAGCCGTATGCGGGTATTGCAACAGCTGGACGACATATCTGTGGTGAAATTCTTCATCGAAAGAACTCGACTGGAAAGATGCGATCTGGCCTATCCTTCGACCACATCAAGAAGACCATCATCGAGAATGTTGGATCCGAGTTGGTCACGCTTGCCATGATTCTTCCCGAGATCGAAGATATTGTGGGCTCTGTCTCAGATTTGTTCTCTGAAGATAGTGAACACGACGAAGACTATGGTGCGAACAGGGAACGTCTGAATACTGCCTTTCGAACCTTCTTTCGTACAGTGGCTGCGTTCTTCAAGCCTCTTGTGATGGTCTTGGATGATGTCCAATGGGCCGATCTACCGTCTTTGAACCTAATGGAGGTCTTGATCACAGATGACGCGAGCACCAACTTCATGCTTGTGGCTCTGTACCGATCAAATGAGGTCAATGACGCTCATGCGGTGAGTAAGATGATCCGATCGCTTGATGAGAAACAAAAAGACTGCGATTTCGATACCACCAAGATCGAGGTCGGAGATCTGAGGGTTGGACAAGTGGACGAGATCCTGGTTGATCTACTGAAGCTACCAAGCTATCGCACTTCAGAGCTGGCCGAGATCATCCACAGAAGGACAGGAGGCAACGCCTTCTTCGTTTTGAATTTCATCAGCATGCTCAAGAGTCAGAAACTGGTTGTATACTCGAAGCGAGAGCAAAGCTGGGTATGGGACGAGAGCGAGGTCGAGCTCGAGACTATAGCAACCGATAACGTGGTCGATCTTTTGAAGCAACGCATGAAGAGTCTGCCCGCGAAAATGCAAGAGACCCTTGAACTGGCCGCTTGTCTGGGAGCTAGCTTTCGAGAAGATATGTTGTCAAAAGTAGCCAGGGATTACTTCGCAGGACAGAAAGACTGCCCGACAGCAGATCAAATCTCAAAATGGCTAACGGATGGCATCCTGCAAGGCCTACTGAAGATGGACAGCGTCGGCTACCGCTGGGTCCATGACAAAGTGCAAGAGGCCGCACTTTCGATCACAGATGACGCGGATCAGAAGAAGATGCGCTACCAAGTTGGCAATATCATGCTTCGTCGGCTATCGAGGCAAGAACTGGACCAGGTCTTGTTTGTTGTGGTCAATCTACTGAATGCCGGAACTGGACGTGAAATGTCGTCAGAGTCAGCGGTGTCTTTGGCCGAGTTGAATCTTCGGGCAGCGAACAGAGCCATGAGACTTTCTGGCTTCGAGGTAGCAAGTCACTACACCGATACTGCGATCGAGCTCCTTCCGACAGGATACTGGAAGTCTCACTACGAGATGGCGATCAAGCTACATACGATTGCCACAAATGTGTATAGCGTGCTGGGAAATGTGGAAAAGATGGAAGCTATGTATGATGACGTTATGAAACAACCTAATGTTCCGTTGAAAGACAGGCTCCCTCTGTACAGCTCGATGGTAGAGTCTCTGTCAGGCAGAGATGTAGAACGTGCAAAAGATCTTTCCTTTGATGTCTTGAAGCAGTTGGGCCATGGCATCATGCGAGATGGGAAAAAGCTGACTATGTATCTTAAGCTGAACCTTGTGAAATCTCACGACAGGAATCTAGATCCTAACATAGTATCACGGCTCCCAATGATGAAAGATGAGAATGCGATTGCTGCAATGAAAGTCCTTTCTGCAATGATATCTTTGACTTATGCAACGAACAAGAAAGAACTGTGTTCGGTATCGTCCAAAATGGTCGCTCTTGTCAACAAGTATGGGCTTTCCATTGAAGCTGCTAATGCATTTGGAATCAGGGGAGCCTTCTCCAGTAACCTTAAAGTGATTGAAGCACATGCACAGTGTGCCCACATGATAATGGACCAGTTCAAGGATCGCTATGCCAAAGCGGCAACAAAAGTGTTCATCTATTGCCTCTTCAGCTTCACTCGGGACATCCCATGGGTGCAAAAGAATCTATTTGAAAATTATCACTACAGCTTGCAAGTTGGAGACATTCAAATGTCGATCTACTCGTACATGATGGGACTATACTACGAGCTCGTGTGCGGGCGTTCGCTTGTGGCAGTTGTCGAAGAGACACGAGAGACCATGGCACATCTCAAAGCGATGAATCGTGACTCCCAAATGGACCTACTGTCTGTCCTTTTTCAAAGTATGCTGAACATGAAAGGGGAAGCAGAAGATCCTTTGGTACTCAAGGGAGAAGCCATGGACGAGACAGCATTGGATCCTGCCTCGGTGTGTTCCTGGAATGATGCCCTGATAATTGGGTACAAAGGTGTTCTTAATGCGTATTGCGACAATCATCAAGCCAACGCTGAAGAGATTCTTGAAAAGATGCCCTTTGTGAGAGATGAGGTTGGGGGTGATGGAATCGTCATGTGGTTTGATATCTATGTCGCTGTGTCTTGTTTGCACTGCGCCCGTTCCAGAGGCAAGCGATCAGGAAAGTACCGAAAGCATGGTCAGAATATTAGCAAGAAGGTCAAGGCATGGATTGCCCAAGGATGTCCAAACTTGTTACACCTTGATTACCTTCTGAATGCAGAGTTTGCTGTGTTGAAGGGTGATTTCAAAAAGGCTTGCAAATACTACAAGCTGTCGATTAAGATCGGAGAGAAAATGGGTCGGATAAACGATGCTGGGTTAGCATCGGAGCGGCTTGGGGAGTATTTGCTGGAAAAGAAGGACAAAGGCGGTGCTCGAAAGGCTCTGCTGCAGTCCATCGAATTCTACAAGCTGTGGGCATCGGATTATAAGGTAGAATCGGTCCGTTCTATGTACGAAGAGATTCTCCACCCTGCCAGTGTCATTCAATTGTGAGCTTGAGGCCTTTTTCATCACTCTACATACTGTAGCAATTTGATGATGACTGAATCAAGGCGAGAGACTCAAGACGGCACGATCATCTCTTCACGGCTCCATGCTTCTTCTATCAGTGCGATTTTTATTTTTATTTTTCTTCATAGTCGTAGGAGGACGAGTTTGAAAAGTATAATGCATTTTTTAATTTTCAGTCTGGATCAGCCGATTTGCTATGCTATCTTCGATAGCCAACTGGCGCCTTCTTTTCTGGTTCTTCTACTTGGTGTTTTGGAGTGACTCTGGTGGGTTGTGGTGTGAAGCTTAGCTTGTCCTTTTGAGTTCCTTTCGAGTTGCGCGCGAAGCTTGCGACTCAAAGGACCAGTCTCAGATTTCCCGTAAGACGTGAAATCTGAGACT